TATATTAAGTTATAGTTTAGCAATGGCTAATCTGCTTAGTACTATCTTTATATATTAGTAGTGCTCTTTTAGCGAGTTGCTAAAGATTAGGATATCATCAAGATATACTAAGACAAATTAGTCTAGGATATTTTTTCTTAGAGTATTATTAATGTAGTTTTAGAAGAAGATTAGAGTATTACAGAGGCTAAAGGGGATCACATTCTATTTATATAAGCTTATACGTGTGCAGAAGGCTGTTTTCTATTCGTCTCTGTAAGCTATTCTAATTCTGTAGAAGGCAGTAATAATATTTAACTTAGTGTACTATATAGCTTTGTAAAGCTTGTCTAAGGTCTCTTAAATCAGGGGAATTAGGTATTTATTCTTAACTATAATAGTATTTAAACTCTAGTAATCTATACAAAACTATAGATCTTCTTTAGGTTTCTTAACAAATAGGACTAGGGCAGCAGTAAGGAGGCTTTAGACAGTAGTTTAATATTTAGTAATAACTTAATCTTATAATCTACTTTAGGGCGGTATAATAGAAGCTTGTTAGCAATAGCTTTATCAAATAAGGATAGGAACTTGTAATATTACTTAGGAAGTCTAGTCTAAGAATCTATAGTTTTTTTAGGTTTCAAGGCTTTCTTAATATCTCTTAATAATACTATAAAGACTTTATAATCTTTTTGCTTACTTAAGTGATTAAAGGCTATTGCTCTTATTATAATTAGCATTATAGTTATATTTATAGCTTTTATTTGTCTTTAGACTCAGGATTCGTTGTTTTATACTCTTTGCACAACTTTAAAAGTAATAGAGTATTCTCTGTTCTTCTGAAGACAATAATTATAGTAGTATTCTATATTATATATAATAGTCTTTAATACCTAATATCTCTTAATAATACTATAAAGACTTTATAATCTTTTTGCTTACTTAAGTGATTAAAGGCTATTGCTCTTATTATAATTAGCATTATAGTTATATTTATAGCTTTTATTTGTCTTTAGACTCAGGATTCGTTGTTTTATACTCTTTGCACAACTTTAAAAGTAATAGAGTATTCTCTGTTCTTCTGAAGACAATAATTATAGTAGTATTCTATATTATATATAATAGTCTTTAATACCTAATCTATTATTAGATTATATTATTTAAGCTAGGGCATTCTAAGAATAATATCATATTTTAGTCTAGAGATAATAAATATTAATAAGACTTCTTAATAAATATTAGAAGGTGCAGAAGACAAGAGAACTTTAGCAATATAGGTTATTATAAAGGTCTAATTATTAAAGCCTATTATAGTTCTTTAACTTTCTAATTTTTTATAAGAGAAGAGTTACGCAAAAGCTTCACTAATATATATTACTACAGAATAACTAGAGTTAATTAGGGCTTAATATTTAAATTATTTAACGTTATACTTAATTAAGAGGCACTTAGAGTTAAGAAGAAGGTCTGCTAAATATAGAGAAATAGAACTTAATTATATTATTAGATTATCTACTATATTAGTAGCAACTAACCTTTTCTTAGTCCCTTAAACGTGACTTAGTTTAGAGTTACTTTATTTAATAACTTTATATTAATATAACTACTAAATAAAGAAAGAGGGGTGAGGGAGGCTAAGGCAACAAGTATAATTGCTTATAAGGTTACTAGAGTGAATACTGGAGTTGAGGACGCTATAATAGGCGTAGAAGAGACAGTATAAAGGTTGCTCTATAGCTTTAGCTTTAGTTTTTTTAGGCATATATTAGCTTTATAATCTAGGCCTGCGTAATAGTAATAAAGGCTTAAATTACGTTAATGTTCTTGTTCAGCTTCGCGTTTATTAGAGGCTTTACAGACTAAGTAATTTATGTCTATAGGGTTATAGGAAATAGGGGCAGGCGTAACAGGATAGGTAGGGGCCGGAATTAAGATAGTTAAACTTATAAGCGGCTTCTATGACCTAGTTATCTATTATAACAGTATAGTACGTAATAGATTATTCTGCTAAGTATACTCTTAGATAAAGGTTTTATATAACATGTCTCTAACGTTAATTATAGCTAGCTTCTTTGTAAGTTCCTTAGATAGTACAAGTCAGAGTAGTCCCTTAAGACTATAATCCCGAAATAGCGTTCTTCTAGCAGTTTGCTTAAACTCTAGATAGAATTCAGAGAAGGGTTAGTGCGTTTACCTTATCTTTATAAGACGGCAGATGGCAGAGTACTCTGAGTCAGCATTACTAAAGTTGAGCTTTAGTTCTTTAATTAGATCTATCCAATCTAGATAGATCCCTTCGTTAACGTTATCTAGAGTGATGTCTAAGGCATGATCTGTAAGTTAAGAGAATACGTAGTAGACACGTAATATAGGCGTGAGGTATCTGTTAGTATTAAGTCTGAATTTTGAAGTAAGGCCTACCCTGAATCTCTCTAGGTCTTCGTGAGTGTTAGGCCTTAGGCTACTAAATATAGGAACGTCTATAGTCTTTTCTAACTTCGCAGGTGCATACTAGAGTTATTAATTCTGTTGCAGGACTGTAGTTATCGCTGACAAGGTCTAAGCTATTAGGCCTTAAGTCGGATCTTGGACTAGGTGCTTAGAGGGCTAGGGAGTGTAAATCAGAGCCGGACTATGCGTAGGGATAAGTATGCGAGAGGGTTCTTGTAGGTCGATCATGTCATCATCAAAACGTATCCGGGCGTTAGCCATAGCTTCTGCAGGTAAAAAGGACTCAAGGGAGATCTCAGACTCTTCTGAGGAGGAAGGGACGCGGAACAGGATGAAAGAAGGAGAGGCAGTGGTTCTTTCACTGCCCAGACTGAGTAACAAGGAATAATAACAAAGGGAAAATAGGTTAAGGCAGACCTAAGGACCAAAAGATAAAAATAAGTAGACGCTTCGTAATGTCAGAAGAGCTATGGTTGGGCCTAATATATAAGACGAAGCGTGAAGAAAAGGAAACGAAAGTGGGAACATAACGCTCTATATACATGTCCGTGCCCCTTATCTCGCTGAGGCCAGTTGGCCATTTTTCAAGTTACGTGCGCTTCCCGCGGCTAGAATGTAAGGCTGATGACGGTGTTAGCGAGGCGTGTCTCCAGAACCCTTGCAATGCTATATATATATTTTATTTATAAGAAATACATCTAAAAAATTATGTAAATATAAATAAACAGTATGTATTAATTATACATATTAATTTCTAGCTAATGAAATATATTATAAAGAATCTATATCAGTTTTAAATTGTTCATTAAAAAGTGGTTATGCGAGAACTATCATTATTTCCGGCACCTGCCATCGGCCCTCCTGCCCGGAGCTAGGTGACGGGAATAGGGGCACTTCCCGCCCACCCTCAAAACAACCCCCTTTTTTCTATCTCCTGTTATCCCACCAATTCTTGTTCAAATCGGCTGAAGATGGCCAGAATGCGTAGAACTACGTAGTACCCCGAAAAACTGTCGATAACTTGATCCATCGGTTCCAGTATTCATAGAGCCTCAACGTGAACCAAATACAATAGTCAATACTCCACGTTGTACGTAACTCCTTTATAATACGTAGTCTTGTTAGGATCTCAGAGGAGTGCAAAGGGTGGAAAGACAAGGTTGGGAAAGGAGCCAGAGAGAACACAAGAGCATACGAGCGATAGGGACTGAGGTTGTGATTGGATCATCAAGAATGAAAGGCCTTCTTCTACCTCACGAATAACACGTTCTACAACAACCCGCCAAGCACTGACCATCATCATGTTCTTGCAAGCCCAACGGACATTGACGAGACACAGCAACGAAGCATGCACATTGACATTGAGTTGTGCAAAATCAGGAAGACGAAGAAGACAAGAAGCAAGTTGGCGCCAGTTTTGCATTCATGACAGATGGTTCAGAGGTCAATGTTTAGCTTGCTTATACTTGCAGAATCATGATTGGTATAGAAGTTCCCTCCCGTTAATCTAGCTGCCGATTACTCATCCGTGTATGCCAGGTGTTTGGGAAGGCAATGCTAACGATCTGTGGAATGCCCTTCAGCTGCAATATATCGTTAAGCCATCTTACCCCCAATACGAGATAACATTCAAGAAGTCCGCCTTGGTCCATCCGACTTGGTGGCACCGTCTTGCGAACTCAGATGCCGTCTCGTCAAGTCTGAAATCCAGTATGGCCAGTAATGCTAGCTGCCAGAGGAAATACGCCAACTCCATTGCCTCAGGTATTCCCTGGATATAGAGGTAAATGAAAGCATCATCGAAACTTGTGCGAGGCCGCGGTATTTCTTGGAATCTCAGGTCCATTTGAAAAGCTTCAGTCAGCTACAATCCCTAATCTAGGATGATATACCCTATTAGAGCGACAACACGTCGTTGAAAACGTCTGATATGTTATCGGAGCATTTATTGTCCATCCCCGAAATCGAGAAGGCCCATTCATCACAACGCTCATGCCAACTCCCCCTCCATAATACTCCTTCAGCCGCTCATTCCTTGTGCCATCATGTTTGGAACCTCAACTGACCCTGTCTCTATGCACGGGGCTTCTACCACACCAACCTGTAAGCCACAATGATGAAGACCTTAGCAGGGCGGAGCAGTCGTTGTCTTCCATAGCAGATCGCCAAGATTCATCTCAACCGATCTCCCTAATCGTATGCTGCATCAGAACTTCTCATCTTTGATATCAACACCCAAAGGGGACAATAGACTCAATCAGCTTATTTCCATCAAGGGGTCTAGATGAGCATCACTTTTAAATGTTGATTTTGTCAGATGTTTTTAATGTGCTCTAGTGGAGGAGAGCCTTCGCAAGTGAAGACCAGTGAATATAACAACCTACATGGATGGACTTGTTGACTCCTGATGTTGTTCTTCTGTCTGCAGAGCTGCTGGTATCCGCGTACCGCCCACTCCTGGATAGTGTTTAAGGCGGCCACCAGTGGTAAACACTTCTCCGGTCAGGACAGTGTCTGATACCTTATTCCCACCGAATCCACGTTGAGATTACTTGACTATAGCAGTCATGGACGGTATCAGTCCCCTTATTACCTGTCCCACCAGATCAACAGCAAGCGACGATCTTGCTGCAAAGCGGTTATTCAACAAAACTCAACGTACTGAAGAACATAGAAACGGTACTCCCCTGATGTCTAACGCAAAGAGCCAAGTGGATGATAGTGTCTTTGAAGTCCCTACTTCCAACTCTCCGTACAGCGATGTCGCCAAATATACACATTCACACACTCTCTCTCTATTACAGAAGAGACGTCATACCTCTCGGAACTCTTCCGGCGCAGCCTCACCAATCCCACATCCCAGATCGAATTTCCGCCTTAATTCAGTTCTCAGTGATGACCGCGACCGGAGCACATCGGTTCAGCGACAGTCTGCTTTGATAATGGCCGCCGCAAAGAACTTAGCATTTGTATTTGATATTGACGGTGTGCTTGTCAATGGTGATCATGCCATCGCTAAGGCCCACCACGCTCTCCACATCCTCAATGGTGACAATAGTCTTGGAATCAGAATTCCATACATTTTGCTTACAAATGGTGGCGGCATGGTCGAGAAAGACCGCTGCACTCAGTTGAACGAGATCCTTCACCTTGGCATGCCCATCTCCCCCGGCCAACTCATCCAATCCCACACTCCAATGCAAGCACTGAAAGAATACTACTCCACCGTTCTCATCATTGGTGGCGAAGGTGAAAGGTGTAAAAAGATAGCCCAGCATTACGGCTTCACCGACATTGTTGTTCCGCACGATATTCTCGCCTGGGATCCGACCATTTCGCCTTTCAAGAAACTCACACCTGCTGAGCTTGCTGCAGCAAATCCACGAGACTTTTCGAGAATCAACATCAACGCCATACTTGTGCTAAGCAGCTCGCGGGATTACGCCACAGATCTGCAACTGATTGTGGACTTACTGTGCTCTTCACATGGACGCCTGGGCACTGTTTCTTCTGACCCCGTCACGGAGAGAATACCAATCTACTTCTCCCATGGGGATTTGATCTTTCCAAATGGACATCTCCAACCACGTATGTCTCAGGGCGCATTTCGCATTGGCCTCGAAGGGATGTACAAGGCTCTCACGGGCGTAGAGCTTGAGCGTATCATCTATGGCAAGCCTGAGCGGGCTGCTTATGTTTATGCAGAAGAAGTGCTAGCAAGATGGATGGAAAGCCTGTATGGCGAGGGTTCCAAGCTGCCTGAGAATGTGTACATGGTTGGCGACAACCCCGCATCGGACATCTGTGGTGGAAATATGCATGGATGGAACACTTGTTTGGTGAGGACAGGAGTCTTTCGAGGTGAGAAGGGAAAGAATGATGAAGATCACCCGGCGAGCTTTGGGGTTTTTGATGATGTGCTGGAAGCAGTAATAGCAGTGATTAGGAAGGAATTAGGGAATGATCTCAAGTTCGAATGGAATCCTCGGGCACAAAACCACATTTTCGAGCAAGACAAGGACCATATCAGACAATGATGTATGATTTGGGGTGTAGCTGGTGAGCTGTTTGTTGGGCACAATCCGCGGGATCTGAAGTTTAGTTAAGGCGACGCCTAGAAGACCAAGCTCAGAGCTAGGCTTGTCAAGCTTCTCCGCATTTGCTACGTACCAATCATTTGTGCGGGTTTGCAAACGTGGCGGGATCTATCTACCGCTACAGGCCTAATTTTGTACCCCACCTGCTGAAAATGCTAGTATCCGTACAATACGTACTATGCAGAATTAAGTAGAGACGCTCACGAAATAGTCTAAATAGGACTAGTCTCTTAAATCAAGCTTGCATTCCATTAGCATCTATAACTACTTAACATCTCTCAGCATTTAACTGAAGCAGCTCCTTAAGATAGTCAGAAGGCATAGCATCTCATCCAGCATTAACAGCCGCTCGTAGCTCGTCGTATCTGTGCTAGGTATCTCCATACCGCTCTTGTATCCAATTCTTCATCTAATTCAGAATTTGCAAGATGAGCAAAATTCGTGCAAAATTGCGACATGGATGCTAACAGGGGTGTGTATGTAAAGACGGCGTTTGTAAGATATTTTGCCCAAGGGGGGTAACAAAAATAAGGCCCGTAGCCGTAGTACGTCCAGTGGCAATGGCTGAGTGACTCGGCTGGTCGTCCCTATTTGACCACAAGGAAAGCCGCATTTCAGATGATGGCGATAGGCTTCCTCCACGGAGAAACGTGGAGTACTAGGATAGATTCGAGGAACAGTCCTACAGCAAACTTATCACTCACTTACACCTCTTACCCTCCCAGCAGTCCTGGTTGTTCTTGCATTTCGCACCAAGTGAGCCACGCGATTACTTACAGCTGTACTTGTCACTTCCCAGCTCTCCTTCTCCTCCCTCTACATTCGAAGTCAGGTCTCTCTTGATGGAAGCGCAAAGCTTACATTGAGTATGTTCTTGCTCTAAGATCACAGTAACCTTATACGTCGCTCTCTCAACCTATTTCAATATGCCCGGACTTGCTGTATCCTCAGCGGGCCCTTAGTCGTCAACAGAAGCTCGGATCCCTGCTTCAGCAGTCTTTGCTGTATATCCCAGGTAGTACATCAGCTCTTGCTTTCGTTCCATTCGACACGGAGATGGGTGGTCATCAAGGAAAAGGCCTGATCGGGCAAAGGGCAAGTCTACTTCTATTGTCGGCCATTCTCTCGGTGTCGACTGCTATCCTTCCACAAGCGTCTGCAGATGATACTTCGGTTTCCCATGAACAGACTCGCAATCAGAAAGATGATGTCGACACAACTTCAAGTACCGCTTCTCACGTTCGGACTATGAAGTCTAAATCAAGACTTCCGGTTTGGGCATACAATCCACCTCCAGCGGGCCTCGATCATAATCTTCACCAAGACATATTTGCGCAGGTACTGAGACTAGAACACACGCCACCTCCAGTGAATGATCCGTCTGAACTTGCAAATGAGATCTCCAATGACGATGAGGATGACTACGACGACGACGACGACAACGACGATGACGACCAACACAATCCACACATGACTGATCCCAATCATCAGCCCGTTCCCACCAAATGGCTCATGCTTGGATATTCTAGGGTAGTTGACATACCCACCTCGCCTACCTCGGTGACCATGGGTTCCGCAGGCCAAGGGCATTGCTGGTCCAGCTCTCCGCCAGCCGCGCTATTGGACTCTGCAGTCAAGACCACGGGAGCGCCTTGCGATACACTCCGAACAAGCCAGACGGACTGGATGCAGAAGCCGTCAGCTCAAGTCCTTGGGGATTTAATCATCTTCCTAACATTTGTGATTATCACGCAGAGCGTCATACATCTGTGGCGAGGGTACTGCCGAGTAAGAGCGGCAATAGCTGGAAGAGGCGAATTGACTCTAGAGGGCGACGAGAAGCAGTTCCGTGCATGTAACGAAGACATCGAATCAAGATCTGAAAGTCGTCTGCTCAATTAAAGGTCACCCGTTCAAGTGCGAAGACCTTACGAACCCAGCTTGCTCATCCTAGCAGTTAAGGAAAGAAATTTTGATGAGCGAGAGTAGGCAACAGATTCTAAACGCCGAGTCCCTCTAACAGAATTGCGTAGAGTTGCATAGAAGCATCTTCCAAATTCCCTGCCTATCAGTTGCAACATCGCGACGAGTTCAACAGGGTTTTCTATGCTCTCTTTCCAGTGGAAAGGGTCGTCACCCAAGTTCGATTGTATACTCTGACGGCCAGGGTTAGCATGCTGTCCCCTATATCGACGGATTCTCCACAAGGAACACATGCTAAGGACCAGGAAGTATCGATATGATAGTGGGAGGCGGATATTGAATTGGTCCGCATAGAAAGCTAGTATGCAGTATTAAGCCGAACAGGTCCTCTGGAAAGTTGTTTGCGCTGAATCAAGGACCAAAGAAATGGAGACCATCTTTACCATCTTTTCTCGTCATCTCAGGCTGCTCATAAAAAGTCTTGCTTGTAGACGGCTGCTGGATTCCATTACTTCGGCTGGTCACTGGCTTCTGCTCCCTCGTTCACACGTACATCTTCCCAGTCCAATCTCTGAAAGGTAGTCTGGAGGCGTAGCACATCCTAGAGCCCAAGCGTCATTCTAAGTCAATCAGGTGGAATGGCCTCTTGATTGCTGTATTCAGCTCATCGATTGTGTTGTCCGGCCCGGGTCCTTGTATCATATATTTTCTGGGCAGAAGATTTCGCATCCGTATTGCACTCAACTTCGTGTTCTTAGTGCCCTCCACGTTGCTGTACGTACTAGTAGTATCCAGGCCATTTGCGTCTTTGATGGGTAAACGATGCAAGCGCGAACTAACTTTGCCTGTGTGTTGCACATGATAGTTTTGGGCTCTAGTTGAACCTTCTGGTTCCTGATCTAGCTAAACGTCAACTGCATGGCTGGCATCTAGTTACTGCGTATGTACCCAACCTTCAATGCAGTCATGCACGTGCATATGCATGTACATATGCAGCAGAAGCTTCGGCGCGATGTGTTCGGAAAAGGAGAATTACCAGTTGAGGACGTCGACCTTCATCGCTCGAGACGAATTTGGCCCCCTTTGAAATGCTGGCGTGGGAGTTTGCTGTCAACGAAGTTGATGAATTGGTTTACTAAATCAAACGAGACTCCTTCACCAACTTCAGTCGAGGCCTATATCTTTTACCACTGGTCCTAAACTAACCATACATCTACAACACACAAGGCAACCTTGAAGTATCAGCCCAATCAATCCGATACACTAACATGTCACGTCCATCGAGTTCCTTCCCCCCGCTGCACCAAATCAGGCACCTCGAAATAGCCAGGTTGGAGGATCTAAGTCTCCTCATACAATCCTTCCCGGTCATTGACAACCATGCGCACAACCTCCTCCACGAGGATCATGCCTACGGCAGCTCAGACTTCCCTTTCGAATCCATCACATCCGAAGCGCAAGGCACCGCACTCGCTGAACATGTTCACTCTTCACTTTCCCATATTCGTGCAATGAAGCAATTGGCACAGCTTTATGGCTGCTCTGAATCAATACAAAACATTAAGGCTGCGCGATACGAATGGGTAAGAAGGGACTATTTGGGGTTGATCAAAAGTTGCCTCGAAGGCACATATGCAATAATGATGGACGATGGCCTGAATAAAGAGGTGGTGTATCCCTACAAGTGGCATCGACAACTTGTTCCTCGGGTTTCAAGGATTGTTCGGGTCGAAGCCATCGCCGCTGAAGTCCTTGAGCAACTTGTGCTGGTAGCGGGATTGCTCAAGCCTGGGACCGACGCTGACTGGGACCGGGACACGACGGAAGCATTCTTCATTCGCTTCAATGGAGAGTTCCGGAACCAAATTCGAGCATTATCCAACAATGCAAACGTCCGTGGGTTCAAATCTGTCGTCTGTTACAGAAGTGGTTTGAATGTGAGCTTAGAGAGCAGAAAGGCACTTCGACCTCAACAATCCTTGACCGAATCCGGTCTTCTGGCTGCGTTTCAGGAATTTCTGCAGCAAGCGGTCAGAAACAGCAATTACAAGATCGAGAAAAAGGCATTTAATGACTATCTTGTTGTCGCTGTTTGCGATGTTCTTGAACAGCGTGCTAGAACCGAGGGCGAGACCACACCTTTCCAGTTCCACACGGGTTTGGGGGATTCAGATATAGATCTCGTCACAGCAAATCCGGCGTACATGCAGCCGTTGATTGAGGCCTTTCCCAATGTCGACTTTGTTCTCCTCCACTCCGCATATCCATATACTCGAGAAGCCGGCTACCTTGCATCGACTTATCAGAATGCGTGGCTCGATATTGGCGAAGTCTTCCCAATGCTCAGTAGAGATGGACAAGAGTCGGTGCTTAAACAGGCTCTAGAACTAACCCCTACTTCGAAGATTCTTTGGAGCACAGATGGCCATTTCTACCCCGAAACATACTGGTTGGCGAATAGACAATTCCGGGATGTCCTAGAAAAGACCCTCCATGCTGGTGTGATAGCAGGTGATTATACTGTCCCTCAAGCCATCAATATGGCGGTTGATATCATGTTTTGGAACTCGAATTCGCTGTACAAGCTTGATGAAGAGGAGAGGTGCTCACATCTAATGATTGCGTGCGGCAGAGGATCGCCAGAAGCTAGCATGAGGACATTGGTCAATCGCTCTTCGGATGCCGAGTCGTTGAACGCTCTGCTGCATTCCACTGACCCCATTCCATCCCGACAAAACTCAGATCCGCCTCGTCCTGCCCCGGCTGTAAAAAGTCCTGCCCCAAGTACTAAGTCTGAGTGTTCAAACCCACAACCAGACACGAAGCTACCAGATACGCAGCTGCTTGATACCTTTATAGCAGATAATCTCTCTGTGAAATATGTTTGGCTGCATCTTCTCGATTACACCGGCACACAACGTCAACGGATGGTTCCGGTTGCCCAGTTTCGGAAACAGTTGACCAATGGCACCTACATTGGGGTCACTAAAGGCTTAATGCGACTTCTACAAAACGAGCTCATGGCTGATGGTGGGTCAGCGACTGGGCAATTCTTGGTCAAACCAGATCTGTCCACTCTTACCCTTAATAAGGGCCTCGACTCTCCATCCGCCACTGTGCATACCTGGTGGCTCGAAGATGGTTTAGGCACACACTTCGGAGGCTGTCCGAGATGGGCATTAAAAAGGCAGGTAGACCTACTGGAATCGGAATACAGTATCTCTATGCTAATGGGCTGTGAAATTGAAATCGTCTTCTTACGGCCTCAACTCAACAACTTAACAAATGCCTACACTGACTTTCTTCCCCTCCACACTCTTCATTCTTGGTCGAATATGACCTACCAACAACTTGACATCCTTCCAATGATCGAAGAAATCGTCGAGACTCTCGCCGAAATCGATATCCACCTCCCACAATTCCACTCCGAGGCGGCGCCAGGACAATGGGAATTTCCCCTTCCAGCCACCAATCCGCTACAAGCAATGGATATGCTCTACAAAGCTAGAGATGTCATCCGCAACGTCGCTTGGAAGCACGGTCTCAAAGCCACACTCTACCCACGACTCTATGACTACTCATGCGGAAGCGCGTGCCACACGCATTTCAGCATCAGCGGCCCCCACGACAGTGTCCGTAGGTATTCCGACAGTTTCCTGGCCGGCGTGCTCGAGCACCTTCCTTCAGTCATGGCCCTGACCCTCCCACTCAAAGAGAGCTACGACAGGGTGAAAGCCGGCATCTGGGCCGGAGGAGAGTACGTCGCCTGGGGCAGCCAAAATCGAGAAGTCCCACTCCGGAAATGCGGGGATGGGCATTGGGAGCTCAAGACTGTGGATGGGATCGGCAACATGTATTTTGGTATGGCTGCGCTTCTGGCCAGTGGACTGGATGGTCTGAGGCAGGGAAAGCAATTAAGGTTAGGAGACTGTACAGAGGATCCGAGTAAGATTTCAGAGGCACAAAGGACGCAGCTGGGAATCAATAGGAAGTTGCCGAAGGGGTTGAACGAGAGTTTGAGGGAGTTGGAGGGCGATGAGATCTTGGTAGAGAGTTTGGGGAGGGAGTTTGTGCAAGATTATATCGCGGTCAAGAGGAAGGAGATGGAAATGTTGGATGCTATGGGCGAGGAGAAGAGGAGGTTATGGTTGATTGAGCGGTATTGAATCGGGAGGATCAGATGAAGGTTGGACTGTGCTAGGTGGGCATTGGCATGATGGTTCAAGAACTGAACTGCGATGGACAGAAGAACAGGTCGTGAGAGGGGAGGGACGACGGGGAGGTACTATTCTGGCCATTACTATATGTAGAGTGGTCATTTGTTTAATACGACTCCAAAAGCTTGACAAGGTAAAAATTCATGGGAATGTAGAGACGGGACAATGGGAATTCCAACCTGGTCTTTTTCTTATACAGTCTTTGAAAACCACTTCCCTTTTTCTCTCATGTCGTGTTCATCTCAGCTTTGCGTATTCCCTGCTGCTGGAAGAGAGCGTGACGGCGTGCCTATATCGTTTTGAAGATACTTACGTAGTAGAATATTTTGTTAGTCCGCTTACGTTAGGATGATTGATCAGGAACTGCAGAGGTCAAAGTCTTGGAGCTGGCATTAGTAAGCCCAATCATGTCCGCCGAGCCCTTATATCAGGCAGGGGTTGGGGTACGTTTTCGTACGTTTGTAATGTAAGCTTCGCGAGTCCTAAATTAACGGTAATTTTAGATCACTTATATGATATCTTACAGCTAAATCTCAAGATTTTGGACAGATTTTTAGTGTTGATTTTTGATGAGCTTTGAGTCTGGGCGGATGAACGATTTCGGATGCTTTGATGAGAATTTTGGGAAATTTTAAGATCTAATTAGGCTTAGCGTTGTCTATTTCAGGACTAGAGTCAGTTATGGTATTGTAACTCATCTAATGATTGTTCAAACGGTAATCTTAATCTTGATCCCTGCTATCAGGGCTGGATTTCTCAGCCTTCAGATCCTTTGGACATGGGCACACACTACACATGCATCAAACCCGGCACAGCAGGCATCGGAAAATCTATCCCCCACCAACTAACGTGGCAAACTGACATGAATACATGCTACAGGCCCCCTGAGGTAATATTTTAAGCCACCAAATTTAGTTCGCTGCCACTCCACAAACATTCATCAGAACCAATACAAAGATGAGTCCCAATGGCCACAATCGAAGCAATTTATGTTTGCATAGTACCTATTTCAACTATTCGAATCAATTCTTTCTCTAAAATAATGCCAGTAGCGTCTGAACAATAGGAAAATGCTCTAAGACCGACAACGCTCAGTAATATCTGTTGACAGAGGCTTTTGCTTATGTTAGGTGGCCACAACTTGAATATGGGACGTGGACACCCAAGGGAAGAGATATGTCGCCCATCCTGACACGCCTACTAGCACCACACTAACACCCCTGCGGTACCAGGCATAAGCATCCTGGCTCGATGCTAACAGCAGCAGTTCCAATCCTTCTTTTGTCGCCCACCACCCCATTCACCTTGCCTGAGCTTGACTGATATTGGCTTCGCTTGACACTCCGAGCTAACTTATGGATATTTCTGCCTGGTACCGCAATACTTCCTGTCTTTGCCGCCCCCCACCATGGGCCTCCGGGCCTGGTCAAATGCGAGTGGTATTGAATCCTTCCTTGGTCTACTCCATGCATTGCTATATCTTTGTCGACATTTAAAGCCGCTCCTGCAGGGTCAGACTCCGGCTCTCTTTAATCGACTTGCTGCATTCCATTCATTATCTATGTCAAATGGCGAGCTACGAGGTAGTGGAGCAAAACGACCCAGAAATCACACCTGCTGCGACGTCCCCCAGGTCGAATCCGGCGTCGAGTGCATCACCTAAGACCTCCGTCGCGTCCAGCGCTCACGGCAGAGGCTCTGGCGACGATGCTGGCGATGATGCATGTGCGAAGTCCCAATAAATTACCCAATTGTGAGGTTGCTCGACTGACGAGCAAAAAGCTCCACCTTCCTAGTATACGGCCAATAGCAGGTAGAACTCTGAGAAATCTGACCGGTGGAAGGCTTTGAAAACCTTTGCCTCGCCATCCTTTCATGGCCCCGTTCTCGATCCAACGGCATCATCGACCTCCACTATACAGTCATACAGCCATCACGAGCAGCGGTGGAGGTTGTGGAGGAAAAGCATTGGGGAATGGCTGTTGACGGCTACTCTCTGCGGATCTATCGCAGGAGTGCTCCACTCTTACTCTGTGCACGAGACTTTAACCAACCCCCAAAGGCGAACGTTCAACGCTATCATCACAGGTCTTTCAGTCGGCCTGGGTTTAAACCTGATTGCTTCCCTGAAAAGCTACGCCAAAATGATGAGGTGGAGACTCCTCGCCTCGAGTTATCGTCCCCTGGACCAGTTTGACCTCATCATGGGCTGCCATCAGCATATCAATGTACTTCAACTTTTCCTCAAAGCACGGAGGCCAAAGTTCCCCTTCATACTTACCTTTACCCAGCTGATGTGTCTGGTGTGGCTTGCAATATGTGTGGGCGCCACCCTTCTGGTCGCTGTGCTCGGGTTGACATACTCTTTGGAACAGTCCAATGACTACCTAGGCGTCACCACTGGAAACATCAGCGTGGTTGAGCTGTCGTACATTGGAAATTCGAATACGTCCGTGTCTACGTACTATTCAGAGCTTGGTGCTGCATACGCATACGGCATCCAGGGACAAGACTACTGGGTCGAACCAGTAATAGGGGATATGGGTTTGGGCTTCGGTCGGAGCATTGAGGCTGACCCAGCCTACCCAGGATATTCAGAGTATTGGTTTGGCGACCAAAATTCCCGCAATCGGGATGAAAACGGCATGAGTGATCGCTACGTAAATTCTACAGCAGCCTGCAATGCTTACCCTGTGATCAACGACTATAAAACGGAAGGCAATGTCGTCTACCTGGAAGGAGGACAAAACCAAACCGCCTTTGTCTACGAATACGTTCCCGGCGGAATGACATACATCTCACAGACCAATTCCACCTGTGGAGATCGCTGCACGAACATCAATGCATTCCAGCCGATGCTCATCGCTAATAATCAAGCTGACAGTATTGGCGTCGCGCAATTTTTCAAGTGCTACAATATTATCAGCGAGGTTCATAACGTGCCTTTAGAGCATGCGGAGGTGTATGGGCTGCCAGACCTTCAGGCTCGGATGCTTGCTGGGACGGTCGGGTGGCAATCTGGGGAATTCATCAACGACACGCGGCAATATAGCCTGTTTTTCCCTAATACCCCACAAGCGCCCAAGGAGGCGGCGAGTGAGGACTACGTCGCGTTACTCATATCTCATTTTTCGACCAAGGCCATCGCCGCCATGGACCACCGCGGCCCTCGCCGCAGCGTCTCCAGCTCATCCGTCCCAACTTTCGCGGTCTATCTTAAGGTCACGTGGAAATACACCGTCCCTTTACTCTCCATCATCCCCGGAATGCACTTCTTGACCCTGGCCGCCGTCATCATCTGGGCCAACAAAGCCATCATCAAAGACGAAGCCTACATCTCCATCGCCAAACTATACCGATCGTTGGTTGAAGAGCTTGGCCCACACGGATGCCTGATGAGGGGAGAACAGATCATCGATCGACTCGGCAACCCCATGGTGGGTTACGGCTTTCAGGAACTCCATGATAGCGGTGTTGGTAGCAGCGGCGGTATGAAACATGTCGACATCTTTCGCAAGGAGGATAACGTTGCCGTCCAGCGGAGCTTCAGTGAGGGACACCATGATGGAAGAGGTTGGGATAGTAAACCACGACGAGAAGTTCTCAAAGTTAAGCTGGATTGACGATGAATATTTTCTGGATATTTACTACTACGTTGGGTCTCTGACCGGCTTGTTGGCAACAATCATACACCCTTTTACGTAAAACATAAACTCTCAGGCCACCAAACCATGAACGGCCACCCATCCACTTCACCATACAGATCGCCTCTGTCCTCTTGTTCAAGTACCGGCGTCAGAGCATCCACCAGAGCGCTTCAGCTTTAAAATGTCGGAGAGCACTATTCTAGAGCATACATCAACTTAATTATCTCGCTCTCCCTCCTCACTGCCCCCTCCCGGAAGCGTCGACCAAAATAATACCGTGACAGAGCAGGAAATCAAGCCTGGTACACATTCCATCCACAAGAGTTCAATGCTTTTCTACCAATATGCCAATTTCTCATAACAAGTTGGAAATCGCACTGAATCCCAGGACACTTGGAGACTAGTAGAGCGAATCATGTATCCTTCTTGGTATCTTTCCTTTCCCTGTTCTTCTCACCTCGCTGCCTGGCTGACTGGCAGAACCGGTAAGCTTGTTCGGAGAATTCAACTATGACCTAATTTACCTCACGTTATCACCGTCAAGACACATAGTTCTTGTTGACTAGCAACTCCCTGTTTGTGGTCCAGTTCCATCTGAATCTGCTTTCCATTCCATGGAGAGCTCCATAGTTCGTTCAACGGCGCTGATGAGTAGGAGCATCCTGTGAGAATGCTTTAGCAGACCGTCTCCATCAGCTGATTGTTACCGACTGCGTCACGAAGCGTGCCTATGTACAGCCCCATGCAGAAAGGCCTGCTAACGGTCAATCTGGTCTCCGAGAGATCTGCAAGTTCTAGGCCTGCAGAGCAAGCTCCACAGTCTTGCTCCAACCAGATACTGACATTTTGGGGCATCGTGCAACTAGGGCGTCTTTCTATAACGTCACAACTCTTACAATTCAGTCTTCAGGCGAGGACCCACCTACACCTACACCGTCTGACAAAGCCGTCAATGAACCTGTGCGACAACATCCGAAGAAAATGGGTGACCGGTTCGGGGTGGCCACACGTGGCCGCTACCAGATGGACTATCGATCTAAGAGATGGGCTCGCCTAGAAGTTATGGCTAAAGCGCCTGTCTCGGGCATTGTCAGAACGTTATGCTTCGAGCATTCAATGCAAGGTCAGGCTAGCCTTATCATTCATGCATGGGTCCTCCCCAAGAGCGTACGAAGGAATCTCTCAACGAGCCATAGCCTCCCAATTAGGAGGAGAAAACCCTGCATGAAGCAAAAGCTTTCCAAAGTCAACTACCTTGGTCGAAACACATGCGTATGCAGAGCCCTCGATGGTGGCGCCAATGCAAGAACAGCAAACTGCAGGGCTGAGTTGCCTCGATATTACAGATCAAAGGCCAATGAGAGTAAGACCCGGACAAAGGCTGCGAGCCATCTCGTAGGGCTGAGAAGGATGGACAGCATCGCAACGGTGAATCAATGAGAGCGACCTCAATATACAACCGAATATGGTCACTTACCTAGACTGGTTTCGTCGTTCTCAATAAAGTTGTTATTGAAGAAGACGCCGGAATCTAATCTTTTTGAGAAAGCAGTATTTTGCGGATGACCAGCCGGAGATGGCTCCTAGCCAGTGCAGAAATCAAAAGACAAGGTGTTGCTTGCCAAAACCTTGAAATCAACAACCTCGAATCTGCAACTTAGGCGACCATGATATTATCCGAAAAAGTAAACAATAGGAATCTTGTATGATTGTCCTCGCCGACGAGTAACAACGGGTGCCAACATTTAACGTTGGAAGAAACCATGCCTGGAACAGGATTGGGCCGATGTCCTTGGTCCACGGTCGAGGGCCATCCTCGCATCGATGGTTTCCCAGGAAATTGCGGCGTCGTTGCTACTTCTTACATCGATGTAGTTCAGACGTCTGCTGAAGGGGCTCGACTTTGAGACGTGAGAGTTTTGTAATCGTAGTTGACCTCGCTTGGAAACAAACATGTAGTGGCTTGTGTTATCCATCTCTTGTGTAACCTGCTCCAGGCTTTGAAACAGTCACTATCGAGTCTGATCAGCGGAAGTTGCCAACGTTCGTATTCTTTATTGATAGTTAGTTATCTGATCATTGCTTTTCACTGTCTTTGCACTCTACTCTACTCTTCTCCTCTCTTCATCGTCGATTTCCCTCGAACCATTGCTCCCGTTGTATTACTGCATTCTCTCCCAAAAGGCGGGAACTTGTGTAAGGTTTCCGTTCTTTTTTTTAGCTTAAACGACACTACATCGAGCTATCGGTTCCACGAATCCACACATCGATAGTCATGACCGCCATCACGCTACCAAGTAGCAGAGGCAGACTCTTCGTGCCTCTCATATCGAAACGCTTCCCAACGCTCGTTGCATCCCCTTAATGTGATTCACAGGACACCATGATGCCAGCACAGTACCTGGACCAATATGAGGAGGCCAGTAAATGGGCAGGTCCCCTTGATGAGGTAGAACCCTCAGTGAGTCATTCTAACAGTTTCCGGGCTGACTTGTATTTTGGGAGACTAGACTTGATAATCCGGGCGTCGGGTATGATTGCGTTGAGGTTGAGAACTAACTCTTCATCGTGCCGTAGCGCATCGTGTTGGTGCCGCTACATCTGGTGCCTGCCATGCCGCTGATCTTGACTGATTGGCCAAGGGTCAATGGGGGGAAGAAATGAACTTGTGTACTTGATTTGGGCAGTTAGTTGCATCGCCAACGGACGGAAGGTCGGACAACTACGTCCATGTCGTCTTCGTGTAAAGTGAGGACTTGGCACATGAAAAGGAAATCAATGCTCATATTTCCGAACGGGGCGGAGAAGTTGGCTTCGATGCTGCATCCGCCGGAGAGGAGATCATCGGCAAACGGTCCTTTATGCATAATTTAGTGATTCGGGAGACTTCTTTGGTGCTCTTGGGGTAGGCAACTGCTACGGGTGATTGGTCGATGTCGATTGAGGATTGCGCTGAGCAGCCATGATAGCGAGGATCCTCATCATCAGTGCTGATTGTTTCTTCCCCCAGGATCTGGCGAGCTCATCAAGTGGCTATTTGGAACATAGAGCCAGTGCTCCTACAATACGGCCAAAGTCGGGTTAGTATACCTTTCAAGGTCCGGAGCCCTGACACATTGTGCTGGTGTTACGTGCTTTGGTTGAATGGATTAGGCATTGATCTGGGTTGACCGTCCCTGGTAAAGTTAAGTGCTGCTCCTCCACTTATTGTAGGCGTAAAAAGGTCCAATGAAGGAATTTAGCGAGGCATTTTGCCATTCGTCCAGAATCGGTGTTCATCAGCGCCCAAAGTTGGTATGTTTGACCGGCGGCGCGAGGGAGTCGCTTGAGGAGAATGGGAGGGGGAAAGGGGGTGCGCGCCGCTTCAGGCTTGAGCGTGCCCCAAGCCGCAGGGGGTGGTGGCTGAGGCGGCTGGTGCATCTCGGAACAAACCTCTTCATGAATCACTTCTATCCTTTTGAAAGCAGGAAAGTTGGTGTCGCATCCTCAATTACCTCTTCTACCATCCTGTTTGATACTCTCGGACTCCTCCAGGTAATGATGTCGCGTGTGAAATGAGAAACTTTTCCAACCAATTGGCGGTTCCCCACACCCAGCCTCGTACCCTGCCTCGCATGAGGTTAATAGCTGCCGGTCTTAAATCAGAGCTATCGACCAATTTGTGGTGTTCATGCTGTCACTAAAGTAGGAACATTTCCTGATCCATTTCTCCAACCATGCAAGTTGTTGGGTGTTCACAAGAATTAACCCGCGGCGGCGGATGGGAAATCACAATGAGGTCGAACAGGCAACCGAGTCGCCAATTCGAGCCGCGGTTGACATCAAGAAACATTGGCAGTATCCATCGCTTTCACATACGACGTGTCGTCATTGTTGTGAAGCATTATGGAGAATATTAGCAGCTTGATTCGTGAGGTTGACAACCTCTTGACCGGCACCACCGAAGATGCCTTGAAGGTATGTCTTTCTTGCTCAGTAGTAACCTTGATCTTAGCTGTACAACCGAGTCCAGCATGCGTATGCTGACAGATGTACAGTCTTTCGGCTGTTTCCTGCAGAATGAGAATATCGGCCAAGGCGAGCTTGCCATATGGGCATTGGCAAAGCCCTGCCAGATCGTCCCGCTGGCGAAACTGGTTATCGACCTCAACCAAGAGCCCAGCATCTTCAGAAGGCTAGCAGTATTGCCCACCTTTGTCAATACTGTCCTGGAGATGGATCCATCTTGGATAGAAGATCGTCCCGACAGAACGGACACGGGTGCAGCCAGTAACCTGTCTCAACGCCACCGATTCCATTGTGCTGCTTTAGTGGCTCATTATACACTGAACAAGGAAGCTCTTCCTATTTCGACTCAGCAGCTCGTACAAGATGCAATCGTCTCCGCGGCTGAGAGTCCAACTGAGGCAAACCTTCGTTGTCTCTCCGATGTACTGAGTGCTCTTCCGGGCAACATTCTGGATTTCTTCACCGAGAAGTCACTGAGCAGACTATCAACTCGGTGCAACGATATTTGTTCTGGATCGACCAAGAGGGAAGAGTTTTCCAGGATCATGCTTGCGCAGGACCTACTGGCACAGGTAGCCGTCGCTTTTCAGACCCCTCAAAGTCCTTCGAAGAGTTCACTTGAGACACCACCAGGGGTCAAATTCTCCGAGAAATGCCGAAAACGCGTCTTCAAGCTCTTCTCTGGCTCTAACGCCTTGAGCGCGCTCAAACTAATTGTTCTGTACTTGTCCGTGTTCTGTTCTGATGACCCAGGGTCATCGCCACTTCTTCCGCTTGAGGCGATGATATTGGCACAGAGAATCATCGCGCCAATCAGTGTGCCTGTTCGGCGGCAGTGGGTGGAAGAATACCCACTCCTTATCGAGAAATTCCTTTCCAGATTAAATCGAGAAGCACTTGGTCTAAATATACGGCTCGAGGTGGGTTGTTGCACTGCACTATCCAGGATTCAGGTCTGGGAGCTAACAGTTTCGCAGGGTGTGATGTTCTGCTTCTTGCTTTTCGGTGCAGATAGTGAGATGTCACTCGCCCTAAAGAAGGTAGCAAGTGCAGTACTTGTTGCTGTTTGTGATCCTAAATCCAGCTACGACAGCGCTGTAGCAACAGGAAACGACAAAGCCATTGCAGAAATTCTAGTCCGTTTGTGCTCTTCTAAGGCTAGTCCAAGTAGGACGTTACCTGGCAAATCTGCAATAGTGACACGGATGTTGTCGTTTATTGTGGAGCAGTGTCAGCCTTGGTGCTCGAATGCAGTAAATACCGCCCTCAAACTTTACCAAGCAAAACACGTCCTGAACTCTTTGCATAGTGCTTCTAATAGATCTGGCATCTTGCCATGCATTGTTGATTTCATTCAGCTTGGTTACGTGCCTGATTGGTGGGGTTCAGAAGTCACATTCCCGTTGTCATTCCGAGACAGTGAGGTCGTGAACTGTATTGGGGAGGAGGTCTGCTCAGATTCTCTTGAGCGGCTACGTCTCGAACTAGCCACAAGTTTCTCCTCTCTCCTTCTAACAGCTGCCTGGCATTCAGGCCGATCACTCCAACAACCTGAAACCTGCCAAAGACTACTCAATCGATTGAAAGAATCCTCCTCCGGGACGTCAGATACGCTCTGCTCGTATAGCGGCGATCAAACCATGGGCCTGGAATACAATGTGGCGTTGATTGAGGCTCAGACTGAGTGTGAAGCTTTACGTGCCCGTCTACAGAATGAAACCGCCCAGCGAATCGGTCTTGAAGAACAGCTCGCACAGACAAAGAGGCTGCTGAAAGAAGAAAAGGATGCGAGCAGTGCGCTCGAAAGTTATCTGGAGACTGCTGAGCGGGAATGTGCTGATATGGGAGACCGTCTTCGACAATCTCGCGAAGATTACACAGAGCTCTTGGCAGATGCGGATCGAAAGGTGCAAGCGGTGGAAACGAAGTACGTCGTAGAACAGGTAAACTACCGAGCAGAGTTGTTAGGACGAGAAAAGGAGCTGGAGATCGAATTAGAGGAGGTAGAGTTTGACCTGGAGCACAAAGAAGAGGAGCTTCAGCTCGAGAAACAGAAACGAGAGAACGTCGAGGCGGAGATGAAGGCGGCGCTGGCACGAGCAGACGGACAGGTAGGTACAGATATCCGCCAGTCATGGTGTTTCACTAACCCGAAGATAGATTGAGGAACTACGCTTGGCTGTGGCTGAGAAGGACAAGGCTTTGGGAGAAGCGGAATCTCTGAGAATGAGGCTCGTGGCACTTCTTGGAGGAAGAGTCGACTGATATCACACTCTTCGGGTAATAGTCTGGATGCGAGTTGTCATTGCTAATGTAGGGGTCCACGAAAGGATGCAAATGTTGTTCTCCTACATCCGGCTTGTCCTCTGCAAAGTATGAAAACAGGACAGGTTCTTCTCCCTCTTCTCCTCCTTCTCTTCATTCCCAACCCTCTATCTGACCAAGTCGAATTGCCTTTGGTACTTACGTGAGCCTTTGGACACTTGCCGGACGTGTCTTCCAAGCGCTGTGCCGGTTTCTCAAACAGGCTCTGCAACGATCCGCTCGGCAGAGCAATCTTGTCCAGCATTTCTCACGTTACTGCCGACAAGCACATCCATAGCCCAAGCGGCTAAGCGGCAAACAGATGCTGCAAGCAGGATCGAAGCTGACGAATGCCCATTCTTTACGCATTCAAGGTCGATGAGATATGTACAGAATAGAGGAAGTCCAAGAGCAGTTTAACTCGTTTGCGTTGTTTGGTGCTCCAACGACATGCATCTGGCTTGAGAGGGAATAGTCAGGAATGAAATGTATGTTGTGCAGCACAGCACATAACCAATTGGCGGTGTGTTTATCAGCATTTTGATTGCTGCTGGTGGAGAAGTCGCGCTAACCAGTTCTTGGCACCATTTCTCCTCACGGCGATTTTTGCATCTTGAAGTACTACCAAAAAGTAGCAGGGCAAGAAGTGAACAGCAGTGACAAGGCACCTCCTGGCCAGTTCCGTTTTTCTGTAATTGCAGAGAGATGAAGCTATGATGCCGGAGTAGCAACACATCCGGTGGTTGCTGTGTTCCTTCTGCTCTCTAACTCCATACTCCGGATTGCCACTTTGCTCTCTAACCCAGCCAAGCAACAAGCCGGAGTGCACAAACAACGAATAGCTAGAGCAGAACAACAAGCAATTCACTGCATGAGCTTGTGGCTTCCTACTTCTGCGTTCTTCCAATTGATCTTACAGCAGCTGAAAGCGGACCTTGAGGTCTGGACTGGGCCACCACCCTACACCGCTTACATCCTAGAGCGCCATCATGGCAATCAGCAATGAGGGTAGCCCGAAGCTGGTCAGGGGCAGGATGACCTATGGCTCTACCGGCAGGAGGCGGCATTCGTCCAAAGCCAGGTCATCAATATCTGGAGCATCTTGGGATCAAAGCCCATTACCACTGTCTTTACGCGGAACATCCTTCAACACAACCACAAGAATACCCACCGCAGCGAAAGTCCGAGATCATCAGAAAGTCAGACTGAATCGACCGCATCTTCCCCCCGGAAGTTCTCGAGTCATTCTTGCATTTAATCAAAGTTCGGAGCAGGTGAGACCATTCGACGCATTCGTGAACGTGCCTTCCCCATTTGCAAAGCAGAAAGAGGTTGCCAAGGACCAGGGCTATCCTAGTACTCCCGAACTAGATATTGAACCTCCATTCACTACTACTAGTAATGGTTTCAAAACACTGCCGAGCTTCCATTATACCTCTACTCCTCCTTCTCCGCCCCCAGAACATACTTTTGTGAATCATACAGACTTCACCCCAGACACCACCATGTATTCGAATAGAAGAGCTGAAGGCTATCTCGATGCAAAAACAAGAGCAATAAACCTTCAGCATACGAAGCCAGAATGGACGACTTGGGACTTTCTTGATCTCTACCTTAGCAATCTTCCGCCAGGCATCAAGACAGTCGACATCTGGAGAAACTTCAAGAGAGAAGGTGATGTCGATCTAATTGATATATTCGTCACTCGAGGTGGTCAAAAAGACACCAAAGCACGACTGAGGTTCAGGCAAGTCTTGTTCAAATCCTGTCTCCTGCTATGATTAATCGCATGCAGACCGCCACCCAGAAGAGACTTCTTCACATCTTCATCCAAATACACTCTCAATTTTGAAGGCGGCAGGACTTGGCCTATCCAGGTCCAGCTTGATAGGGATCAGAGAAAGACGTTCACAACGACCAGTCCCGTGAACGAGAACGTGACTTATCCTGATACTACTGTACGTGTATCTCGCGCAGTACAAGGACAGAATTTGCTAACCAGCAAAAGGAGCTTGGCGCGGAATCTATCGACTTCGGAGTTCTCGTCGCTCCAGATACCATGCTCGTCAAGCGCACCCGGCATTCTACTCCACGTGGCGCAGTCTCAATGGTGCTGAATCTCGGTCGCAGAGAAATCTCTATCCGCTTCCCATCCGTCTATGCTGATAAGACTCGCGAGTACAAGTTCACTATACCCATAGACCAAGTGTTTGACCTTTCTCAATTCCAGGAACCGGACGATACCAAAACATCATTCATATTAACACTCCGAACACCGCCTCATTTCTACAAGAAGCTTTCGGGAGGGATATCAGCCACCCATGATGATGCAGCCTTCACCTGGAGAGAAGATGACGCTTGGCTCCGCCAGACGAATGTGTTTAGCAGTGAACAAGAAGTGGCTCTCCTGAAGGCTTGTTCGGTTACTCTCAAGAATCATCCAGAGGGTGTTGTCAACATTGGCCGTTGGACAACGTACAGAATTACCGTCGATGACAAGTCCGTTGACAAAGAAAAGTACCGTGTGTTCAGAGCTGCATTGAGGGACTATAACGTACCGATTGCTAGAGTCGGGAGGTTTCTGCTTGCTCAGAGGGGAGAGCCTGCTTGGGACCTTCTAGATGCGTCTCTTACGGAACATGACCCCACCACAATCACCTCTGCCGCACAAGTAGCCTTCGAGCACTCCCTCCACAGTCTTCTTAATCCGAAGATGAACGAGATCTACCTGCCGTTCCCAGTGAGATATCAGCTCGATGTCTGCATTTCAAATGGCTGGATCAATGAGCATAATATAACTAGGGAGTTCCTCGAAACTTTATCAAAGACGGACCATGAGAGATCAAAGCATGTTCTCGAATGTGTAGCCCTAAATAATCTGCGCATCTTCGACCCCATGGATGTGTTCCAGCTGCGTGTACGTAGACTGCCGTCGATGAGAAGCAGAATACCCGAGAATTGCGTGCTCATACGATCTGTGATCATCACCCCATCGACGATGATATTAACCACTCCCTACATCGAGATGACGAATCGAGTTATCCGTCGGTACAAAGAGCATGCTGATCGCTTTCTTCGGGTTCGTTTCGAAGATGATCAGTTTCGTGGCTACGCCAGGATTGGTGCCACAAGTCAGAAGACAATGGATGAAGTTCTTAGCAAAGTCTTCCGCACTCTCACAAGGGGGATTGTTATCGGTGATCGTCACTACGAGTTTCTTGCCTTCGGCAATTCTCAACTTCGTGAACATGGCGCCTACTTCTTCGCCTCTTTACCCTCAGGTCCGACAGCTTCTCACATTCGTGCATGGATGGGCCGCTTCCACCATGAGCGAATTGTCGCGAAGCATGCTGCCCGTATCGGTCAATGCTTTTCGACAACCAGAGCTATCAGAACTGCAGGTTTTCCACCAGTACGGCAGAGTGATCTCATCGATGACATTGAACGCAATGGCTTCAACTTTACCGATGGGGTCGGCAAGATCTCGCGCTTCTATGCTGAGACAATCGCAAAGGAGCTTGGAGTTCGAGGAACACCTCCCTCTGTCTATCAATTCCGAATGGCTGGCTGTAAAGGGGTATTAGCTATCGCTCCTGAACTTGGCGCAACTAATGTCAAGATCCGCAAGAGCCAGTTCAAGTTCGAAACGACATATTCTGGCATGGAGATCATACGATGGTCCGAATATTGGGTGGCAACTCTCAACCGTCAACTGATCCTTGTGCTATCTTCTCTCGGAGTACCTGACGACATCTTCCTCCTCATTCAAGACAAGGAAATCCAGCTCATGGAGCGTGCTATGGTTAACGATACTGCGGCCATGGAAGCCTTGACCGGACATGTCGACCCCAACCGCATGACATTGACCATTGCGAGTCTGGTACAAGCAGGTTTCCGTCGAACAAATGAGCCATTTGTCACCTCATTGCTGGCACTATGGCGTGCATGGTCAATCAAGTACCTGAAGGAGAAGGCCAAATTGCCTGTCCGAGAAGGAGCCTGCATTCTAGGCTGCACTGATGAGACAGGCACGTTGAGAGGTCATTTCGATGCCGATCAAGTTCTCGAAGAGGAGGCACCAGAGAGCAGAATTGCCAGGCTGCCCGAAGTTTTTGTTCAGATCACCTCTCCCGATTCTGGATATCGTAGGGTCATCGAAGGACTTTGCGTTATTGCTCGAAATCCATCGCTTCATCCCGGAGATATGCGAGTTGTCAAGGCCATCGACGTTCCTGCCTTGCACCACTTGGTCGATGTTCTAGTACTGCCTCAAACAGGGGATCGAGACATCTCGAGTATGTGCTCCGGTGGCGATCTTGATGGAGACGATTATGTGGTCATCTGGGACGAAAGGTTGTTGCCAAAAATATGGAATGCTGAGCCAATGGATTATACTCCCCCGCCTCCTACGCCGTTAGGGCGAGATGTTACTCAGACCGATATCACCAAGTTCTTTGTGAAGTACATGAAGAATGACTTCCTGCCGAAGATCGCGCTTTCACATCTTGCTTGGGCAGATTTCCTGGACGAAGGTATCAGAGATGGAAAATGTCTTGAGCTCGCTCGACTCCACTCGAAAGCTGTCGATTACCCGAAAAGTGGACAACCTGCACAGATGCCAAAAGCATTGAATGCGAAACGATGGCCGCACTTCATGGAGAAGAAAGGTCGTAATACATACAAATCTCATAAAATTTTAGGACAGCTGTATGATGCGGTTGACCGGGTGGCTTTTCTACCAAATTATGATGCGCCATTCGACGTGCGCATTCTTGATGCCTCTGAGCCCTCTGACGACATAATGCAAGACGCCCGTGAACTGAAGCATGAATATGACACTAGCCTTCAACGCATTATGGCTCAACATGATATTAAGACTGAATTTGAGGTGTGGTCTACGTTTGTCCTCGACCATAGCAAAGCTTCAAAAGACTACAAATTCCACGAAGAGATCGGACAGCTATCCAATAGCTTGAAAGAGCAGTACTACAACGCAGTAATCGACAAAGCCGGAGGAAAGAGCTGGAGCAACCTCGTTCCGTGGGCAGTGGCAATGTATCGGGTTACGAAGGAGGAGCTCGAAGCTGCGAGATTGCAGGGTAAAGGCGCGACCATGCCTTTCATCAGCTTCCCGTGGCTACTCCGCAGCACATTAACTGAGATCGCCAAGGGCGTGGACAGCTTGGCCACCAAGAAGCAGGATTGTGGTGGTAGAGATCTCTTGGACAATATTCGAGAGCCAACCTTTAATTCGGAGACACAAATGTACGATGATCCGTACCAGCCCGGGGCAAACGAATCTGAAGAGCTAGTTCTGAGTGACCCTTTGAAAGAAGAATCCTTGGTGGCAAAAGAGCAAGCTCCTTCAAATGACCTTTTCGTTACAGATTCAAATCAGGACAGCGACATTGCGAGTACTGCGCAAACCGATGCTCATCACATTGACAACGAGGGGTTTCCGCCTGGATCTTATGTTCCAGGTCTAGGAATACCTCCGCAGCCGACCTCTGAACAATTCCACTGGATCGAGGAGATCATCAACCGCCCCAGATCGTCGGACGTGTCCCCGAAGAGTATACTGAACTCTTTCTCCGCTTGTGGTAAACCAGCCAGTAGAGACGACGCAGTTGGAAAGCATGAGGAGAAATTCGCCCATCATAGTCGAACGGATCCACCTCTATCCCTAATTCAACACAACTCCATGATGCCACCCTCACTACGTGTTTCCGATGCAAGCAGCCCCCTTAACACGCAAGAATCGGTGAACGAGTCTACTCCTGTCAGGGAGCTTTCCAAAATCTTCAAAGGAATAAAAAAGATGGTCAAATCAAATCAGCAGAATTCCAGTAGCGAGACTGATGCACGCGTCAATATCGAGCCAAACGATGGAAAGGAAAACCGAGATCGCTCTGCAAGCTTCTCGATCTCTTCCTCCACATCCGACGATCTTGCAGGCCTGCAGGTACAGCCTGGGCCGCCAGTAGCATCTGACCTTGATCAGTCCGAAGAATATGTGAGTAAGGACCGAAGCTACGGCTCGGGTTTAGATGTTCGTAATGGAGACCGCAAACAGCCGAGCTCTTCGATCGAGGGGACGGTGCTGCGACCAGGTACAATCTCTGAGGAGAGGAAGCATCCGGCCCAGTTCACTTGGAGCGGACTGCTTGGTAAGGGCTCCCTTGACAGGAAGAGGGGTGAAGGCGACGGTTCCCAGGAGAAGTGCCGTGTAAGTCCAGGCGAAAATAAGAGATTGGTTGATAACTTGTTTACTAAGAGGAAGAATCAAGTGGGTGACCACCCGCAAGATGTTCTTGGGAGCAGCAACAGTCTAATCGAGGAGGACGCCGAAGCACACGGAATGGAAACAATTGTTCAGGAGATGGTCTTCGCAGATCCTTCAGCAACTGGCGGGGGCAAGCGACACACTGCGGCAAAGTTTGGCCTACGAGCCACCGATGCCGGGAATCGCAGTCTGCTCGATGATGATGATTCCAACGATGCAGTCGGAGGAGAGAGTACGAGGGACGAAGCAGTTTTCATGAATCCGCTCGCGAGCAGTGGTGGCGATCCTGGTATGAGTGGAACGCCATACCATGGAGATAAGCGTGCTAGCAGCTATAGTCTATTAGATGATGGCTTGCACAGGGCACAAGACGAAGATGATGATGATGATGATGACGACGAAACTATTCTTATGGATCCACTCGCAAGCGGCGGCAGTGAGAACGACGCAGATCGCCTGCTCAAGCTTGGTGGTCTATGAGATGAAAGAGGTGTTGGGATTGGCTCAGCGAACATGCATCTATAATGCATCGCATCTCTGCTTTTCTTTTTGCTTCGCGTTCAATCGACCGGATTTTGCAAGCGAAGCATGGCAGGCAGGCAGGCAGGTAGCTCAAGGAGCATAACCACATTTCGATTTTTCCAAGTAGAGTGCTGGGAAGGGCAGAGCTCAACACATTTTCTCTCAAGCGGGTGTCTTCACTGCATTATAACCCAATCGCAACGTGGTCATCGGTCAGGGAGGAACAACATTTATCGCTGTAAGACTGAATCAGACAAGGGCAGCCAGCTTCTCTTGCGAGATCAAGATACTACGACCTAGATTCTTACCTCGCAATGCTTGACTTTGACTATGATCTGACTGCGCATACGTCCCCCAGAGTTCAAATCCAATCCGATTCTACAAGCAAAGCACAAGAGATATCGGCCAAAGACTCGGACAATTATCTGTGTCCACTCGAATCCTATCCCATCCCATCTTACCCTCTATCCTCGTGCTGCTGCTATGCCTCTCGTTTCCCTTCCCCTTTCCCTTCCCCTCTCTCTTCCTCCCTCCCAATCTCACGGCCCTCACTTCCACTCAACACCACAGGAAGTGGCCACGGAAAATGAAATGTAATCAAGCCCCTTCCATCCTGGAATGCGCGCCAAGCATGCCAAGCGGATGCCCTGTCGCGGTTGGGCATCCAGGAATGAGAGACAGGAAGCTGGCATTTGGTGTATTCGAAAGGTGGAACATGGACGTGGGATGTTGCATGAGAAGGGTGATGGTTCATCTTGTCTTGCATTTGCTTTTATATAGATGAAGCATGAACGTACATCATGGTTGATCGTCATCCAGCCTGGGGAGAAAAGGGGCGAGCTGGTCTGCAGCTGCTTCGACTCATTCATTGCCCTAACGGCCAATAGTCGTGCAATTTTCACTGATAGTATGGTTGAAATGTGACTGGGAGGAGCCGGACATTCCAGTCGGTAGTATCTTGAAAGTCGTAGAAACGTAACTTACTTAGTACTTGTGTCATGACAAGTCCACTGCTGTAAAATATGAAGCGGCGGATGCTTCTCTCATTCACCCCGAGTCCATACCCTCACGCTTCCATCCCCTTTGACCTGGTACAACCACTCTCCTTCTTCTTTGACACCCGCTTCGCCTCCCTCCGTCTCCTCCAAGCCAGCAGCAGCAGCACCACCTCCGTTACTAAACCTCAATACGCCGCTCACATCCCTTGCCGCCCCCGTATCCAATCCCCGCAACTGCACCACCCGCTCCGCCTGATGCGCCATCCCCGATACAAACTCCCGGTGTGACAGCTCCAATGGAGTTGCTGCCGCGTTCGCACCATTATGAAGTAAAGGCCCATCAGCGGAGAGGGTCAGAACGGTGGAATGGATGCAGGATCTGGAGCGGAGGGTTAAGAGGAGGGAGGAAAGCGTGAGGGGGGCTATGTTGGCAGTAGGGGGGGAGGCGGCAAGGAGGAGGTCAGGAGAGTCGAGAACCAGAACGTAATTCTGCAGTGGTAGGTGAGTGGGGATGAGGGAGAGAAGGCGGCTTTCGAGGGTTGCGAGAGTGGTGAGGGGTGCGAGGGTGTGGATATTTGCGTGAGGCTGGTGGGGGAGAGGAGGGGTTGGGGTGCTGGGCGGGTAGGAGAGGTGGGTGAAGGCGTCAATGTAGATCAGGCGAGGGTTTGAAGCGGAGAGGAGGGAAGGCAGATCGAGGCCCTGTCGGTCTGTTAGCAAATTGCGGTTTTATGGGTTCAGTGTAGAGGAATAGGGGGAGAAGATGGTGCAGAAGGCTTGGGCGATGTATATCAGGACGAACAATCTTCTTTCCCATTTCTCTCCATAGCTCGAAAGGGCGGAGGAAGCTTATAAGTATGACTTTCAAGTCTTTGTTCTTATCATGTGTTGTCTCCTCGTTGGCGCCCACTGCGACTCGAGCAGCCGTCGTGGCATGGCCATCTTGGTTTTCTGGACGAAGCGCTGCGTAGATGTACCGCAGCAGCAGCCAATTGGATGTGGCGTCTAGTACAGAGGTGATGAGTGTCAGAGAGCCAGGAGCAGGAAGCTTGAGTAAAGGCGAGAGATTGGACGGGATGGGTGTGGGCATAGAGAAGGATGGAGATACAAATATTTACTAGTATGCGCTTGATCAAATTCAGATGCTGCATACAGTAGGCATACACAATACGCGATATTGAACCGAGTTCTACAACGGATATGGCCCAAATCAGCACCATCACCCTTAGACATGTCAATATGTTTCAAAGGATGCTGCTGTAGAATTTGCTATGGGTATATTGCTTGACAGGTCCCTTTATTTTTGCTTTGCATGCATCTCTCTGAAGCTGTATGCGGAGTCAGCCCTTTGGAGTGAGCCCATCTCATGAATGCGCCCCGGCCATGTTCTTAAACCACTGTGGTCAGCTTTCTTGGACACTTCCTTTCATCTCCCTGTGTCCATCTACTCTGTCTTCGGTCCCCTTGCCCCTTTTGGTCCTCCGGTCTGAAATCCGTTCTTGAATTTCCTCGCGATGTGCTTCAAGTGCTGCATTCGCCCAGTTCCAGTGGTCTTTCTTCTCTTTGCCTTCTCGCTCCACTCATCTGGTGACACACGACGGTCAGTACTTTGTCCATTCTTGGGGCCAACTCGGAGACCCAGGGAGCCAAAGGCGTGTCGGCAAAAGTGGCGATGTTACATACATTTTCGAGTCTTAGCAGCTGGGTAGCCACATGATGAGCATGTATGTTTTTGAATGTGAAGAGAGCGACGACCTGTGAAATATCAATGAATCAGCCCTGCGGTCTTGAGACAAATTTCCAGCGCAAAGCTCCATATCCATGATCCAGGCAGGCAACATACCACATCGTCTGCAGAGGGTGTGTGACTTGTTATGGCGCTTGCCGAAGCTTGATGTTCCCTTCGCTGTTCGAATTGTCAATATTGGTCTTATCGGACTGCGTGGTTCGAGAGCATACTCATGGTGACTAGGAAATCGTTACAGTTAGTTATAGCTCTATTAAGTGCATTGGAGGGAGAAGAAGAGTTGCAAACGTACTAGTTTACCTGACGAATTTGAGGTTGAGAGTGTTGTCGCCGACTCGGAATTACTGAATTACTGATTTCACTTTCAATTTTGGCCGCACACTGACAGCTGAGTGCGATAGATGATGGCCAAGATAACACTAGGCCGGATTCAATTAGCTCGTCTTGTCCATCCTCCAAGTCCTTCACTTCAGTCAGATGCAAGCATATCAAGTCTACCGCAGTACCCAGATATTGTACATGATGCTGTACATGATCTTTAAATGCCATGAGCTCTTCCTGTCTTGTGCGCAGTCCGGCAGACCTAAATGCCAATCTTTGCAGCTTTCAAGGGGTCGAAGTCCAGTGGCCGCTGTCGATTGCAAGACCTATACGCTCTTCATGCGTGGTGGTTCAATGCACAGCTGCTCCATCTGTACTCCGCGCTCTGGATGAAAGTAACAAGGGAGCATGACTGATTGATGTGAAGCGGGGCCTCCAAGTGTCATGCTACTTATATCTAGGGCCGGATCCCGCTCACCGTGTGAATTCATCCATCCGGCCACCATGTCTTGAAATGCAACGACCTTATTCACGGGCTGAATCTACATCTGAGGAGATATGCTTATAGGTGAAGTTAATGTCTGGAAATACAATACTAACGGTGTGGCATGACCCCTAGAGTATAGGGCTATGATTACCTCATCCGTCAAATTTAACTAACTAGTTCAGAGGAGCATCATGCCTAAGCGACACTTCTTTTACCCTATTACCTTTGCATCCAATCTTTGATTCAGGGTTTTTCGTGTCTAGTCTTTGAACTGCATTGTTAGTAGTGAACTTGGGATAGATGTCAAAGAGCCCCTTTAACACCTTCCAGGCACTTTGTAAAAGGTGCCCAAATGTGATACCATCAGCTTTCTCACGTCCCCTCGCCGCTTCTACTGACAAATATAGCGAGGTTTTGACGCACAACATCTCTATCAAGGCCTATGATAGCTACATGATAGATCGTTTTTGAGGGTTATGCCCGAAATCAGATTCAGCATTGTGGCTCAACAGTACGCGAGTTCGCCCTAATCAACAATATTCCGTACAACAGAGCGTGATAACTATGCCATTTCGCGAGAAGTAAACTGGTGTCTTGATTTCCGTCCCCCGATCCCGTTCCAAGAATGTCGTTGAGAAGTTTGAATATTGACCTTACGTAGTACTACTCCGTATGGGAGGAGGCATACTACGGTAAGAGGCGTACGGTTAGTGATACAGTAGCTAGTTTTTGATACACGGGTCTGGCGTCCTCCGGAGCTGCTATACGTAGTAATACAGAGGTCGCTCTGTCTTCCATGGAGATTTCGGTACTTGGTATGGTAGGAGCTTTGTGCTTTGTGTTCATGTACGACGTAAGTTAGGATCCGGGGTCGCCGCAGTAACCTCCAGACTTTTCTACCTCCTGATGCATGATTCTGTCTATTTTGCAGTAGGTGTGCCTGAGCCGGGCATTTTGTCAGCTTCTCAAGTCGGACACAATCGCTAAGGACTGGGGATGGCCCTAGAACAGGGACAGCAAATGCTCGCCTGTCTGCTCAGTAGACTCGCTTGCATGTTAATATTTTCTCCATCGCTTCCTCAGCCCATCGTTACTGCACTTTCCATTACGGTATCCACCACGTGTAACTGCCTCAGATCCAGGCAGGGACAGCAGGTGCCAGCAGCCTGGGTGCAGCGCGCCATATTTTCTTATATAAAGCTTTCTTTTTATTCCTTTACACACCCTCCTTCTGCTGTCCTGCCTCTCATTGCCGTAGTCTCTCGGTTCGAAAGATGAAGTTCTCGGTTACCACCCTTGCCCTTCTGGGAGGAACGCTTCCTATTGTTTTCAGCTCGCCCTCTCTCCAGAACAATGCGCCATCAAGCCAATACTGTTCACGTCATCCTCGTCACCAAAAGTGCGAAACATCTTCGTCCCCGGTCATAAGCAGCACAGAGGTGGCTACAATAGCAACTTCAACGGCCGCGGTGACCACTACTCCCACCACTTCAAGCACTCCCGCACCGACTCCTCCAGCCAACTGCAGTGCTGGCTCTCTGCAGATAACTGACTTGATCTGGGTCAATGTATCGAGCAATCTAGATTGCCCCCTTGCAGTCGATCCAGAAGGTCTCTGCTTCACCGGCAAACCAGTCCAACCTGCTGGATACGGCCCTCCTGACTATGTCTTTTTTACCGTGCGAAGCACCTTTACTAATCGATCAAGCTCCTGTATTTACCAGAATCCTGGAAGTGTGCCTGCCGGTGGTGAGCCCGGAAGAGCTGGGATCACCAAATGCAGTACCGGCGACCAGAGCTTCATCTTTTCCTTTAGCGCGGGTGCCAGCAACGGAATGGGAGGAAGTCAAACGGCAGAATTGAGCGTGACAGACCTGTTGACAAATTGCAAGTAAGTCGTTGTCGACGATTACAAATTCCCTTTGCCTACCTTTGTGGCAGTACCCCAGCTAACACGTATCAGTGGCGTCGTTCCCCGGGGCGATGGAATAATCGTCTTGACCTGTTCCATTGATGGTGGTCAGAACTCGACTTGCACCCAGACTGAACCCTTGGTTTTCCTTCCACTCATTTGGGCATAGCCTTCACGACCACTACCAGAGGAAGCTGAAGTTTGCAAAGAGAACGTTTGATAGACAACACAGTGTCTACTTATCATTTATTAAATTATTTTGGTGCAAGGTGGATGAAGATCATGCAACGCACCATGGCAACCTCGTATATTAGCAATACACCTGGTAGCTGTCTGCCAATTCTACTTTGAAAGAAGTTTGCCTGAGACGGTCCCGTTGACACCTTAAACTCTGCCCTCAAGGACTGGTAGGCCTGTTACTTGTATTGTTACTTGGAATGTTACTTAAGGCTGATTGATGATTGGCTGCGAGATCGATTTCCTTGGCGTCTCTTCTCTAAAACCCTTTCTACCCCGGCCATACACACCCAGACCCATACCCATGCCTATGCCCATGATCTGTAGCTCAATGCTGACCCTCAAGAAGCATGCTGTCACGAAAGCTTCGCCCGAGGCTATGCCAGACGTGTCGAGATGACCTATTGGCGCTTTTTGAAAATGGCTTTGCATCGTCTTCCACATATAATGTCTACCGTCAGCGGAGCGCATGGAGCGCTTTGCCTCGTCCACTGTACAGAGGCAAAGGTATCCGCCCTTTCTCAAGCAAGCATGCGTCTTCCAACTCCAATGACGCTCCGAAGCCTCCGTCTGATGCGGCCTCCACCGATGCCGAAGTGGTTAGCCAGATATACCATGCGCAGCTCGAGGCGATCACACAACAACGCCGTATGCCTAAGGTTGGTGATCTTAACGAGCTTGGCCTGGAGTATACTACGGAACGGCTAGATGAAATTGTGCACCATCAGTGGGAAGCTGAGAATGCTGCAGTGTTTGAAAGTCCAGAAGTTACAGCCAAGGCGACCCAAGGTACGCGACAGGTGATGGAAAGATATGAGCAGGATCTCGAGGCCTTAGGGAAAGGGATCGATGAAAGCTTTCGCGATTCATCTGAAACACCAGCTATACTGCAAGATGAAGGAATAGCTGAATTCCCGACGCAGGGTGAAGGAGAATTCCTAACAGATCTGCCAAACCCAGTGCAAGCTTTACGGAATTCAGATGCATCTGTTGCTGAAGTGGTGAGAGCAGCCAGACAAATGCATGGAGAATATCTACCAGAAGGAGTCTTGTCGGAGAATGAATCTAAGACGTACTATAGGCTTTATGGAGAGCCCCTGGAGAGGGTGCCGGAAGGTAAAGAAATATATCTTGACGAGGAGAGGGCACTCCACGAACTGCTAAATCAAGAGGGAGAGACAGTTGCTTATGATAGGAAAGGCTCGGAGAGTGATGTAAATGAAGAGGACTCTCCGCCCAATTCCGACAGGAACCAATTGAATCTCACCAAATCTTACAATCAGCGCGCACTGGAAGTAGCAGAGCAGATTGGAGGTGAATTCAGGCCATACGAAGACAATGCCGCTACAGAAGAAGAAGCTGTTGAAAGGGGGCACCCGCTGACCCTGGCTGGACGGTTCTCAACATCGCCTCGAACGATTTACTTGCCCCAGGAGTCCTTCGTCCAGCCCATTCAGAAGATGCTATCGGAGTATTCCAACAATCACGTCAGAGAAATGTGTGAGCGTGTCTTTGGTGGTCCAGGATTACCCAACTCTCCATTGACACCGCGTATTGGTCGTACCCTCCCCCAGACGTCTATCCCTCTCGACGCATCGCAGCACGGTATGGGACCGATGGAAGCGAATGCATATGTCTCGGCCATTTGGCCAAGCACATATGCCGCCATTACTAGCGTACTTGTGGAAACCCGGAAGAGACTGGGTTCACAATGGCTGCGGGATCTGTTGACCAAAGAGGGTGGAGCTTCGGTTCTCGATGCTGGTGGAGGTGGTGTAGGTATATTGGCATGGCGTGATATCATCGCGGCTGAATGGGAAGCACTGCATTCCAGCGACGCATCTCCACCACCAACTCCGCTGGGCAAATCAACCGTGCTTGCCGGGGCAGACAGCCTACGCTACCGTGCTGCTAGTCTTCTTGGAAATACCACTTTTCTACCACGGCTACCTGACTATGTGCATCTCCGCGATAGAGCCACTCTGTCCGATGATAGACCTGCTGCTCAGCGGAAGCAATTCGATGTGATTATCGCTCCTCATACTTTGTGGTCTCTCGGAGAAGAATGGCAGCGAAAACACCAAGTGCAGAATCTGTGGTCGCTCCTGAACCCTGACAGTGGAGTCCTCATCCTCATCGAGAAAGGAGTTCCCCGAGGGTTCGAAGTCATTGCTGGTGCTAGAGAACTGCTCCTGAGCAGGTACATTGCCACTGCAGACTCACCAAATTACGAAACAAAGCTGGACTCGTCGGATGAGGATAGGCTCGTCCAGAAGGGAAAAGGGGTGATTATCGCGCCCTGTACGAATCACGCTCCCTGTCCAATGTATCCTGTCCCTGGTGTCTCTCGCGGCAGGAAAGACTACTGCTCTTTTCAACAACGATATATTCGGCCACCGTTTCTCCAACGTATACTCGGTGCGAAGGATCGTAACAGTGATGATGTTGATTTCTCATATATTGCTGTTCAGAAGGGTCGAGATCTTCAAGACACTTCCATCACTAACGGGCCAGTCACTCAAGGACAAGATGCGACTGATTCGGCCTTTGAAGGATACGAGGATGCCACAGATCCGACAGAGACCGCACAGGTAAACGCTCTAACACTTCCTCGTCTTATCTTACCTCCTCTTAAACGACCCGGCCACGTGACAGTCGATCTATGCACTCCAGCAGGCAAGATCGACCGCTGGATAATCTCGAAATCCTTCTCCAAAACCGCATACCGCGATGCAAGGAAGGCATCATGGGGTGATCTCTGGGCACTTGGTGCTAAGACGAGAGTACCAAGGAATCTGCAACTCGGCGGTGAGAAGTCGAAGAGGGGCAAGAGTCAGAAGGAGAGGTTGATGAATAAAGCCAGAAGTATGGTCGAGGAGATGAAGGAGGAGAAGCGGGCAGACCGAGCGATGGAGGCAGAACTGGAGAGGTCTATAGATGCAGAGAGTCAAGCGATTTTGGAGGCTGAAGATGACGATTTCGATGCTGATGCTGCTGAGATTCTTAAGGAGATCGAGCAGGAGAGGGAGCAGAAAAAGGTCGAGGCGAGATCGCAAAGGGCAAAATTGCGACAGAGGAGAGCTCCATCTGCAAACCCGCTGCAAGAAGAGGATGCTCCAAAGCCACAACCGTTTCATCAATCTGCCACAAACCACATGTCGAACGACTCCGGCACCAACTCTTCAGGAGAGGATGCAAGCTCTTTCGAAACCCCAGAGTCACTCTCCCCCTCCGACCTCGCCGCCCTCGCAGACTACGCAGCCGAATCTCGTGCTGACCAGCTAAACAGCCAATCCCTGTCCCGACTATCGGGCCACTCAGCGAAGATAAGGATGCGGAGGGGGGAGAACAAATTCGAAGAGCCCGAGAAGGAGAAATGGAGGGCCGGGATTGAGAGAAGGAAAGCTGAGGGGAGGGCTGAGAAGAAGGGAAGGAATGGCAGGAGATCATTCAGAGATCGTGGTACATCAAGGTAGGTGGGAATTGAAAGCTTTATAATAAGCACAGATGTTATTTAAGTCCAACACACTGTACTGAAATCACTGGCGGGTGGTGTTTTGGCCGAGCCGTCTACATCAACCAACCCGTTTCGCCATTTGGGGGGAAAGGGGGGGGGATGGCTACGTAACTTACCAACCGTACTTACTCCCAGCATTAAAGAACCCGGATCCGATCAGAAAACATTTTGAAGTTATAGATGACTAGAGCTCTCTCTCTCTCTCTGTCACGAGAGCCGAGACAAGGGTATTCAGGATATACGATAGATCAACAGATCAATCAATCAATCAATCACCAGTCATAGTTGTGGGTGGTGATGGCAGTAATTTTCCCCACTTCTCATCCACCTACCCACCCATGTACGTACTCACTCAGAGAGAAAAGGAGAGAGACAGAGAGACAGAGTGATCCATCATCCCAAGTCGTTTTTACATATCAGCATTTTCCTAGGCTGCTACGTGGGCCGGGTTGGGCCCGGAGCTAGGTGACGGAAATAGTGGGACTTCCCGCCCTGGAGCACTCTATTACTTCTATCTTCAAAATGGTATAGGAAGACCATTTCGCTCATTTACAGCAGCTACTCTTTTGGGCATCGTAGCAATTGCCTTATTGATCTCCTCCAGAGTTATTTTATCCCATTCCTCCTCAATTGCCCGCCGCAGCTCCTCTGGATCAGTAATAAGGCCTCGATTCTTTAGCCTCTGCTTCAACAACCTCCAGATACTCTCAATAGGGTTCAAATCTGGCGATTCTGGGCAATTAGCTTCCCATTGGATCCCTAGACGAGCTTTGGCCTTTTTGACTTTGTTTTCGGCCTTGCCACGAGTGCCATGCGCATTATCATTATCCTCTAGAAGTATCCAATCCTTATCCCAATTGGGAGTGATAACTTCTTCTAAAAAAACGAGATAATCAGCTTGTGTAAGCCGTCCGCCACCCCCTGCGCCTGTGTAGAAGTGTAGAGGACTCTTGTAATTCCATCCAATGTACGCAAATACATACTAAATTTAGTTGCGCCGTTTCAATCGAAATTGGATCTTGGAAGGAGCATTTCGCGCTTCTGTACTGCGTTGACGATGTACTATAGCTTGACGTTATAAGCCACATACAAAATGACACTCGTCGCTGTATTTGTACTGCTTAAATTTCTCTAAATTCTAATGTTAACGTTCAAATCCCTATATTTTGCGTATCTTAACATTTTTAGAATGAATGTATTTTTTCTGCTGCGCCCTATAGGTGCCTACTCCAAATTGAGCTATATTTCGTTGAATTGCACGTTCAGATCCTTGAGCTAGGCTAATAGAGCTTGCTATAGCATAATGAGAGGCAGATGCAGCGCGAAATAAGCTATCTTCAACCGTCTCAATAGCCTCACATTGATGAGGCTCTAAGGCAGGTTTTCGACCACGATTATGAACGCTATTGCTACAGCGCGTAGATTGTGATTTAAGGATTCAATAGCCTGTTATTTTTGGTATACCAAGTGATTCAAATAGCTTTTTTCGAGGTAGTTTGCCTGCTGTAGCCTGCGCGGCGCAAAGAAGTCGCGTACGCCGTGGAGTATCAACTATCGTATTTGGCTCACGTGGAGGCTCTGTGGGTATCGAAATCGACGAATCAGGCTGTCGACAGTTTTTTCGAGTAGTTTTGCGATATTTAGCCATTTTTTAACTGATTTGAATAACAATTGATGGAATAATAGAAAATAGAAAAAAGGGGGTTGTTTTGAGGGTGGGCGGGAAGTCCCACTATTTCCGTCACCTAGCTCCGGCCTTCGGGCCGAAGGGCCGAAGCAGTACACCCCGTGGCGGATCCCTGGGGTTGCCTAGAATGTGGTGACGCTTCAGGTGGGGTACTTGATGGTTCCCCCCCCACACGTATATACGCACAGGGGGCTATGAATAACGTGTGGCCTGGCCATTGCTGTGCAGAAGGCCAGCGTTGAGTTCTTAACTGCTTGATACCAAGGTGCGGTTGCCCATTGTTTTCTTTAGAGATCCTGCAAATCCCCTGCGCAGCCCCGTGCGCAGATACTTACCCACTACATAACTTAGACTCCCGCCGCCCTTCACATCACGGGCATTTCTTTAAAAGACATTAGTCTTATCTTTTCTTGTTCCGTTCCTCTGTCCATCTCTTTCTATCTTCTTTTAGCTTCTTTGCAACCGGATGCTCACTGGTGCTAATCTTCTCTAATACATCTAGCGCCTCGTCCACTGCTCTATTACACTCCTCGAATTTACCCAGTGCGTTATATGCCGCAGCCAGCTCCACCAGCGAACCCACTCTATCCGGATGATACTGTCCTCTACCCTGAAGAAGATTGCGCTGGCGTTCTGTAACATCGACGAGGTACCGTTCGGCCTCTTCCCATCTTTGTTGCCGCACTAATATCTTTCCGAGATGGTAGCGGCCCCAAAGACAACCCATATGATCGCTACCTAGATTGCGCTCAGCGATTGGTAAAGCCAATAGGATCAATTCTTCGGCGCCTCTAAGATTGCCTAGCCCGCTTTTGACGAGAGCCAGGTTCACCATGGCGAGGAGCGTATACGCGTGCTCTCTACCTAAATTTTCTTTCCGGGTCTCGAACACTTGAATCATCATTTCGTGGGCATCCTCCAAATGGTTCTGATCGCCGCTTTGTACAGCAGCCGCACAGAGGTTTTCGCATGCTTTGAGAGTGCGCGAATGATCGTGCCCGTGTACCTTTTTCATTCCATCTACGGCTGTTAGATGCAGTTCCCGAGCTCGCTTAATGGACTCATCGGTGTAGAACATCAGGACCGTTCGCCCGAGATCATCGATCGCATTGAGAGTGTCTTCGTGGTAAAGACCATGACGTTCAGTCAAGGCGGTAACAGCCTCTTCCTGTAACTTCTTCGCGTCGCTATGACGACCCTGCAAAAATCGAGACTCTCCAAGTTTGCACTTCGCAACCAGTGTATCGTGGTGATCAGCACCCATATGGGTGGTGCAAGCGTCCAGGACTTGTTTTTGCAAGGCGGCAGCATCATCGCTCTGGCCAAGGTGGAACAGAGTATCCGATAGCACTAGCATGATGCGACGGGTATTAGCATGTTCCAAGCCCAAAACTTGCATTGTGAAGTCTTTAACAGCCAATTGTAATCTCTTTGCTTCCTCCCAGTGTCCATTCTGGGCGTAAACGAGGCTGAACTTCGCATACATAAGTGCTTTCTCTCCGTTGAAGCCACCCTCGAATATAGGCCATGGTTTCATCCGAGCCATGCGTTTGTCTCTCATGCGCTGCTCTATCGACGCCTGACATTGACGTACATGGTCGACGTGGGGTAAGAGGTATGTTCGCATATGTTCCTCCTCCCTAGTGTTGCCGAGAGGTGGGATCAAAATGCAACTGGAAAGCAGCACTGCCGCAGCTTCCGACCAGACACCCTGCTCCGCGATGCTCATATCAGGTCTTTCACGCGCCCACTTGTGCACAAGTGGGTGAATGGAGTAACTGTCAATCTTCTCGCTGTGTGTGACCAATGAGAACTGTGCGAGCTGCCGTAGAGCGGCGCGTAAACGATCTGGGTCAAATTCCTTTGATTCCCGGCCATCGCGGATAACCTTTGTCATTAGCTGGATAGTTCCGGAAAGAAGAAAATTGAGAGGCGAGTGAAACGTACACTAGGTAAAACATGTGGGCTTCGATTCTTGTAAATGAAGGCGAGGATGGCAGACATAGTCTTCTTCCACCATGTTGGCCAGTCAGGCGGCGGACTAGCAGCTCTTATCTGCGCTTCCTTCTTTTTGTTCTCCTCATGCTGCATACTCTCCACCTTTGAATTCGTCACCGCTTTTTTCATGATATCGAAGTTTATATTCTGGTTGTGCAAGAATGCGAAAGTGTTAAGTAATTGCAGCGCATCCCTAGAAGCCTCAGTATCTCGGGCTTCTATAGCTCGTCGATTTAACTCAAAGGTTGCGAAGACACTCAAATCGTCGGCGGTGTCTCGTACCTTCACGGCTTGCCTTCCTTGTCTCGTCTTCTTCCATTGCCGTTCATAGAAGTCCAGGTATTCGTGAAGCTTGCAGTAGCCTTGACGGATTGTTCTGCCTGCTTGAGTGATTGCTAGCGCGAGATATCCAAGTGTTTTCGCAATAGTCGTAGCAATATTGGATATAGTGGAATCCCACGGCTTTACTTGTCCAGCAGCTCTGAGAAGTAAACAGCTCGCATCATCGTTCTTTAACCCTTGAAATTCGAAGAACCCATTACCGACGGTTCCATATGATTTGTTGAGCGGGTCCCGGGTCGTAATCAGGATGTGACCCCGATTTCCTCGTGGAAAATATTCTTCAAGCTTGAGGTCAGGGTCGTCAGCGTTATCAATAATGAGTAACCAAGGTTCATTAAGGTTTGACAACCAATTGAGTGCGGCATTTTCATTGGCCCCTACCCCCCCAATGATTGACACATTCTGGGAGAAGGTTTGTTTGAGCCGTTGTCGGCTGCTTCCGTCAACCCAAAAGATGCCCCAGAAGCTGGGCGCGATGAGTTAGCATAACCAAAGAGCGACGGAGGCTAGGGTAGACCTACTAGTCCCTGTTATCCTCGGCAAACTTGCAACAGAATTGTGTCTTTCCTGATCCTCCAACGCCATATATTACAAAGCGTTTCTGCTTTGCGTGTGTCTTTTCGGGTGACATGTCCCGTCTTTCGTAGTCCTTGGTCAACAGCCAGTTATTCAACTGCTCCGCCTGGTCTGTTCGGCCGGTATAGAATTGATCTACGGGCTTGGGTGTATCAAAATGCTTGTTTGTCATCGATGTAGTATGCGTGACGCTGTTTCCGAAGATATTGATTGATGTGCGGATCTGGTTAAGCACTGACAAAGATACCAACGTGAAGTCGGTATATACTGCGGAGCCTGCTATGCTTTCATATGGGGGCAATGCTGTGTCTTGCATATGCTCCAGTTGGCTTTCGAGCCCCCTGACTAACGTGCCCAGCTGTTCGAGCTGTGACTTCTGGTCCTCACGATTCTCACGAGTCGAACGCCTAGATGCGCGTCAGAATGGATGCTGGAAGTAGCCAGAATGGCACATGGAATAGCTCACATGGAAATGCAACTGAGCCACATCTGCAGGCCTCCGTGACAAGTCCCAATTTGGTCCCTGAGCCCAGAGATGATGCCGTCCTTGGTTCGTTTGCGATGTTGTTTGATCAAGGCATCTCGTTTCCCACTGACCATTCGTTTCTCCCCGTAGATATGCCTTACGGAAACTTCGAGCTTTTGGGTAAGCTTCTGGCCATTCTTGAGCGTCTGTCCCGTGTTGAACCACAGCATCTTTTCCTCCTCTCCTAAGGCGTCATTATTGACATTCCTAAGGAACTCTTGTTCCAACTGCCCATGTACTACCATCAACCCCTCAACCTCGTTGATTAAACCTTCGATATCATCGTCGATGGTCTCAGCAGCCATCTTGACGGCCTTGAGATAGTTGATCACCCGGAAAGAAACTTCAGCGATGCTGACTCCTCCGACGAGAAATGACACTGGATCAGCCATGTCTCGGTGCTATCTTCTGTTTTCTTCATTTGGCACTCGCCAGGTGTCGAATACCTGCTCGATTAAACATAGGCGATAGCATTCCCTCGCCTATGCCCATATTGAAGACGTTGAGGATGAAGTCCAAGCGCTTTTCTCGGATGTGCAGCGTTCTATTAGGCTTAGAGAATGTCAGAATACCATCTGGGTGGAGGGATAACCCCGCAGTAAGGCTGAAACTTTGAATTGCGTACATCAACCATATTTTTTAGCGTATTACGCGTTTCCATTCTCCAACCAATTAAAACAACCTCTCACCATGCCTTGACGCAATATTTTATGAGTGAGAAATGGTGATAGGCGCCAAGGGCATGAACCAAAGCTCAATCTAAAAGGCAAAATTAACGGTGGAAATACAAGTAGAGAAAATTACTCAAGGGTAACTAGACTGCTTTAAAATTGCAGTTCAACTGTTTAAGCCACCTATCAACGTATTTCTAAATGTCTTGAGACTCCTGACGGTCGCAGCAGTCCTAGAGACGCCTGATGAAACCAGATGAATAAAATATACTCCGTACACAAGCTTCATCGGCAAATTTGCAACCAGCTCGGGAAACGGGACCGAAGCTTGGCGCCAAAATTCATGACAGTTCTCAGATTCCTGCTCTTCTACGGAGTACAGAGCTATTCAATAGGGGATAGGGCGCCCATTCCTCTCGTTCAGGATGGCAACCCTCTGTAGCATCGTTGAGATAGCCTTATTGATCTTCTCGATGGTTATTTTATCCTATTCCTCCTGGATGGCTCGGCGCAGGATAGCTTCTTCGAAAATGACCCCCTTAGACTTCAATCTCTGCTTTATTATCCTCCAAATTGTCTCAATAGGATTAATATCAAGGGAATTGGCCGGATTCGTTTCCCATCGGATATAAAGACGGGCCTTGAGTACTTTGACCTTATTAGGACCCTTGCCTTTAGTACCATGAGGCCTATCATTATCCTCAATCAGAGTATAATTTGTATCTTATTCTAGAGCGACGATTTGTTCAGAATAATCATAATCAGACTGAATAAGACGTCTCCTCATGCCGAAACCTATATAGAAATAAAGCTAATCTTTGAGATTCCAGCTAATAAGTGTATACACATAAATAATTTGATTTTGACGCTTGAGCTTAATTTGGGTTGTTGAAAGAGCATTTGGAGCTTTAGTACAGAGTCGTGCTTCAAAAGTTATTGATATACGCTAACTAGGATGAAGAAAGGCTAGCTGTTTTCGAGGTAGTTTCATGCTAGTTTCTACTTAGGATGTCGGAGCTGCTAATTAGCCCAATGCCTGACGCTTAACAGATATAGGTTCTGAGTCACGCCTTACAGCCTGAAATAAGGCCGAGAGGCCCTAAAGATCTCTAGAAAAATTATGGGCGCTATTAGGGGTCACTACAAGGCTGCTTCTCCATAGAGCACGAACTACGCAGCACTAAGGTCAGCTAGAGTTTGCTAGTGACGCTCTAGTTTTAGCGTATATCAATGACTTTTAAAGCACGACTCCGTACTAGGTCGACAATGAATATGAGTCTGTCGCTGTAGGCAAGTGGCAAGATAGGTTTCATCACATCATCAATACATCTTAAATATTATTTGATCTTGTTTAACGTCCGTTTCGGTCTCCAATGGGCCGTGCAGACAGTTAGGCTAATTTAGGAAAAACCCTCAAAACCTGGTGGTTGATGCGCAGCGCTTGAGGGTTGTATGCGTTCACACATGTCAAGGGTCCTCCCAAGATTGCTGGTTCTTAGGGCTTGCCTAACATCCACACACACTCCAGGGCAGTCGAGTTGCCGGATTGTCCCTGTAAAACCTTACACCAAGGCCTGATATTGGTAGGCAAACCGCGGTCATTCACAGAGAAATGGTTGATGCTCACAGGTCACCGCGTGTGATTCCTGATTGTTGTGTTTCGCCTGCGATACACGCGTAGACTCCTTATATCAGAACCACGTTTTAAATGTTTTAGTATTATCTATAATGTGTATTAAGCCACTACAGGGTTGTCTTCTCAAATTTTGTCTGTCCTCTTCATTCCTTTGTGTAATCGTTGGCCCGTATTAAATTGACTCGGTGGACTATTACGCCTTGTCTGTAACGCTCGATGGTAAGGGGCCGCCGGGATGTAGTAGAGATCCTTATCTCTCTCAGAACCCACAAAGTATCCAAATTTTCCAAGTCGCCATTGCTGTTAGGTGTCCTCTTTAATTATTGCGGTCGTAAAAACAGGCTGCCCACACCTGATCTTAAGTGGTTCTTTCTGCATCCCCGCCGTCCCTTTGTTAGAATCAGGGAGGTGGCTCACATTTCGTTGACGTCGTACGAGCGATGTTGTCTACGTAGGTAGCTAGGTAGTTGTCGTAAAAGTTTGTTCAGAGGGTGGACCGAGTGCGCTCGGTTGACGATTCGGTGAGCCAAACCATCTGCGGTGCGTTTCTGCGTTGGCCTGCTATTTGACGATAGCAGTTTCCAGGCGCTCTCACGAGGAGGTGCAGAATTCGTCTTCAGCGCCCCTACTTCTTAAATATATCTAATCTCTAATATCAACGTTCAAATTCCTATATAATTCGGGCGTCAATATGCGATTGTGAGAGCATCTTTTTTGAACGGCTATATACGTTTTCACACCATGATTTTTTATATTCCTTTGAATTGCGCGTTCAGATCCATTAGCTACGCTAATAGTCTTCGCAACCCTAAAGTGACTAGACGAGGCAAAGCCAAAATTCGCATCTTCAACAGTCTTGATAGCATCGGCCTCGTGAGGAGCTAGAACTGACTTTCGGCCTCAATAATAGAGTTTCTGACTACGGCGCGTGGTTCCTTCTTTGATGATTTTATAGCCTGTCCGATTAGCTACATTATGGATTTTGAATAATTGTGTATGAGACAGTTTGCCTGCCGTGGCACGCGCGTTGGCGAGAAGGCGCGTTCGACGTAGTGTCAAGGATGGTTTTCGACGCTCGGGGAGCCGCGGGAGAAGGAGGATCCGACAAAGGAGGCTTTCGGCAGACGCGGCGTCTGTTTGCCCGTTCAGGATCCATCGTAGCCTTGATTAGAGTGAGTGGTTATAGTAATAACGGTTTGAAGGAAGGGGGGGGGGGATGGAATGGGACTTGAGAACTGCCATAAAATTTGGCGCCAAGATTCGGGCCGAAAGCAACAAAAGCGTAGACCTGCATAGAATGGCTAATTATTGTCAGTCGAGGACGGTCACTCCCTCAGCTACCCGCAATTCTATGAGTTACGAAGTCCAACATGTCATGCGTAGAAATATCGGGCTGGATGAGCCCCAGGTTGCTGCTTATCACCATAGCCATATTTAGCCTTGTGGGCTATCGAGTCTGGAAACGCCAGGTTCAAAGACAGGTAAGGAGAAGAACAGATCCACGTTGTACAAGATAAGTAACGCAATATAGGAAGAAGACCAATATGCAGCGCGAATGGGATGTAAAGCTCCGCGAAAATGGGCAGCAAAATGGCCGCAAGGCTTGGATATGCTTCTTCAGGTCGCCAAGCATGCAAGGTCTCAGACAATTCTGCAGTTCTTTCTTGAAGTGGTGGAGTCGAGCGGGACGACACATGAGCAGCAGCTTCGTAAGAAAATTCCTTGATGTTCATGGCGACGAATTTGGACACCGTTGAGGGTTACAGACCAGCAAGAAAGAGAGACAGAAGGGCTTCTAAGTTGGGGAGATTATTCAAGCTACCTTATCACAAGCTTCACCATATATTGAGATGGTACTAGAGATGTTCAAGCCCTCGGCTCTTTCTTAATAAACTAGAGCCCTAGAGCCTAGAGCGTGCCCTAACTTTTGTTCTTTTTGGCGTTGTTACGGTTTTGACAAGGGTACGCGCTGACATAGTACAGTTGGGCTGCGAGGAATCAATACGGTCGAACCACGCAATATCGAAGAGATTCTCTCTAATCAGTTTGAAGGTTACAAGACCTCCCATCCTATCGCACGCTGGACGCATCGCTAACTTTGGCGGGAAGACTTCGGCCTTGGACTTCGGCCCAAGCACTTTGCACCACTGATGGGGAGCGGCATATTCACCCAAGATGGCGCAGCATGGAAGCACTCACGTGCCCTCCTCCGTCCCCAATTCGCATCTAATCGCTACCAAAATTTCGAGGAGATGAAAAAGTGCGTGGAAAGCTTGATAAGTAACATCCCTGCAGATGGGATCGTTGATCTGCAGCCACTTTTCTTTCGACTGACGTTCGACACTACTACATTCCTTCTGTTTGGTGAGACGCTGAGTTCGTTGCAAAGCAGCGAGATTGCGGGACAGGAATCTGAATTTGCAAAAGCGTTCAATCTCGGCCAGGAGTACCTTTCTCATCGTGGCCGGCTGGGCGAATTCTATTGGCTTGCAAATACCCCAGAGTTCCGCCGCGCGTGTAAGACTTCTCATCATTTCGTTGATCAAGCGATCCAAAGAGCGCTGGACGCTGCCGATGCGCCACAGTCCGAAAACTCAATCCTGGAGGTGAAGAAGCAATATGTATTCATTAATGCCCTTATCCAAGAGACACGGGACAAGAAGGAACTCCGTGACCAATGCCTGAATGTTCTGTTGGCGGGCAGAGATACGACTGCATGCTGTCTCACATGGACATTAAGACTTCTAGCTCGACATCCCCAGGTCTTGGGCAAGCTGCGCACAGAGATCGAATCAATTACTGGTCTAGGGGAAGAGGCAACCCCCCCTACTCGTGAGCTTTTAAGGAAGATGCGGTACCTCGATCTTATTCTCAAAGAAGTCCTCCGGCTCTATCCATCCGTTCCCGTCAATTCCCGCGCAGCGCTGAAAGCCACCACGCTTCCTGTTGGTGGGGGTCCAGACGGCCAGTCTCCAATCCTCATCAGAAAAGGAGAAGCAGTTGGGTACTGCGTATATGCCATGCACCGGCGCACGGATGTATTTGGAAAAGACGCACTCGAATTTCGGCCTGAGCGCTGGGAAGACGGTGAGCTGTTACGGGATGTAGGGTATGGGTATCTTCCGTTCAATGGAGGGCCACGAATATGCTTGGGGCAGGACTTCGCTCTTCTAGAAGCGGGTTATACTGTTGCTAGACTTGTCCAGCGCTTCCCATTCATTACTGTACCAGTTGGCGTTCCGCCTGTAGAGCTTGGCAAGGAGAAGCAGATATTGACACTTGTGGTCGCTTCTGGAGATGGTTGTATGGTGCAAATGCGCCGAGGCAACTGAGACAACCCCAAACTAGCATTTGCGGTCAATTGCAGAACTTGATTTTGTCTCTCATTCTCCTGGGTACGGCTCAATGACGTCTCCTCCGATGTACTAACTGGAGCAGATTAGAAAAATGCGTTGAATTACGCCCACTTCAAAATCTGAGGAGTACACCTTATGGTTCCAAGCTCTAACGTTGTGGTATGATCGAAATAGATGCAGATCTGATCTGCCCAAATGAGAAACTCCCTATCTTGACGCTTCTTCTTAATCAACGCATGTCTCAGACGCTTAGAAACATTACATCGAACTCCATTTACGAATAAGGTTGCTTCAACCTCGAGAATTTTCCACACATTATGACAGGACTGTACGGAGTAATGACTTGATATAAAAAGCACTCTTTGTACGAATGGGTAATACTCAATTGGCTTGTGCGCAGTTATGCTTCTAGTACCTCATCATCTATAATATCGCCAGTTAAAGAAGTCTCTTGTACACTCTCTGTTTCTGTTGGTTCCCCAATCCTGATTCCCATTCTCTACTGTACTTACTGTATTATACAACCTTCCCCTTCCCCCTTCCTCCCCATTCTTTCTATCCACCAACTCAGCAGAGCCATACCAACCACGTACAACCCCACCATCGATCCGATCTGATCGCTATCGAATCCCTGACATCCTAGCATCCCAGCATGGATTTCTAGATAATCCCCAGTCTTTCGTCTTCATTCTTCATAGTCTAAATCCTCCTCTTTTTATCGTCAGTTATCTCACAAAACCTTATCTGATCAACCTCGACCGGCATAGTTGGGATAGTTGGATGTTGGGTCCTGGGATCCATTCGGTAGGGGGGTTTGTTGGCTTTGGTTTAGACTCTCGTGAAGTGATCAAAGTGGATGGGGAGGGATTGGAACAGGGGGACTTAGAGACAGCGGCAGGGGATTGGGAGGATTGTTTACCCTGACGCATGGCTACCTTGGATGTATAAGTGGGTGGGGAGATGGGCGTGAGGGAGATATTTGAAGGGGGCGGGGAGATCGGAGGACAGGGGAGGGTGATAGTGACAGGTAAGGGAACATTATATAGGTGAACTCTGGACCTAAGACGGAGGGAGAGAGTAGCGAAAGGACCAGGGACCTTCATTATCTAAACATGTCTTATTTGTAGCTCTATTAGGCAGTATTCTAAAGAAACAGCTCTGATCTTTGGTGCTGTAAGAGGTGGTAGAGCTTCACAGCAAGTACTTAGCACCGAACAAGACCTCAGCCTAAGCGCCATCACTAGGTATCCGTTCCAGAACATCGTTCCATCCGCCGCCCAACGAGATCATCCACCATCAAGCCTGCTTTCCCTATGTGCAGCCAGCTCAGCGCCTCGAATAGCGAAGCAGCGTAATTCGCCAAGCCATGGCCCCCAGCGTGCCCGTCATCGTTGACATTGCATTTAGCGATCCTCAAACTTGAAAGTTCCCCACCGTCGCATCAATTCGCCACTCCCATTGGAGCTTGACCCCAGATCACAGTCACCCCGAGATAAGACTCTAAGCGGGAACAGGCCGTTTCACCGTCTTCCGCCATGATTCAATCGAAAGCGGACTGACAAGTGCGTTTGCCGTAGCGGACGCCAGAGCAACCGGAGCTCGATGATGAGACCTCCTGGTCGAACTGGATCGGTGAGATGGTGGCTTGATGGTTGAGGAAGCGCTTGATGGAGCCGGTCTACCGGTGTCGGGCTTTGAAGCATGAGAGGGTGGTTTGGAAGATGCGTGAGAGGGTGCGTTGGACGGAGCGTGGGATCCTGTGTGGGAGGGAGGAGGGAGGGCGCCGCTCATGGGTGCAGCTTGCGCTGCTGGTTCTGCCGAGTTGTGAGAGGGAGTTTGAGACGGAGCGTTGGACCCTGCCTGTGATGGCGGAGCTGGCACATCATTCATCGTTGCCGCAGGAAGCGTTGCTTTTGCAATGCTTTGTGCGAGGCTGTGAGCTCGTTTGATTGCTTCTTCTCGAACGGAACCTGCGTCCTTGGCAGGCACAGATTTGACGGACTCGGAATTGCTAGCATTGTTCTTAGCTTCTGCCTTGGTTTGCTGTCCACCATTGTACACATTGACGTGTACTTCTTGATTGACTGTAGGGTTTGCTGATTGAGGTTGTTTCAGGATTGATCTTGGTTTGCTTTCCTCGGCCTTCTTTGCAGGTTGCTGCTTGCTAGATTCGGAAAGATCACGATACTCCTGTCGTCGAGTGCGTTCTTCGAAATCAGATAGAGCTTCTTTATGATGTTTCGAAATCGGTCCCTTCTTTGGCTCAAACTTGTGCACACTTTTCTCGTGGATTACGCTACCGATAGGCGGGGACTTTTGAGCTTCCGGACTAGCAGGAGGTGGCTGCTTCTGCTCCGGTTGCGGTGGTGCAGGGGTAGCAGGTTGGCCTGTAGCGGGAGCTGCGGGAGCTGGAGGAAGCGGCAACATATAAGGTCCTGGAGGCATAGGAGCGGGAGGAAGCATTGGAACAGGAGGACCCGGCATCGGAAACAGAGCAGGCGGTGCGGGTTGGGGAACAGTCGGTGGTGGGAAATAGAATGGTACCGGAGGAGCTGGTGCCAAAGGAGGGGGCGGGAGGACCGTGATTGGATTCGGGGGCGGAAAGGGATTGAGGAAGACAGGAATAGGGACTGGCTGACAGACGTGACGAGTCGTACGCTGTGCATCAGCAAGCAGCCGGTTACGGAAGGCGCAGTCCTTGTTGTTACACATCCATGGTGGTTGATGCATGATGAGGCCGAAGACACCCAGTGACTGGGAAACGGAAGGCAAGGATGTTCCGGGACACGTAAAGATGAGTTGAGCCAGAGAGGTGTTCAGTCAGTTGAGCATAATAAGAATAGTCTGGAAGCGGTGAGCGGAAGTAAACAATGACTCAGGCTGGGCTGCCGACGGATAGAATATTCTCAAATGCAAACGCGAAGATGGTGACTGCTTCAGAACAGTCAGACGTGTGACGTGTGACGTCTGACGCATCATGCTGTGATTGACTATTTCGACTTCTTCACCTCGGCCGTGTCACTTTGGCCCTCTACATACGGATGCTTGATGGTGAGACACCATATGTCCAAATAATCGCAAATGGTGGTGATAACATCGTAGACGAAGCTTCCATACACTCCAAGCCCCAGACCCAGGCAGAGGAAGACAAATGCGACTTGGTATACACCATCACCAAGAGCGCTTGGCCAAAGGCCTAATCGAGGTCCGATGCTGTCGATGACTCCCCAAGCAAGAGGTGCGATAAGAACGTTCTGATACGGGTATCTTGCTTTCGCGAGATGAGCAACAATCATCTGACCAACCGAATAGGCGTTGATCAGACCGACAAAGAAGATGAAAGGCACAAGATGATGATGGAGTATCGTTGGTTGTAGAGCAAGATATGCTGTGACCAGGACCCAGGTGACCCCGGCTGGTATCAGGCCTAGCAGAGCTCGAGCTGGATCTTGACCTCTCTCCTTGCGCACTTTCATCACGTTGATGGCACTTTCGAGGGTATTGAAGACGAGCACCATTCCACCATAGACCATGAACCATTCCTTCCATGCCATGTCATACAAAAGGTCCGGGATCAGCGCATTCTTCTCTAATCCTATCGTCTTCATCGCCGACTGTTGCCAGAAGCTTGCGCCGCCCTGCAGGTAGGTGATGAAAAAGACGATACATAGGGTCAAAACTCCTTCGACTGGTCCAGAGATGATGCCTAATGTCAGGGTGTGGGTGTGATATTCGTCCCAGGTTTGGATATAGAATGTAAACAGTGCTCCAAATAATATAAGGACTGTGATCCAGGACTGGCCGAGATTCATGGCACCTGCAAACAGGAGGACCTCGAGAGAAGTGTTACATGCGTCAACGCCTATGTTCAATCAGCTGATGCCCTCGCTAGACATAGTGGAACTGCCTACCATGGTCAAAAAGCTCTCCAAGGGGTCCGCTTTGATGTGTTCTGCGTGCTTGAGTGCCGTCGACCGCGTCGAAGGTTTGATAGAGGAAGAGCCCAAGTGCCCAGCTTGCATACACCCATGGTGGGCAGTCTGTGTCAAGGGTCGGGTTGTACCAGAGGAGCGTCAGGAAATTGACGACGACAAAGCTGAAGCCGGTGAGTGTGATCTGATAGCATGTGAGCAGTATGTTGGAGAGGAGAAGGGATACGATTGTACCAGATTAGGTCTGAAAGTGCAACATGGTTAGTCTACATATTGTGAATTGGTAGATAGGCATCAACTTACGCCATAGACATGGGAAAGCATTTGATGGCGACATTAGTGTAGAATGGCTTCAGTATGTATTTTGATACCAAGGAGTGGTCGACTCCAGAGTATTTGTATTCATGGAGCTTCTCCAGATTGCGCTGGCGAATGTACACCATGTTTGAGTAGTTGTCCTATAATCCAGATGATGGAGACGTGTCTCAAGAATCAACACAGGAAGCAAATGAGTTGACCGGCGTGATGAAGTAGTCAGTCCAAGTACCATGGGATCGTGATCGTGATTGTGATTGTGATTGACATGCAAGCCGCTGAACCTGTTCCTGATCTGCAAAACAAGAAACAGAGACGTCATTCTCGCCAAGTCAACAAAAATCTGCCCCAGGCTCACCCCGGTCTCACCCAGACCAGGGGTGAGCTGCAGGTATTACTTACCCGGGGCCAATTACCCGCAGGCAGTAGCCTTGGGGCCAATCATCCACCTATCTGCAACGACTAATCACTTACTACGTACTAGTACTCCGTACAGCTGAGGAGTCAGCGGATTGTGGCTGGAGGTCAACATCCACGAGTCTTTAGAGTGGAAGCTGGTTTCGCTAAGGACTGTATTAATTCTTCGTTTCTTGAATTTCATAGCTGAACGCTTCAACCAAATTGATAGTAAAGCTGCCGTTAAACCTACTTGCTTTTTTCCCAACTCTTGGGAACATCTCGTGTGCCTCGTCCAATTTGCCTTGATCACGAGAGAGAAGGCCAAGATAATTGATTGTACCGAGAGTCGACGTGTCTTCAACCTTGCTTTCGACCAGTCTGTTTTCCGGCAAGATAACAGTACGCCAGAGACGGGAATGTCTTGCCCTGAACATCCGAACAATTTTCATGATCACCAATAACAACCCGCTAGCTGAAAAACAAAACCCGACCACGTAGACGGCCTTATCTCAGAGACTCAAAATACTCCTCCTCCTCTCTCTTTGCCCGCCTCTTCTTCTTCAATTCTGCATCTGTCTTTTTTTCTTCTTTCTTCAATCCTTCATACTTTCCCCATCCCTTGACGGCGTTATTGATACAAATCGCGCCAACACCCAAGCTAAGCAGATCCATCTTGAGACCTTTCGTTCTAGCTTTCTTCGCTGCCTCCGCGTCCATGGTTCCCTGTTGCATCTCCTGACGGCGGCCCATATGTGCCTTGGTCGCTTGGTAGATGTTGTTGGACGCGGCTACGGTCGTGACGCAGGCAAGGCCCGCATAAAGTAGCGTCTTGTTGCGCATCTTCCTGCGCTTGTCAATCTCGGCCAAGGCATCCAAAAAATCGTCATCCTTGGTCTTGTTTTGGGGGAATGTCAAGGCGCGCTGGTGCGGGTTGTAGGGCTGTATCTCGTCGTAGTCGCTGAAGCTAGCTCGGCTTGACCTGCGGCTGTACGTAGATGCGGGAGATGGCAAAGGTGACTGGAGAGCTACAAGTCGTCGTTAGAAGGGAGCTTCATCGTGCAACAGAGGTTTCTGGTTGTTCGACATGTGCCCACGTACCTCTGCTATGAGAAACAGGCGCTTGGTCTAATTTCAGGCATGACTTCCTTGGCTTGTCTCTGTACTCTTCGTGCTTATAATCCTGCATGGGGAGATGCGGCAGTGGCTGGCGACGCTCCTGGTCGTAGTGGCCGTCATAACTATTCCGGCGGGTGGAGGAATACCCAGGCCGGCTGGCATAAAAATATTCTGTATAGACAAGTCAGACGAGAGAAATGAGGAAGCGCTTCCCCACCCGGCACCGATTGCCGTCCCCAACACTCCCCTGCCCAAGACTCGGCTGCCCAAAACTCGGAAGATTAAACTCACCTCTCTCATCCTGATCATAAGACATGATAGACCAAATTCCTGCAGTAATCGACAAGAAAGACGAAAGAGTGACCCCGGGACAAAGGAAAGAACAGGAGAAAGGATAGATGGGTTGGGGGAAGGAATGCGGGACTGGTAAGGCGGGACTCGAGTAACACATTGATACAGCTTTCGGGGCCAAAACGGATCTAACTACTCGTTGACACTAGTTAGACTGATGGTACGGAGTCGTGCACCAGAAGTTGTGCAAGTACGCTAAGAGATAGCTTGCCAAGATGTATACTCTTGACTATTATGTCATTTGACTTCACCTCTATAAGCTTTAAGCCTGCTGACGCCTGAAGCAGTGGGGCATTAAAGGACCCTTAGCACCTAGGTGTCTGATTTCGAAGCTAAAGCGCCCTAGAATTGTGGTTGCTCAGGGGACATAGTAGTGGTATCTGCTACGACGTTTTAGGCTGAATATAGGCTTTAGCCCTAGAAATGATTGGAATGACATTACAAAAATGATGTTCTTCTTGGCACGCTATCACTTAGCGTACTTGCACAACTTTTGGCGCACGCCTCCGTAGATGCCACGACTACCTAAATTTAGTAAAATCTGTAACGGTTTGATCTTCAGATGACGCTACCTTTCCATGAAACACAACCGGTAACAGTATACGGAATACTCCATACTACGTACATCACTCCTTTCACCTTCCAGATCAACCAAGGCGAACGGCTTCTCTTCTCGCTTCGAGATGTTATCAAAAATACTTGGACCAAATTCACCTCGTCAAGAAAGTTAATCAGCATGATTATTGCGATCTGGGAGGATCGCTCGACGAATCTCAGGGCATAATATTTTTCTGGTCGAAATATATATGAGAGGGAGGATTGGGCGGCAATTCAGTCGAATGTGATGCCAATACTGCTACTAGCTGGTTTCCGGTCCGAATCTACCAACCCACGGCTCAGACCAGTCCGGTCCGAGCCCTAGAAAAGTAGGGACCAGCTCGCACCATTTAGCACCCCATGTGTACTCTGTACTAAATGGTACATTGAAGCTATTCTTCGTAACTTAAAGGCGAGGCTGGACGCAATGCCGATCATATTTCAATAATGGCGGATTTGTTGCCTTTTCCGTGACAAACTGACCGGGCCGATGTCTGCTTGGAGAATGGGTCGTGGGCTGTTCGAATTGACAACCTAACTGCTCTCGCTTCCAGAGCCCTGGCGCCCTGGCGCTCCTGCATTCGGCTCCACCTTGTTACGCGAGCGACCCCGGTGCCGCTTCCTTTGCTTTGCACGTGGATTTTCGCCCGGATCGCTTTCGTCGCTAGAACTTAATCGTGACGAGATCCAAGTCTTCTGCGGCCATGGCGCAGCAGCAGCAGCAGCAGCAGCAAAGGAGGAATCCTCGTCGTGGCTATCGTCGTCATCTGACTCGTCATCGCCAGCAGGGCCGCCCGAGAGACTCGAACTCTCGCTGGAGCTTGCAAAGGGGTCGGCTTTGACAAAGTCGAGGCTGGTGTCGGAAAGGTCGAGGTCTGAGGCATCATTGCTTAAGCTGGCTTCTGCGGGTTTGCTGCGCGGAGATATGGGCGGGGGAGACGCGAGCTTATCGGGCTCCTTCTCAGAGAGCAGGTCTTCCTCGCTGGACTCGAGGAGGTCTTGGATATCTGCTTTGGGAGGAGTGGAGGGTTCGGAAGACTGGTCTGGCAGCCTGGCCGGTCGTTTCTGTTTGGAAAGCAGAGCGGCTACAACTCTGGAATATTGAGACTTGGGGACCGTGACCGTGGCTATGCGCGATGGAGTGGGGTCTGCGTCAATTGCATCAAGGATTGATTTTGGTGTCCCAGATGTTCTGACTGTGACGAAGACTTTGAAAACACGGGATTCTTCTTCTGTAAGGTGCAGAAGACCTTGTAATAGGGCATCGTACTCTGGTCCCTTTTGGAGGTTGTCCAAGTTATCAATGATTAACCAGACGCAACGCGGCTCTGCTTCTTTACAGCAGCTGTGGAAAAGCTCCCACAATTCCTCCATATCCTCTTGTGCATCTTGGAAATGCTCCAGTGTGAATGGAAATGCCTTTCGGATAAACTTCTTGTGGTATTGTTGAAGAAGCTGCATGATAAGGGACTGAATAAACACCATTGGGGTCGACACCGGGCGGGAAGATGGATGGTTGCCACAGAAATGATACAAAATTGCTTTATCCTCGGTCTTTGGTGCATTCTGTACCAATCTAGCTGAGAACGCACTGCCCCAGTCGGCCAGGCCTGATCTTCGGAAAGTTTTGATCCAGAGCAGACTAGAACAACTCGCTTGAAGCTGGTCACGAACAGTGTCATTTCGAAAAAGGCCTATTATTGAGTGGATATCATAAATCGTAATATGTTTGAGACGAGCATTCAATTTCACGGTGTCGTTATCCGTGTCTTGAAGACGCGGAAAAGCCCTGTCACGGAATCTTTGAAGCCTCTTGGCTTTCGTCACCTGCTCTGCAAGGAATGTTGCGGTTGCGACTGGACAGGATCAGTCATGAAATGCGAAGGTGAAAGGAAGACTGACCACCATGCTGGATTGGTTCTCTCATTGCCTCTGCATATCCACCAGCTACCAAAGTTTCAGAAGCAGGAGAGCTTTCAGATTGCTGGGCGCCACTACGAGCCGCTCTGCCCCGGGTTGATTGAACCATGATCTGCTCGAATCTCGAGATCCAGTTCTTTTGGAAGCTCTCGAACGAGGCCTGGACTTCATTCCTCAATTCGAGCTTCAATTGTCGCCGAAGGTCAACCGTGTCTTGTCTCATCGACACGCGGAGTTGCTCGTTGCCCGCATCAATGGATTTGATCGTGTGTTCCATCTGCACTGTCAAAGCAAAGTGCCCTGCCTGGGCAATCTCCCGTATGTGCTTGAAGGCGGCCTCTGCTTGGGTTACGTAAGGTTGGAAGCGGGTCTCCCATCGAAAGCCAAAGGCTTTGACGGCAGAGGTCAGTTTGCTCTCTTTATAAAATTGAACCGCTTTGGCGAGGAACTTGGCGAACGCTGCGTAGGCCTCGCTCACAGCTTCAACCATCTTCGCTGTCGGATGAGATTTCATCAGCTGGTTGACCACACCGAATTCTTGACCGAACTGGATAATATAGTTTTCGACCGCTTGCTTGAGCTTGCTGTGATTTGTGTGCGCAACAAGCAACATTCGGATTGCCTAGATAGATGAGTACAAGGTTTGGTACACCAAAGACGCAGTCACCTACACCCCAAGCCAGCCCAGCATATTCTGGAGACTGGTTCATAACGACATCGAGCATTTTGGAATACTCGAGCGCCACAGTAGTGATTCGGGTAAGACCATCCATGCCTACGTCGTGTCCAGCCCTTTTGGACTTCCTTCTTCTGGAAGACTCGGCCAGTTTTTCGAGCTCTCCCACATCATGATTGATTTCGAAGAGATCGGTCCACTGTTGCTGGCTTGCTTCTTTCTCGTAATCTGAGACGCTGTTCTGGAGATAGACAGTCGACTGTTTCAGACTCCCTTGGTCACATATTTGCTCTGCCCATTCCTCTTTTACTCGTGGACCGAGATCTTCACTTTGAGTCCGAGCTCGCCCCAGTTTGCTTCTTTTGTCTGGGAAATCGGTCTCATTTTCAGATGGCGTTAGTAGAGGCGGCGAATAGAGAGATGTTTTTGACCTTAATTTTCTGTCAAAGACGTTCCCAAAAGATATTCTTTTCGTGTTCTTCACCGCCTTGGCATCGTCATTCGGCTTGTGCTCGATTTGAATTCGAGGCGTTACCGATGCTTCAACTTCACCGCTTGAGCTCTCCATCCTTGGTCACGAACGCCTGATCCAAATCGGAATTACACCTGTAGAGAAATTGGATTGGAAGAAAAGTATGAAGGTCAATCGCCTGACCATGACAGGGTCAGTCTGCCATTGTCTAAGCGGTGAAAGGTAATGGCAAGCAGCATTCAGACAGCTGTTCATCCGGACGAGAGGTATTACATGCAGCAGAAGGCAGAAATGGGGTCGTTATCCGTCTCGGTCACTCATGCATCCCTCTCTAACCGGCAAATCGACTATCGCATGGGGGAAGGGGGGGCCTGAAAGGACATACCCAACCCGCTGATAGACCAGCCTCGTGGCTGACAACTCACACTTTGGGGGCCCACCAAAGGCTGAACGTACTTTTTCCTGCCCAGCCGCTGAAGCTTTGCTCCCTGTGTTCTTTTCGTGCTTAGCTGCGAAACGCTTGTCCATTGCGCGCTGCGGATCATCTTTCCGTTGTCGTCAACACAAGCCATTTGATAGGCATTTCAGTCCTTTTCGTGCGGGAGCTGGCTTACCGGAGGAGACTGTTCTCTCTTCTGAATGCATACAATACACCTGATTGTTGTTCGGCATGACTTCTCCTCGAATGAATATTGAAGCCGAGGTGTCGAATTCTTCCTCAAGTGACTCGTCCAGAGAGGGTTTCTCACATGGCAAAGGGCATGAAGAGCTGCATTCAGCAGTTACCACGCCGTCCTCAACACCCAATATCTCCAGCGCCAAGTTTCTTCCTGCCGCTGTCACGGCAGAGATTGCTCCAAGCCTTGCATTCTGCCAACCGAAGCCGCCACCAGGACTCTACCGAGAGTCATCGAGTCGAATCCCGAGTGACAGTAGGGCACTGCATGCCTATCCAATCGCGGAGAGTACGAAGCATCAACCCCTGGATACACTATACAACATGATGAGGAGAAGACAAAACCAACCGAATCATATCTCACCTAGCCTAGTAGCTCCTCAGATCCCTTCTCTAACGTCTGATTCATCCGGTCTGCTAACCCACATTCAAGACCTGGAGAATAAGTTGGCTATATTGCAAGCAAAGGTTATGCAGACGACCGAAGAGCCATCAGGCACAAATATCGATCAACAGCACTTGCCAAACCACCGTGTGTCGGAGGGTGAACTTGTCGGTACTAATAGTTCTGACCCTTCCCAAATTAATCCTTGGATCGTGGAAATAAAGCGTTACAAGAAGCTAAACTACCGATTTGGATCGGCCGAGCTTTATGATGATAGCGAGTCCATCGAAGCCATTCGCGCTAAGGAAAGCGCAGCTAGAGGAGGAGGTTACATCTTGAATGTGTACCGCGAGTACGACTGGGAGGGAAATGCTCTCAACTCCAAGCTTGAAATCTGTTCTACGCCCCTGCTCGAAGTCATTCGAGATGTCATTGCATATTACCCTGGCCCGGAATTCGATCTTCTGCGATGGGAGGAGACCGCTGGGGATACCGTAACGTTTTCGGAGCCTTACATGATGTTGTTCACCCACCGGACTGAGCTGAATGACTGTCTACAACGGCCCGACATCCCTCAAGAGACTAAGAGTCACATTGGTCTGCTTCTTCAATTCTTGCGTGAAGATATGCCCAGGACGTCAGCTAAATTAGATGAAATCAAGGCCGGAACTTGCAAAAAGATCGCTTTCCACGATCTGTGGCTTCTTTATCCTCCGAACACACCGGTATATATTTCTGCGAATGGACAAGACCGGCAAATGGTGGTATATTCGCGCAACGTGCCCGAAAAGAATATGAAAGGACAATGGGGCGTTCTGAGTCTCTATTGCTGGAGCGCAAAATATGAAGGCGAACATCTAAACCGAGATTTTTATCCATGGGTGATCCAGCCATATCATGGGGAGAAAGCCCTCGATCATCTGGAACTAATACCCATGCAATATTTGCCAAACCAAGACGCAGTCCGCTCAAGGTTGATCGCAAGAGGCAACCGATATTTCCAGCTGAATCGCGGACCAGTCCTTCAGGATTATCAAGGAGACCACTTCCCAAGGGTCTTCAAAGATGTGAGTCTGATCATGGGAAGAAAGTTTCACAACATGTTTCGTTCGTGACGAGACTGAGGGGCTCGTCTGTCTTGTCCTTTGCTTACAATTTGCAAAGCACATCATCCCCATAGTTTAATCCATATTCATGTTTATGTTTTCGGAAAAATTCACAGTCTAGAGAATATGAACATCCACTAATGGAAATGCCAGGAGCCTATCCGCGTCATAGTCGACCAAGACACATACTGGCGAAAGCACGGGATTGAAGCGCCCAGGAACGATGATCCTTCCGAAGAGTACGGCTTCCCTAAAGGGGAGGATCTTCTGGAAGATTCGGAGGGCCATCCCCTTCAAAGAGCTTTGGTCTGTTGTTATCCTAAAGTCGGCATCTTCTCGATGCGTGACAAGGAGTGGGGTAAGTCTGTTCGGCGACCGAAACTGAGCTCGATATGCTTACCGTGTGTAGCCTCCGTTCGCGTCGATGATCTCCACCCCGTCAAATTCCGCGAGAAAGCCTTCAAAAGATTGGTCATCAAAGACGAATATAAGAAATTGATCATCGCCATGGTCCAAGCAAACATGATGGAAGACCCCGGCTTCACCGATATCGTAGGAGGCAAAGGCCGGGGCCTGACCGTCCTCCTCCATGGGCCCCCCGGAACTGGCAAAACACTGACCGCCGAATGCATCGCCGAGAAGCAGCAACGACCCCTCTACTCCGTCAGCTGCGGCGACTTGGGCACCGAGCCCTTCGAACTGGAAAAACGGCTCAAAGAAATCTTCAGCTACGCCGTCGCCTGGAAAGCCATCCTGCTCATGGACGAAGCCGACATCTTTCTGCAAGAACGCGACGTCCACAACGTCAGCCGAAACGCCTTAGTATCCATCTTCCTCCGGGAATTAGAGTACTTCGACGGCATCTTGTTCCTGACCACCAACCGTCCCGGCGACATCGACGAGGCCTTCCAGTCGCGCATCCACGTGTCGATTGGCCTAAAGGCCCTGGACACCGTCGAGCGCCGCAAAGTTTGGTCCATTTTCATCAGGGAGATGGACCTTTCGGACAAAGACAAGGCCGCTTTGATGACTCATGTGACGGACAAGTTCGACAACGACCGCCTGAACGGCCGTCAGATCCGGAATGCCATGCGTATCGCCATTGCGCTCGCGAACGTCAAGAAGGAGAAACTCACCCCGGATCACTTGGATCGCGTTATCAAGATCGGAAGGGAATTCTCGGATTACATGGAGGATTTGAATAAGATGAGTCAGGAGGACTATGCGGTTGCGTTGGGAAGGCGGGGGCCGACAGCATAATGGAGGGGAAATTGTAAAAATATTCATGTGGAAAAATCCTGCCAGTAGCCGGCGCGGGCATCGATACGAGAAAACCTTCCCCCCTGTCAGGAATGGGAGAAACCTAATGAGCACTCAAAAATTGTGAAAGGATGGGCTGGATACGAAGTGAATTACTACATCTGCTTGGGACCGATCTGAACCAAATATCAAAAACTAGTTAATCTGAAGAGACCCAAAAACTCGGATCAACTTCTGTCTGCATTCTAATTTCTCTCTCATATTCCATAACTCTATCCACCACTCTGTCGTACAATTTTACATTTTTCTAATTGGTTGCTGTAAACGCGACGAGATATGAAAGGCTATACTCCGTAACTAATTAGTGAATAAACGCGCAGCCCCACTGAATCCTGCCAATCAGCGTCTCAAATGATGATCAAGTCTCAGCCTCTAAGCCGAAAGGTGATTTAGTCAGCTCTTTAATGATCTTAAGGTTGTAATGGCTGTCTGTCATTCATTCAGACCAGTTTTTAGGTATCTGCGTCATTGAATCTCGACAATCAATTGGAAAAATGTCAAATTTTACGATAGAGTCGTGGATATCAATACATTCCTAAGGATAGACACCTGTGTGCTGGCCGTCATTCTCTAGTCGGTGGCCTTTGAGATTCCCTAGCGTTGCAGCTCCTCTTCCCGACTAGTATTTCTCATACAATACCAAGAAATGCCATGAGCCATGTGGAGCGGGAATTCGATGACAAGAGATTCGAACCATGTTTGGGATCATAAGCATCTTTTAGAGGTTTGAGCTCAGGGGGATTTACCTGTGGCATATTCCTGCACACGGAGTGATGTAAGCAGTAGGTCATGATTGTGCGGGGGCAAGAACGAAATAGCTTCAATTCCTATCAGCGATCTGATGATTTCGTCGGTTTGCTCCTTTCTATGATAGTTGCAAGCAATACAGGCAGAAGCAAGCCTGTGAATGGACACGAAAATTTCCTTCCAAGGCCTCCGTCCTATCAAGTCACAACCCCTAAAGTCCTCCGAAAAGGCCAACCAAGTCCAGACATTTATCCATCACAACGCTCAAGTTCCAAGTCAATATCCACACAATTTCTTTCTCTCCTCTCCGCAACAGCCTCCTCCGTCTCCAGATCACCATGTTCCGCCTCCCCAGACCTCCTTCCCCTTCTCTTTAATCGACCTCATCGACCTCTCCGCCTCCCTCTTAACCCTTAGTGTCAACTTTCCCAACCTCTCCCTTTCATGACTCGGTGACCTTGCCGTTTTCCTTGCGTTCTTCGCATTTCTCTTCATCGCCCGTCCGTTGGTATATTCAATGTGCACCCTCCTCGTCGCTTCCGGCCTCATCTTCACATCCCAGCGGCGTCTCTCCTGCTCGAAGCCTTTGCGATTGGCATACACCGCTCTGGCGAAGTCATCCTCGTCAATCTCAGCCAACACCCCGACCTGCTCCACGGGCTTGAAAGGTATCTGCGGCACCTCCGAGATCTCGCCCGCAGTCCGAGGGACGTCAGGAAGGTCGTAGGCAGACACGATCTCAGCTTCCATGCTGTGGTCCCTCGACATGTCCCAGTAGGAGTCATTGAATTCGAAGACTGAATCCGAGCAGCAGGTGTGGTTCTCGCTGTACCCAAACTTGTGAGCCTGGCGCCCGCCGGGTGTCTGTTCGGCCTCCGACTCAACAATGCCAGCCACAGCATCGGAGTAACAAGGAACCGTTTCAATCTCATCCCATCCATCATCCTGGGATCCCTTAGATGTGCCCGTCGCCGAATCAGATCCAGACTCAGAGCAAGTATCCAGAGAGTAGTCATCGTCTTGGATCTTCCCACCCTCCGAAACGCCATGCCGGTGCCCTCCTGGACTTGCCATCAATGCCTCGTACTGGAAGCAGAATTCCTTGAAGTACTCACGACACACAACCCGCCCGTTAGACAAGACATGGCCAAGACGTCCACCTGACGGGCTCTCCGCCTCCATTGACGACAGGTTCATGGGGGAGTCGCCGTCTTGGCTGCTCCCTTGTTCTCTCATCACGTCATCTTGGGGCTGAGATGCTGGTGGTGGTGATGTTGGCTGCATTGTTGTTGCTTAGCTGACGTTCTGGAGGGTGTCAATGCCAGATGTCCTTCAAGCTGTAAGAGTACAGGATGTGTGTTGATATGACAACGAAGGGCACTCGAATAGTATAAACATGTGTATAATAATGACAACTGATTTCGTACAAAGACTATCGCTGTACGAAAAGTCAGACTTGGAATATCAAGAATGAAATTGAACGGAACATAAAAATCCCGAGAGGGGAAAAAGCAAGCACATTCTTATAGGGAAACACAGTCACAACGTCCTCCCCAACATAGCTTAAGTCACTAGTAGGGTCCTCACTGTCACCGACTGAGCAGCTATGTTCAATTCCCACACTGACTGTTAACTTATCTGGTAGAGCGGGTCTTGAGGACCTCGGACCTCTGACCTCTCTCTTTCATCCAACCAACATAGTAGTGGTTCCACGGCAAATGCAATACAGAACAAACCAGGGATAGAGTATGGGTCTCTCATGGCCCGTAGACCCTCAGAGGTACCCACAGTGACTATCGTTGCGGCACCATTTTAGGGGTGACTGTTCAGGGGGGCGGTCTAGTCAGTCCGTTGAGCGGCCATTCGAGAATACTCACAGCTGGAGAAACTAATCATCACATTCCGAGCAAGGAAGGTTGATGGATCAATAATACTCGATGGAAAGAGACAGGGTGGAGTAAGAGTGGAGGCGAAAGGGTTGTACGCGGCATGCTATGCTAGTCACGCAGCTGGGTGAAAAGAGGAGGGCCAACATTGAACTCTGTATTTCCGGGGTATAGCTGATCGAGATAGACCTGATCAAGGCTTGGGTCTTTGCAGCTTCTGATGCTTTGAAGTGCATCTTGGAGCTCAAACTGCAATATTTGCCATCGTACGTTGTTCATCTGTTACTCCCGCGCTCGCTCGAGGTTTGCCCAGGTGGCAGTTGGCTCATTCGATTCAAGCCCGGACAGGCTTCATTTGAGTGCAACACCTGAGCCAAAACACATTCATCCTAGCAAATCACTCTTCGGCTTCCAACCAAATCCTTACATTCGAGCTGATCACTGATCAGACAATCTACCCAACAGGACTCCATTCCATTGGAATTAAAATCTTGCTCTTCATGGTCTGAATCAGCGGCACAGTCTTATGGACCGTATCACCCCAACCTTCGATCCCCCATGACTGTTCCCGTCTGATCTTCCGTTCCTCCAGGTCGGCAAATTGCCATAGGTGATGTACGGTATTGAGGTCTCCGATCTGACAGAACCATGCTCCCACACCTTCCATAACTTCCCGTCGTGCTTTCAGTCCTCGTCGCCAATGGGTCTCCCATTCAAGTAGATTTCCAGGATGGAGAGTATAAGATCGGAGCTCAAAGAGCCCGCCCAGTCTTCGCGGTGGTGTGGTTGGCCAGAAGGAAAATTCTTGCATGAGGGAGACTTTCTTAGCGGTAATCAATGTTTTCAGACGCTTGTCAAAAGCAGGAAATTCTGGATGACGCGAAATGTTGTGCAAAGATTCATGATAGCCGGTGTATCTCTGATATTCCCAAATGTGTACTGTCAGGCGAGGTCAGTCATAGAATCAAAAATCCTCAACAAGAACATTTCCAAACCAAAAGTGTCGCAATCTCCCACCTCCGACCTCCAACTTCCTACAAGATTGACTTTGTTCTCGGGCATGGAAGCCATTCGAGGATACCAGCCACCAACCAATTCGACGTACTCATCGACCTTATCTGGCTTGACTTCGTGAAAGACTATCGAATGAACGTATTTGCCTCGAGCAAGGACCTGTGAGAAGGATCTCTCCATCTCTTTATCCATTTGCTGTCCCTCGACCGTGCCATAGATAAGGTTCGAAAAAGCGCCGCCTTTTTTCTTGGAAGATGCGGCGTCTTGTTCGGCTTTTCGTGCTTCTCCTAAAATCCGATGGGTAGATAGTGAGCCTAATGCTGCCGGGTCCAATTGCGCTGCAGCGTCAAGTACAGAAGTGGAGCTCGCATTGCCGCCAGGGTTGGCAGTGGGAGCAGTTTTGTGGGCAGTAGAAGGAAATTCAGGTGTAGCAAGTGACTGACTGTCAGCCTGTTCTTTTGCCTTCTTGGCAGCTTGTAAGTTCTCACGGAACTCCTTCTGCCTGGCATTGAACGTATCTGCGCCATCTGGCGTAACATCACCAAGACTGGGAGATCGAGGTGGCTCTCGAACAGTGGAGGACGAAGTGAAGGAGCGAAGTAGGAGGGAGGAAGACGAGACCGAGCTTGTAGGCACAAGACGTCGGACAAGCATGCTGGCGTTGCTTGAAGAGGAAGAGGGTATCCAGTGGAATATGTGAGAGATGAAGGTCTCGTGAGCTAGACAAACAAGTCTCGTGCGGAAAGCACCAAGCAAACTTGGATGTCTGACTGGCTAGAAAACAAAGGAAAGGGGAGTTAGAGCTGTGAGCTGTGAGCTGTGACTTATGAGAGAGCAGTGCTAATCAGAATGCGGGGAGGCTGCTGGTCGGGCTGTCTCAGGGTTTCGCGGGCTGGGGTGAAGAACAAGGTGTGCGTAACAGCGTAACAGCGGGCTGTTGAGTGCGTCGGTTGGTCAATCTGGTAGGGAAGAGGGGAGCTTACTACGTACTCGCAGTTAGGTGCAGTTTGGGGCGGGAGGGCTAGTTCGTGGGGATAGTGGTGCCAAGGAGCACCGGTTGGGCATTCCGTGGGGAAGCAAGTCAACCATTCCAAACATGGACTAGCTTGGACAGATGACGCTCTGATACCACGCCTGCACTGATGAAAGTCCTGTGGCAATACTGACCGGGAACATGGTAACATCTGTCCATCTGTACATCTGTACATATAAGCTTCATCTCGGTACTAGTCAGCCATGGCCGAGCCAGCCCATAACCCTCCTCTCAATTACGAAGCTTCAAATACAAGAACTCATCCCCAAGCTTCCTCCTCCCTCCCACCAGAAGTGGTCACTTGTCTCGAAAATGCCCGATTTGTATGCACATCAACTCCTCGACCTACATCCTGCGTTCTCTCCTAACAAAGACGATACAGCTCCACCTCGCAACCATCACGAACCCAACACCTACTTCTCCCGCACTTCCCCACGTCTCCCTCATGAACTACACCTTTCTCCCAGGCGGCTCCTCATCACATCCGACCTCCCCTCTGCCACCCCATCCAACCATAATAATGACTACGAATCATCGATCCCTCAAGACCCAAAACCTTCTCCACAACCCGCATGTCAGCCTACTCGTCCATGACTGGGTATCGCATCGGCCGCCTACTGCTGGGGGGCCTGGAGGCGGGCGAAGCGGTTCCCCGCCCGCAGCCGCGACCAGAAGCTCGCTGGCCAGTCTGTTGCTGAATATGAATACTAGCGCACTGAGTAGCATATCGACGACAATCACTGGGGAGGCGGTGTTTCTGGAGAAGGGTAGCCCGGAGGAGAAATGGTGCAAGGAGGCGCATTTGGCGAACAATACGTTTGGAGATCAGGCTAGGGAGGAGGCGGGTTTGTTTGGGGGACAGCCGCCTAGTGCCCCTGGGGCATTGGAGGGTGGGGGAAGCGCGGGCAGTAGTAGCTGTTACATCGAGGGAGAGGACGTGAGAGTTGTGATCGTGAGGGTTCGGGAAGGTAGAATAGCAGACTGGAAAGGAGGAGTCAAAGATTGGGTGGTGCTTGATGAGGATGAGCTGCAAAAACGGTCTAGCGAGAGTACAGGAGACAGAAGCGATGATGGCACAAGAGGGAGAACACCGCAAGACCAGGTGACTCTGGTGAATGGCGTTGCAGGATAAAAGCAGACCGTGATAGTAACAATAGACATGTGGGACGAGGGATCGAGACTGAAAGAATGATTGAAGTGTATGAAAAATTACGTGTAATCACAGAAGGCTTGCCAAGGCATCGCGGCTGGTAGGAATCGTACCAAGCCTAAGGGCTGAAGTGCCTTCATTTCCTTGGCCGGGCCAACCAGTTCGAAATGATCGATTGGACCAAACGCTTTACCGTAGTAGATGCAGGTTATGCATCCACACCCCACTTTTCTAGCAGTTTCAATTTCGAGGCGAACCGCTAATACGATTAGAAAACCTTTGATGATCTAACCAACCACCTCTTTCATAACGCCGGTTCTGTGACTGGCGAACCATGAAAGATGACACCGTTGAATGGGCCCATTGCTTCCGGCCCATTGCTTCCGGCACGGTTGCCAAGAGGCGACTTGCCTGGATTCCCATGTGGGTAAAGCGCTGAAAAAGCTATAAAGGACATGCTGTGAATATGCAAAGGGTGCAATCAACAGGAGGTTGTGAGGTATGAACAGGTTCGTAGTCAAGGTTGAAGAGTGACAGCTTCCGAGTTGGATATTGTGCGGTCATTAATATCCGTTCACATCACCGTGCACTTGGTGCTGCTGTTGGCTTTCGATTTGGCAGGCTTGACCTGCAAGGCAACTCTTGCTGCCTCCGTGAATGCCTCATTCACACCACGATTGCGCATGGCTGAACATTCTGTATCCCGAGCCGTCAGTAGGGATGTACGTAGCTTGCTTGGGAAAGTCGCTCGATCTGTCCTTGTGATTACGTACCAAGGTATCTGAGTGCTCCAATCTTCCTTGCGACATCGAGTCCCTCCTGATATTCTATTACTTGTTTCGGTGCTGCCTCAGTGCTGGTGTCAGGACCATCGTCATCCTTTTCGTGCTCTTCTCGGAGATCGCATTTCAAGGCCACTAAGACCACTTTGACCCCTTGACAGTGCTCCGTGATTTCCGCGACCCATTTCGATCCCACGTTTTCAAGCGAGTCCCTGTTATCGACCTGTTAGGGAAATTCTGAATTAGCTGCGCTCTGGAAGTTATGAGAGAATGCAATACATTGTGTCAACCAGAAGGCAGGGTTATTAGCAACATACGCTGAAGCATAACATTATCGCCTGTGTGTCATCATACGAAAGCGATCGTAGTCTGTCAAATTCTTCTTGACCTGCAGTGTCCCAGAGCGAAAGTTCCATATGTATGTTGTCCACAAAAATGTCTGATACTGGATGAGTATAGTGGAGTTTGGAGCACTGTGCAAGCACATACCATGTACATAGTTCTCTAAGGGGCATCAGCATGGTCCAGCCTGTTTAAAAGACTGTTACGACTTACCAAAGACAGTTGGCTCACTGGGTCATTCGCCTGTCAGTACATGCTGCCACCTGTTGCAAGCGGAACGAGAGCCTTACTAGACAGTAGGAAAGAATCTGTCATTTGCGAAGTCTGGTGTCAGTTGTTCTACATAATGAAAAGAGATGGGCTCGAGATGCAATCACATACCCTCTGGTAAACACGTTCAATAACGATGTCTTTCCACATGCACCATCTCCTCTGCCCCTTGTGAGTTCATGATCGGAAAGCGAAGTGTACAGCATGGACGAACAACAAGACCAGCTTTCTTTGGACCGTCTTGCTTCCCCCGCAAGGTCGCATGTTGGTGATTGTGTCAGGTAAGGTAAGAGAACGCGCAAGCTGCCTTAGGTCGCTGAGCACCCGAAGATGAAGAATGTAGGACTACAATTGCAGTTGTAGCGATAACGTGAAATTGCGATAACTGAAGGCGGTATCATGAGTTATCGCAGGAGGATGCGCAGAGGACTCGGAGTGACAGGACAATATGTACTAACATACTCCGTACTCACTACTAGGATGTATCCGATACCCGCGAGATTGGACGCTAGCAATTAGCTGTAGATTGATGCGATGGAAAACCCATCTAGAATCACCCCTGACAGGTCGCAACTGATTTCCCCAAGATCATGATCATGATCATGATTATGCCTCCTTGACCTACAATGTGCAGCATGCATGCCAACTTGCTCGAGTCTCCTAATGGCAATGTTTGAAAGTGTCCTAGTGTCCTAGTGTCCTGCAGCACAGAGAGTTCTCCACATGGAGTTTGATTGGAAGTCATGAAGCTACTTTACACAGTTAGCTGCTCAAGACTCTAGCCTTGCTTAACCTCTCTAGTGACAGTTGGAGAAAAGTTTGTGGTCTACTAGTAGTAGATCTCAGTGACGTCCTTCAATAAGCTTCCTGTTCACGCTCCATTCCAGATTTGCCTCTACCCATTCTTTCTCCAAGATCCATCTCACCAATCACTCTCCGGTTCAGCCCATTGACAAAATCAGCTCGTCCTCCGACCTTGGAGTTTCGAGCGCGCAATACGTCATCTTTCTCTGCCTCTTCCTTGTCCTTGGCAGCAATAGCAGCAAGCCGCCTCTCACGATCTCGATCCAACTCTGAAGCAGCCTGCTGCATTGCGGCTAATTTGGAGGCACGATGGTCTTCAGCTGGTGGCGAGCGCTGCCGCTGATAATGTGGAGACCGTGAGCGGGGACGTGAGGTCGGACCAGAGGAGTGCCAGCTCTTCATCTTTCGAACCTCTTTCTCATGCCGCTTGCCTCTGTATGGTGATCTGGAGCGCTTCCTGAGATCAGGAGAATATGAACGGCGATTTCGAAAGGGTGATGGAGATCTTCTCGACCTTCGAGGTGAGGGTTCGGGTGATCTGGAGACAGAGGAGCTGTATGACCTTCTTCTGTGATGTCTTTTTGATCTGTGTCTCTCTTTATCCTCGTCGTATTGGCGAGAGCGTCGTCTCAGATGCCTCTCTTCACTATTTCGATGGTGGTGATGGTGATGCTTTTGGCGTTTCCGGTCACGTTCTGACACTGTCATATCTTCTGCGCCAGCAGCTTTCAGCACTAGTCTCCTTTTCACAGGGTCGTTCATCATTGCCTCGTAAGCAGCTTGCTCTTGCCTCTTGATCGCTAACATTGGGTCATCTCGTATTTTTGAAGCTGTATCCCTGGCTGTATATGCATGTTGCACCGCCATGAACGCCTCCTCATTCGACGATTTCTCTAGTTTCTGGTGCTCTGTGCCCTTCAGCAGACCATCGATTCGTCTCTTGCCCAATAAATATCCCTCCATCTCTTCAGTAGTACCAGCTTGACCACTAGCAGGACCAGAATACATCCAGTCCACACGCGCGGTCCGCTTTCGACCACCGGCTGCTTCCTGTAATTGCTGCAATTCCTGGATCGCGCGCTCTTCCTGCCTCTCTTTCATCATCTGGTCAGTGCGTTTTCGCTCCTCCAGTGCCCTCTTTTCTTCTTCCCATACTTTCTTCTGGTTGGTGAGTAGTTGAGGATGCCAGCTCTTCTTTAGGTTTAGATCGCCACCCATCTTGATAATATATTGATAATTGTATAGATGAGGGTAGTCTGGTAGTGGCTGCGCAGGATATTTGTTGCGCCGTCGGAACTGTTGTGCGTGGCAATGCACAGAGCTATCCGATGGAAGGATATGAGAAACTTGGTATTTCCCTAGTATGTCAGAGAGGAAGCGGCGGAACAACTTGAGGCAGTAATGGACTGGAAAGATGGTGTCACAAGGAGTCAACAACTCGTGAAGGGTTGTGTAGCCACATGTCTGTAGCAGGAGGCTAACGATTTAGGCTTACATACTAAGCATGCAGTTTCTCCAATTCCAACAGCTCTGCAGCTCCAAGCACATAATTACCCCAAGTGACTTCGTTCGCGAAACATCTCAAACATTTGAGCTTTGTGCTGCTCTGGCATCTTCAATTACTACCATCAATTTGGAAGTTGTCATTACATTCCCTCAGATCCATAAAGTAACATCTTTTGTTATCTGAGCGGACCAGTCCCGCTCGCAGCTCATTATCTGGCACATTTACCTGGAAACATGTCTGACGATGATGACTTTATGCAGGAGTCTGACCCTGAGCAGTAGGTACATCAACCGGCTTGATTGATGCGTCAGCTAATTTACCCAGATACGACTTCGAGTATGAGGATGATGACGAGGAAGAAAGCGGCGATGTTGACATAGAAAACAAATACTACAACGCAAAGCAAATCAAAGCCGACAGCCCTGAAGATGCCATTGACGAATTTCTCGGTGTACCAGCCCTTGAAGACGAGAAAGGTGATTGGGGTTTCAAAGGTCTCAAACAAGCCATCAAACTAGAGTTCAAGCTGGGCCGGTACGACTCTGCAGTTGAGCATTACAAAGAGCTTCTCACATACGTCAAGTCTGCTGTGACTCGAAACTACTCGGAGAAGTCGATAAACAATATGTTAGACTTCATCGAGAAGTCTTCCGACGACCGGAAAGCGTACAAGTGTATGGAGGAATTCTACTCGCTCACTTTAAACTCATTTCAGAGTACCAATAACGAGAGGTTATGGCTGAAGACTAATGTCAAGCTAGCAAAGCTATGGCTTGACAAGAAGGAGTACGATCAGCTGAGCAGGAAAGTCAGAGAACTCCATAAGGCTTGCCAAAAGGAGGATGGCACAGATGATCCCGCCAAAGGAACATATTCACTAGAAGTGTATGCGCTCGAGATTCAGATGTATGCCGACACTAGGAACAACAAGAGGCTAAAGGCACTGTATCAGCGCGCTCTGACCGTCCGCTCGGCGGTCCCACATCCCAAGATCATGGGGATCATCCGAGAATGCGGAGGGAAGATGCACATGAGCGAGGAGAACTGGAAAGACGCCCAGAGCGACTTCTTCGAGTCGTTCAAGAATTATGACGAGGCCGGGTCCATGCAGCGAATACAAGTTCTCAAGTATCTTGTTTTAACCACCATGCTAATGAAGTCTGACATCAATCCCTTTGACTCTCAGGAGACCAAGCCCTACAAGAATGACCCTCGCATCTCGGGCATGACAAATCTTGTGGATGCTTATCAACGGGATGATATTCACCAATATGAGAAAATCCTCAAAGAGAACCAGGATGTATTGGCAGATCCGTTCATTGCTGAGAACATCGACGAAGTCAGCCGCAACATGCGGACCAAGGCGGTTCTGAAACTGATTGCTCCCTACTCAAGGTTTACTCTTGCCTTTATCGCTAAACAGATCAAGATTTCAATCGCGGAGGTCCAGGATATCCTTGGTGTCCTAATCGTGGAAAGAAAACTCAAGGCCAAGATCAACCAGGAGAGTGGCACAGTAGCCGTGCAAAGTACGAGCAACTTAGATCACTTGCAGCGAGTGCGCGATTGGAACAAGGCTCTCGAATCCCTCTGGAGCACTGTGCTAATTGAGGGCGAAGGTTTCAAAAATGAAGACCCTCACGGGTTTGGCAGTGGTATTGGGCCATCGTTCGACGGAGGCCAGGACTCGTTCTGGGGCAATGGAATGAGTATGAGAAGGAAGGGACCACTACGCGGTAGGGGTCAAAAGATGCATGGCTAGGCTGGGCGGTCGAAAGGGTTTGCTACTACCTGAGCCATGCGGGCCACATTGAAACCAGGCTGCAGATGCAAAAAGGGGCGTCGTGAGTCAGGAGATTGTACCTCTCCAGATTCTACGTGGGCTGATGAGCCTCAAGATTTGGAGACCACTTGCCCTAGGTTATACATTCCAGAGCAAGGAAAGATTGATCGGTGGGTCAATACGAGAGTTGACCTACAACTCTTGGAGCGTCGTTGACCTTGAAGTTTGCGGAAGGTCAATGGTACCGCAGGCTGCATGGTGAAAGGTGGACATGACCTCCTTGTACGGCGACACTGTAGGCCACACCATGCAAAGAGCTGTCGTCTCCTTCGCATTTTTCTCTAACATCACCATGCACCTGGCAGGAAAAAGGATGAAATGCTCGAATTTATACTTGTCGTCCTCCTAACGTCTTCTCCGGCTCGTGCTAGCCTTGACAGATGGCCAGCTAAGCCAAGATGCAGTGTGACAATCACTCGTCCAACCAACTTCCTGGCTTGCCACATTCTGCTGCAGGGACTTCCCAAAAAATGTGATATCACATTTCCTGTTTGACTGAAAAATTGACTTTGGGCTTATCAATTGGGGTTGCAAATTGCTCCGACTGCTTCCTTGGTACTGTACTACGTACCTGGCTTCACGTTGTCGAGAACGTGATCCTGGAGCCTCGAATCGAGAGGCCACACATAGGCCTGCTCGTGGCCCAACGCCGTACTTTAGACATTCTAGACACTTTCCATGATGAGTGATGGTACCAATCTCTCGGTGAATTGTCGCTGCTAGAAAAGTAAACCCACTCAGTTAGTAAGATAGATGCCGGAGCCATTTCCCACCAATAGTCACTTGTAAGCGCCCCTTGGCCAGCCTGAGGAGAAAGGACACAAATCAACTAAGTTGGACGGACATCATTTTACAAAAGTTCTTCTGCGTTGTCTGCCTGTTCTTGGTTAACGCCAACCCAACCAAAGATTTGGAGGCTTGCTGAAGAAGTGACGGCAACTGAATCCTTGGACACTGCAACGCCCTGGGTTTGCTGACAGCCTTGCTGGCCTGCAGTAGCCCGACACATCGCCGGGTAAGTACTTCCACTTCATTCATCTATGTCACTCACCTGCACTCTACACTTCATCCTGCTGTCGATAGAGCCTTCAGTTGCATCAGTTGCATCAGTTGCACCAATTCCCACCCTTGTTTCAATACCGAGGCTCGTTGCGCTTCGACTGCCGAACTGTTGTGATCCTCTGTCAGAGGCTGCGGTGATAGCCCCCAATGTAATACTTGCTGGATGAGAGCACGCGCTGTCTGATCCAGCACATCTTTCACCCATCAAGTGAAGTCCGTCCAATTGTACTCAATAAAGTTGTTGGTGCATAAATTGAAGATTAACAAGCAACTCATCTCCCACAATCGATCATCACCGCACAGCTGAGAAACACGGCAAACGAGAACTGCCATTGTTAGCTCTGGCCTGCCCTCCCTGCTACGTTGCCGTTGCTGTTGCTGATTATGTACGTGGTTTGTTCATTTCAGCCAGTAGCTGCACGACTTCTGAAGGATTGTCAAGGGTACAGAACACCATTGTTTCCTCAACAAGATGAGCATCAACCAATGATCTTCAGGGCGTACGGGCAACTGCATATGAGACACAATAGCTTCCTTCTTCCCAAAAATTGATCAGCTGCATCTCAGGGAGACCTTAGGGTTTCAATGGTAGCTTCTGCTTGCCCACATCAGCATCAAGTCACGTTTCGAAAATTTGTATCTGAGGCGCGCAATTGAATATTTCTTCCATCGTCCAGCGCACCGGTTGAGGAGCGCTCAACCTGCCGCTTCTCCAATTCTGAGCTGTTAAGCGGGACGGTGCTTGCGTTGTCAATGACTGCTCTTAGTCCTAGGGCTAATGCCTGTGGGCATTATGGCAGCTATCCTTCATTCCAAGCAAGCCCCCTCGGTCCACGTCACTCATTGCACTTCTCTTCACATCTTGAGCGTCCAACGTTCAACCATTCAGATCTGACTTCCTACATTCAGTTGCACGGCTTTCATGATCTCACAGCGAATATGGCCGCCAGTCAAGATGAGTTGGACATGGAAGCCTTTCAGAGACTCTCTGATACGTATCAGCCAGATGTGCAGGTAAGCTTGTCCAAGACTATCTGCGCCGTTTAGCTGACCTGACCTGCCGTTACCAGGGACCTCTCGTTCGCGACAAACTACCAATACAAACATTGATCAATGAATTCAACAATGCAGATCCCGCCTACGTTACGAAAACTGTGGTAGGCTATGGTATCTAGACCACCCATTCAGAACTTGAACTGAGAGAACCGTAGGCGCTAGCTTCTTCTTACTCGCAGTACCGGCCTATCAAAGGCGATGGGCAGTGCGGATGGAGAGGTATGGCTAACGACCTTGGCTTTATGATCGCCTCTAAACTGATGTGATAGCTGTCGTATTTGGTTACTTCGAATGCCTGTCATCACAAGATGTCGTCAAAATCGCGTCAGAACAAGCAAGGCTTCGAAGCTTCAACGAAACGATTGTTGCTGTTGGACATGAAGCCACCATGGTCGAGTGCTTCATTGACGAGACAATGAAGCTGTTCGACTCACTACGCCAAACCATCCAGTCTGGTGGGGAAAGCGATCAGCTATTGTTGGATGTCTTCAACGACGGAAACCGGTCGAACTCAATAGTATTTCATTTCAAGGTCTGTGATCCACTGTTGGGCAAGAAGGTGGTGGTAGTTTCTAACGGACAGCAGCTCTTGACCAGCACCACCATGAAAATGAATCCTGATCGATATCAAGAATACCTAGTAGAGCAGCCTTTGTATGAGTATTGTGCGTCGAATGTCGATGCATACGAGAGAGAAATAGAACAGATCAGCCTTCAGGCTTTGACAGATGGCGTCATTGCTCCAGCCAACATGAACGTTATTGTGATGTATCTCGATCGCAGTAAAGGCAATGAGGTCACCCAGCATCAGCTTGTAGGCAAAGCAGGTCCAGATTGGCCTGCTATCACTCTTCTCTATCGACCGTGAGTGCCACTCTTCAAGCTATAATGGATAGCTGACTCTTCCGCAGGGGCCACTACGACATGATCTACAAGTCTGCACCGATTCGGGCTCATCGTGTGGAAATCAGCACAGGACAGGATAGCTTTCTTCCCACAAGCGGCTTCTCGACCAGACTCTCTGACCTCCGCGTTCTCTCACACTTCAACGAAAACCAATCAATGATGCACCAATATCACGGTGATAACTACCCTACGTCTTCTGGGTCTATGGACATGTCTTTTGCGCGTTTCTTCCCTCCACCCATTGCTCAAGCAACCATGGCAGAGCAGCAAGCGGCTTCAAGCGCAGCACTAGCGTCGTCCACTGCCAGCTACGATGCGTCTTATATGCATTCTGGTGTGTCTGCTGAAGCATTTGGGACAACTACCAATCAATATGGAGTCTCGGCACCCGAAGACGGATATGGAGCATTCAATGGTGCATGGTCTACTCCACCACCATGTTATCACCCGCCAATGCTTCTGCCACCCCAGTATTATGCTCCACCTGCCGCAACCTCCCCCATTTCGCCCCCATCGCCGGGACCAAGTCCGAGAAAGCAGGAGCTTCAGATTCGAATGAGTCAACCATGCTATGAGATGGGTCAGCATCATCATGAGATTCTCCCTTTGGAGACGGGTCCTTTCAAGAAGTAAGGCTACAAATAGTGCATTGCCTTAACCACGCTGACACAGTTCTTCTCCAGTTCCCCATTCAACAGGGGTCACTTTCTCAATCCCGACTTTCAACCTCTTATGTGGAACGCCGATGATGACTATGTTTGAGACCGACAAGGCGCCGATGGTGGGACCATTTGCAGTCTTGATTCACGATGTTTTCAGCTGGGAGTTGGTTGCTGCATTGCCACTCTTCTTCCATTTTCATGAACGACCACCGCACGATGATTTCAATGCCAACCACACTCTGTACCATACACGTCTACGGTTTCCTCTTGCTTTGCTTGCCACAAAATTGAGCATAACAGCAAGCCTGCTACTTTGTGTCGCATTTTCATGAGCGAAATATCAAGACATGCGTGGGTTAGTATGTGTGCATTTTGACGGCAGAGCTTTGACCGAGTTCCAATAGTTCTTACTGCATAATTTTAGTACTCGTAATAAGCGATCAAGCGAGAATCTATACATTTAGAGAGCACACATATCAATGCGGAGGATTACTACGTAGACTGCGGCCCGTATAGGAGCTAGACCTCGCATCCCCCCAGGCTACAAGGCAACAATGGGTGGGCGACGGCCGGGAGGCCCGCTCGATCGGCGCAGGCATCTTCCCACTAACCTAACTAATCACATCATTAGTTGAGCTACCGCCGTAGTACGTAGTACAAAGATTCATGGGCGACTTCAATTGTATACCCTCCCGCGTTTTTCCGATGTGCATATTGTGCATATTGTGTATATTTTGTCGACAGACGAGGTAGGTCTGAAAATTTTCCCGCCTCAGTGGCAAGCAGCCCGGTCGCAGGAAAGGCTTTCTCTAGCAGCACGTACAGTTCTGCACCGGTTCCGCCGCTTGTCCTTTTGTGGCCAACCTATCGATTTTTCATGACACCGAAGGGAAAAGGCCTTGCTATGAACCAGAACATGATTGGTCGGTGAATTTATATCCGCCTGTGTTTGGTGAGCTTGTGATTGTGCGAACGTTGTTTCCAATACCCTTTGTAGAATAGTCAGATCCATGGCCTCCTTCCCTGAGAACAGCGGATCATTCGTGTCTTCTTATCCATTCTTCCATGCTGAACATATGGCCCGTGTGTGTCATTCTCCGTCTTCGGTTTCGACGGTCGGACCACCTTCTCATCCTGCTCTCTACCTGTGCATCCGAAGCTCGAAAGAAAGGACAACGATTTAGCGATCGTCCGCTTCTGGTCCATCCTTCTGGACCGTCTCGTCGGTGCCGCAGGGGAAATTGGAGAAAGTGGGCATCAGGAATCAAGGCACGTCCGCCATGCGCTGGCGTTGCTGCAGGAATAATGGTCCCCATCAGTTGGTCTTGGGAGCTCTGGTTCCTGGATACTCGATAATATGTTCTTGTTTTTCACTTCGTTATTCAAGCGGTCAGCTGGGCACGATATGACGTTAATATTAAGCTTCAAAGAAGATATCATGGTCTTGACGCTATCCTAAAACATTATCTAACTCCGGCTTCGGCCCATCCAAATTTGCAAACCTTTGCTGGCTCGCCTCTTTGACTCCGTCTTCGATCAAGGGAGTTTGATGAGGACTGAGCAGGGATGTCAAGGGTGTCGCCAAATCCGTGGCCTGGTTGGGCGCTGGCGAAGGCTCTCAGCTTGAGGGATTAAGCATGAGCTATTTCGGTGTCTTCTTTTCCATTTTTCTACGTTCTGCTGCCATTTCGGGTCGCCGGTGCTCATTGACCTGGCGAGTTTGCGGCTGTCCAGGATCGAATCAATTGTCTGCATCGCTTGGTTCAAGATTACTTTGGCTCTGACAGTGTTGACTTTTGAAATCTCCGAGCATCTCTTGGCTTGCTTTTAGTTGGGCGGCGCATTCGAGCAGTTCGTTGTCAGCTTCATTCTCTTGGAGCATGTGTCATAGATATCTGTGCACCAGGTCGTACAATTCGAAGAGCTGACCCTGAATCTGATCGGCTCCTGCAATAGCCGGATCAATGCCAATATCCGATGCTTGACCATGAGGAGATGGGTTGGTCTGTTGGCTGTTTGACGCGTGAGGCTGCACATTGTCATCGGGGACAGGAGTTGGAAGTGTTCTAGTTCCAGCAAACTTAGTAGCTGCTCCTCCGAGGTTACCAACCGCTTGAACGGCAACTATCGCAAAGTTCAGTGCATTATGCACAATGCCTAAAGCGCCGTTGATCCCTCCTGCAAAACCTCCCTCGAGATCGCTGACGGTCTTAAATCCTAGGGCTTTTCCACTCTGCAAGTCATCAGGCTTAGCCACGCAGAACATAAGCAGAGACTACGCTTACCTCCTCCCCTTGCAGACTTCTTGAATTGCTTTCTCGCATTCTCAAGATCTATATCTGCCTTATTTAGCTGACGTTCCAGGCACGCACAGATGTTCTGCTCGATCTTTTCCTCGAATCGTTGCTTCGAAGCTTCTCATCCGTTTTAATCTCGTAATTCTTGGTGCGAGCTATCGAATGCGTGAGCGAAGATTTAACCCTTATTGGCGGTATGCTTACACATTTGATTGCCTATTGCTCGATTTAGCTCGTTCGCCATGGCAAGTAGCATGTCGGAATCTTTCTCAATTTCTTTCGGTGTCCTGTTCCGAATCTTGACCGCGCCTTGGTACCCAGTTGGGTTTCGCCGTGACTCAGGAATCAGTCACTCGGCGGCTCAGCCTTGCTCAGATCGCACCGCCACTGCTCACCCTCTTGCTCACCTTCTGTTTCGGTGTTGCTCAGGGGCCTCAGTCTCGCTTCACCCGTACTCAGTCCCGCTTCTGAGCCCCTTGCTATGATTGGCGAACCATGCCTTGTTCACAGCTGCCGTAACTTTTGAAAATTTTGTCGCTCTACACGAAGATCTGACGGCCCAGTTATGGGACTGTTACGCCAGGCTTGGGGCTTAGGGCGCGGCTCGCAGCGAGGCGTAACACTTCCTTAAACAAAGAAATATCTATGGCTTAGTATGTGTAGCCTAAGGCCTCCTGACGAGCAGCTGATCTGCGTTCAAACTCAAAAAACCTCCGCTCATCTTCTGAATTGAGCTCTTCTCCTGCTGATGAACACGAATCTTCCATCACGATGTACTTGCCCTTGCCCATGTCAGGAGGTGGGGGTATATCACACTCCTCGGCATCAATAAGGTACTCGGCCAGAACATTGTAGCTCAAGACGATCTCCTCGGTCATATCGGCATTGGGATACTTGGTTGCAAGGTCAGTGCCAAAGTCCTCGAGATAGAATCTGAAAAACCCAGGCTTTAGCGTGCCATCACTGTCTCGTATGATATCCCCATCGATCAGAGTCTTCATTCTTATAGCATCCTGATTCTCGATTTGATAAATTTCTGGACACCATGCTGAGATCTTGAACAACTTTCCTCCTATTTCGAGACCGATGACAAGATGAACTTCACCCATTGATCCGGTGACAAATTTTCGAGCTTTACGTCGTAGCTTTTTGCAGTCCTGTGTATGTGCAATCTCGATCACAACTCCTGGAAAGTACAGGCCGCGGATGTAAAATTGTGCATCAGGTTGGAGGAAGGATTTAGTGCCATAGAGTTCGATTGTGGCGGCGGAAGCAGGTTGGATATCCCGGATGAGTTGTTTTGTGCCTTCGTTTAAAGTTTTTCCGGCAATAACGGTTAGCTGGCTTTTGATTGAATCGCTGGTCTTGTTCTTCGTGCATTCGTGGATTTTGGTGGTAGGCATTACAATGACAAGAATCTTGTCATCAATAAGATCGTGCCTTGAAGAATTCAAGATTAGTAAATAATCTGAGGTCAAATGTCTAATGGGTATTTGTTTACCTTAGCTTATCCTCTATGTATCCCCAAACTTCAGAATCCGATTGACGCAAGGATTTCATAGTCTCTTCGTATGCTCCAGGCTGAAGGATAAAGGTGCAATACCTGCCCTGAGGATTGATAGCCTCCTTGGCATTGAGGGAAGAAATAAATCTGCCGATTAATGGATGTGCTTCGCGGTCTAAGCGGTTGTGGATTTTCTGGGTTTTGCGGTGCTTGGTGGAATTTGAACGTGATGGAGAACGAGAGCGGGATCGTGATGTGATACGAACATCACTACAAGCGATGCTATCCAAATTCTCGTGGACTGCTGAGAGTTCTTCCATGTTCTGGCATTCGTCTTTGCAGAAGATGGTTGACGCGATGTTCAAGTTAAAGATTACTATACTACTAACTAGTATCACTGAGCAGACGTTGTATAACTCTTTGGATGGAGGTCCGTGCACGGACTCACCCTTTTTGGCATAATTAGCAGCTAATCGCAGCGAGCGTACGGAGTAGTGGGGTGCTAGATATAAGGGTGCTCTTTGGTGCTCTGATGCGGAAGAGAATGTTGTAGGTTTCCACCGCATTTTCACTTTTCAGCGAGTAGCCTTGGACGCGATGGACGCAATGGACGCGATGTACCAGATGGACCAAGCAACAGAAGACTAGATTCAGATACACTACATGCTGCTAAACAACATACAAGCGGAGAGGACAAGAAGATATATAGGATGCCTCATTAGGCTTCTTCTATGAGGCGCGCAGCGGTAGTGCCCTGACATGTTCTGCAGAGCTTTATAGGAGATTTGACCTAGGAATAAGAGCGTTACACATCCTCTCATATGACATGGCCTCGTGTCATATTTCTCAGTCACGTTATCTGAGATGATCTACAGGTGCCCAAATCGGATCCCGCCTGGCATCATTCTCACTTCAGGACCCACAAAGTCAATCAAGTTAGGCAGCGTAATACTGTAAGCACCTTAGTTTCGTCATATAGCCAATACGCATCGTCAGCCATAATAAGGTTGTGCACTCGTATAAGGCTGCACGGCTGCCACGCTTTAACCACACTTCGTAAGCTACAACTGTCACAGGAAGTCTCACTATTGCCGGCACCTAGCTCCGGGCCTTCTCCTGCCACTAAGCATGATTGCGGCCCACCAAGTTCTTGGCGTATGGACGCTCCTGGCTTCAAAAATTGGTGCGCCGCAAATTTGACGGCTGGTTTTAAGAGCTACTGATTCGCTGCTATCCGATTCATTTCTCACCTATCCTTCACGTCCAACATTGACTTCACCTCGAGATTCTGGCTAAAATACACAGATTGCTCCATAGATCTTTTCTCTTATCACTTCAGAGAGAGTTTAAAATTTATTCGAATGCGAAGGAACGTGCTCAACAGCAATGCCACCTTTTAGTCCCGGCCCTCTACGATCTCGACACCAACGTCCCTGCGTGGGTTGATAGTTTTCAACAGATCCACTGACTGGTTTATTGCTTTTATTTTCGACTTGGGGATTCGATTTGGCGATTTGGCGATTTAGTGATTTAGGGATTTTTGACACCTCGTGAAGGTTTTCTTAAGGTTGTTGCCACCGCATCTACAGTTCGATTGCGATCCGAACCCCTGAGGCAGACAGTGCGCCAAATCCTTGCTACACAAGAATTGCCCTGGGATAAAATTAGACGCTTTAAAATCTCCAGGACGTAGGTCCTGAGGCGCTCAATACATCGAAGTCGCCAAATTGACGTCAGGTCCAGCGAAGCCGTTCTGACCACAGAAACGTCTTCCGCAAGCGGGGAGGCGGTTGCTCCCCGCGCCGTCTCCCATCGATCGCGATGTTCGTGCGACTTATGTGAACGATTTCACCCAGCACGCGGTTCAAGATGATTTTTATGTCTGCCCATCTCAACTCGAAATATCAAATGCTTGTCTATACGATGATCCGACATTCTTTGATCTACCAACACTTGGGAATGATCTTGATGTCTCGTCTCTGCCGTCACCGATTACCTGGGACGATGAAGCAGCGCCTGGTGAGGTTTTGGCTCCCAACCTTACTATGGAAAATTCTCTGGAAGAGGCGATCTCGCCAACAGCCATCACAAGCCCCATCAGTCGATTAAACGCCTCGTCAGAGGCAGATGCCGATGGCACCTCTCCGTCTTCACGGCCAAGCGAGAATAAACTCAGTTCAACATCGACTTCATCAACACAAGGTTCCGAGACGGCACTCGTATTGGCCTGTCCTGATTGCCCAGATAAGCCTACCTTTAAACACAGGCATCAGTACAAGTAAGACACTGAGACCAAAACACTTTAGAAGAAACTGCTGATATTTCCTAAAGCCGCCATAGGAAAAGCCACGATCGGCCTGCCAAATGTAAGATTGGCGAATGTCGGCAAAGTTTTGCCTGGAAACGAGATTTGGAGCGCCACATTGCTTCAAAGCATCCACAGGCTACTCGTCATGCCAAATTCTTCTGCCCATATCCCAGTTGCGATCGAGCACGAGATGGGACACGAGGTGGATTTCCTCGGAACGATACATTGACTAGACATCTAAGGACACACGAGAAGAGAGGTTGAGACGGGAAATGTTACCGAATGACAGTGAAATCTCTTGAGGCTCTGGGTGGATTTCGGTCCTTGGGAGGGCGGTCCCATTTCGTCTCACTATCATTGTGATTCCTCAGGGTGTATACTCCGATAGACGGCAGTTACTGAAAAAGAGATCGCCGTGGTTATCAATGAGGGTCGGTAGGAGATGACTTGTGGTCCGCTTTGTCAAGGCACAGAGCCGTACTTGTGTTTTAAATTTCCTTTGTTACTTCTGGCGATCATTCATTTCTGTTTGCCCCCGGACAGTCTTCCCATCCCCACGCTCCTTCGGGCTATATTTACCTGGCTCAAAGTCTGTCCTACCTCTGTCCGCAGCAACTGCGAGACATGATACCGCTCTTGCATCCCAGTCTCATAGTTTTCTTACTACCATTCATGCTAGGCTTGTGGGTTTTAAACCCTATGCGAATTCAACTTCTCCTTCCACTCTTTTCTCGGTGTTGATCTTGGACCGAGCCCACTCCCTTGTTGTATTGGTTGTTGCACGTTTTCCTTCCTCCGCATCATAGCAAATACAAAGATAGAGATATTGAGACGCTCGTTTTTCAATCTAAGTTCATCTGTCCCACATATCTGCAAATCCAATTTCAACGAGAATTTGTGGTAGATACCTCAAAATGTATTCCTTTCGAAGTTCTCCGTAGTCGTCGATGCAACCAAAGAACCAATGACACGCCCATCCTAAGGTTCGTGCGGCCCATCATTTTATTTAGATCAAGGACGGGCAAACCATTACAGCGTGACGCTAGTTGTTGTGTAGTCTAGGAATCTAAAATACAAAAGTTCGGATGGCATGACTCCGCAGGCGCCAAGGCTCCACAACATCAAGCACTAGATTCTTGATCACTAAATCTGAACAATCACTTCTCCGAAAACCTACCAGAAGCATGGTTACGACGGCTCCAAAGATGTGATAGGTCTCCCCTTCTGCTTTAGATAGCCTCGCTGGTGTGACACACCATACCCTTTCCATGGTTAGGTATTGTGAATATGATAAACTGCGGCCTACCACATCTTCCTGACCCAGTTGCGGCAGGACATATTTTCAGAAGGGGCCACAGTGTGGCCTACTATTTCCCTCAACACAGACTGACGATCGCTCATTCTGAATGGTAGGCCATAATGGGGGCCTCGTATCAAAAACCGTACAGAACCATTAGCCGTGGTGGGCCACTCTTTTGGAAGTATAAAAATACAAAGGGGAGATAGCCTTGGCTACGTATCTTCCCTACATGATATTAATCTGATTGCCACGTTCCTTTCCCTTTCTATGACGATCCCAAACCTCTTATAGTCAAAAGACCTCACTGTTGCACGCATCATTCTTCAACCACCACTCTAACCCGTTGACGCAGCCCAAGTCGATGGCAAATATGCGGACAACCCATGTCACTGAAAGTGAGACGAGGTCGGAGGAAGATGCGGACATGTCGAACCCTGCCTTGGCTCGCTCAAACAGACATGTACCCAGCTCGCTGGCCTATACGGACAATACAGTCTCTCAATGCGGTGGGGTTTGCAGGCCTTCTCGCGCAGTGAATGCTTCGGGAAGCTGTATCATGTCGACCCATCTTTCACCCACCGCTTTCAATGCTGGCCAGGTGTCTCCATCCCTTTCAATGATCCTATCACGTCAAGGCACCCCAACCAAGACGATCAGAACATCCGACCTCAAGGAATCCAGCTACAATTTCTCGAATGGTGATGACAATGTGAATCATGCCCAAAGCTGGCAGACGACCGTTTGGCTCTCAAATCCGGAGACGTATGATTGCTGCATGAGACGCAGAGAGAATGGAGACGAAGTCGACATAAATCAGCTCTTTGCACGATTGCGAGAAGTGGGTCTGGATCAGAACCAAAGGAGCAGTGGTACAATGTCACAAAAGACGACATGTACAAGTGCTGAGGGTATACCCTCTTCATTATATCTGTCCTCTTTTAACTTTTTCTCAGGCTCCACCTTGCCGGTCGGAGAATCTTCAAGTAAGCCATTACGAGCGGTCGCTGGAATCACTTTGGACATGGACTTTGATGGCAAATTAGATTAAGGAGTTGGATTTTGGTTATAGCTTATCTGTAGTCTCGTGGAAACTGAAAGCATTACGCGAAAATTCACTGAAACCAATACAGATATGGTTCAAATTACTAGAATCAAGCAATAGTTGTTTGCAACATGCTTGTGTAATTATTTCTTTCTCCAAATGGCACCAGCAATGTTCAATTGATAGAAATATGTTCTGAAACCCAAAACGCCAAGCAATTTCGGGTGCACGTGAGGGTATGTTTAGTTCAAGTTGTGTCAACCTCGGCGATCGTTTGGGAAAAAGGTCGTACACGGAAAAGCCCAGGGTTCTTCTGCTGTTGTCTCAGAATCTCAACACGGGCTTTCGCTTTCTAATTGAAAAAGTACAGCAAAAAAGTAATATTGTGCAGAACTTTGACGATAGGCTGCAAAGATGTGAACGTCATCCTCTGCCACCTGAACTAAAAGCGTCTTCATGGCTCTGAAATCATCCAATCCTGCCCGTTGATCACATTGGTTTCTCAACACTAGACCTGGAACTTGTGCACCTTCAGACTACTAATTGACTGATATAGCAGTCGTTGTGACAAAAATGGCAGAGACTAACACAAAGCCTTTGGGATCCGCCAACCTAAAACCTCTCTGTGGTTTCACATTCAACAAGGACCCTACAAAAGGAGTGAAATCCAAAGCCAGCAAGACATCATCAGCCCTCCTTGCAGACGTCGACTTCGAGCGTAAGAATACACCTCAACCACGCCTACCACCCAACCATAAAATCCAAAAACGACCCATCACTCACCCACCAATAGCCGCCCCCTACGCTGGGCCAGATGTCCAGAAGGTGGTCTATGTCTCAAAGCATACACCAATCATGGCCGCAGTGAAGCGAGTCAGAAAACTCTTAGACCAGGCCGAGAAGAGGAACTTGCAGAGAAAAGGTGTTCTGGGAACTGGCAAGCGAACAGGAAACATAGCTGCGGCAGCACAGACCAAAAGCCGGATAAAGCAAGAAGAGGTTCTCGTCAAAGGCTCTGGCCGGGCGATTGAACAAGCTGCAAAGGTAGGAGAGTGGTTCATGAGGCATGCTGAGGATGGAGGGTGGCTGGTCGACGTTCGGGCAGGCAGTGTGAAAGTCATCGATGATATTGTGGAAGACTCATCATCAAAGGTAGAAAAGGTGCAGACGGTGTGCGATGAGGACGAAAACACCTCTCAATTTGAAACCCTACGTAACCCTGCTGAGAAGGACCATGTCCATGCGCCCAAAGAGAACGGGGACCATAAGCTTGGAAATGGAGACAATCCTTCGGAGGGCGATGAGCACGCATCTCATGTGGTGGAAACAGCACCAAAGCAGAAGGCACCAAGACACAAGAAACGAAAGCGTTCTATGTATGATGCTGATGATGTTCCTGAGGCGCGAACCAGATTCATTCATGCTGTTGAAATCGCAGTGTCTCTCAAAGGCTGAATGAACCTTCTACACTCACCATCGATCTGCAAGTCTCAGTTGCGCAAGCAACCCTGAGCACCATTGAGGATCTCAACTCGGCTCATGTGCATTGTGCCCGAAGAATGGTAGACAAATCAGAATCATATGAACCTGTTCCATCATCATTGCGGCTGGTACTTTCACCCGTGAGTGACATCTTCAATTCTTACCTCAACCTTATCTGCTATTGTTGCTGATTACCTATGCAGCTAGAAACGTTATCAGCTTTCTGATGAGAGGCTGAATTCAGTCTGCCAAAAGTCGCAAGCAGTTCTCAGTTCAAGTTTCTCACTCTACCCCTAGGGCAAAAATCCTCTGAGCGCAACAACTTCGTCAGCCTCTACGGAGTTACGTCAAACATCACTCAAGATCCGGTGTCACGGTCTTCGAGAATCTGGAATGCAGTAACCATTTTGCTTTCCAGTGCATATTTGAGAGAATTAGTCAACCTCCTTCAGCAGAAATATTCGGGCTACCCAGGAAGATATCAACGTGATCTTCGCACGAGCTGCTGTAACAGCTCTTTCTCACTTCAACTTATTCTTTCGTTCCATCACCAGCCATTTTCGACTAGTCGATCGTTCTCCCACGTCACTTCTACATATTTCCTGCCTTCAAGCGGAATACGTTCAGCCCCTGAATCTCTCGATGCTCTCTACATAACTTCACTTGGTCAACATAGCTAGAATCCTACCCATGAGATTGTGACCCAGCATTTGTAAGTTGCCTATTTTTCCCAATCTCCATCTATGCTTTATTCAACATCGCCGCAAGCCTTAATCTCACCACCCTCCCTTCTACACTCGTATGTCGCATCAGTTCTCCCTCCCCCATTTCACAAGGTATCCTTCATATACAAATCCAGGCGTATATTTGCTCCCGTCCTTGGCCGAAATTGTATTCTTTTTCCCGAAAAATCTCATCATAAGTCTCCTTCTCTAGGTTCATACAACCATTTTGCGGTTATCATGCACTCATCCGACGATGCTCTAACTGTGGGCAACAGTCCAGACACCAAACCTCATAAGATCATCACTCGTCAGACATCACAGCATACTTTAACGTCCACCTCGTCCACCAAGAATGCTACAGGCATAAGTCTAAGTACGGGATCGTCCGTGTCAGAGCTTCCGACTTTTCAAAGTGAGCACCCAGCAAGCGTCACCGAATCGCAAACCTCAGCGCAATCTATGCAAACTTCAGTTGTTACACCTTCCGCAAACCGAACAGCTATGATTACAGCAACAAGGACTTCACAGGCTCTCGATATCAAAACAAGTGAAAAGATTCCTGAACCAGTTGCAACTGAATTGGATAAATGGTTTCGGAAACACAAGAACGGCATTCACCCAGGCGCTGTGACGTGTGTATGCGCACAATACAACAATCCTATCTGGGTTCCCTCAAGTGGTAGGAGGCCGGTGTTCGAAGATCGCACAGGCCAGAAACTACAGGCTCAACTCTATTCTCTGAAGAAGGCAGGCTGGATACGTAATGGGAGGTATATGGTCCTAGTCGTATGGAATGACGCTCAATCTCCTGTCATTATCAAGGGCGTTTTAGGTGGTCCCGGTTCAAAGTCCAAGAAACAGCCACCTCCAGGTCGATCTCTCTGTCGCATTTGGAAAGGAAAGGTACCTGGTACTACCCCAGCAGGGTTCCTTAAGGATTCGTTCGTCTTCATGGTGAGACATGATGAGCTTCATGCTAGAGCGGAAAATACCCTTGAAGAAGCACCGCTTTCTGGCCCAAACACTTATACGGCAAGCTCCAGCTTACATTCCGCTCCCCCAAGCCCAGCGCTTCTCAGTCGTGACCAAGCCAGAAAATCGAAGCCAGATGATTTAACCGTGGTCCGTCAAGATCCGCGGGAAGCGTTGAGGCATCTACCTTCAGGACTTCGGGTCATGTTGGGGGATTACTATGACAAGAATGGCACGCATCACGCACCTGTTTGCGCCTGTGATGAGAAAAGGCTGTCTTTCGCAATTGATGTTTATAGCTCGATAGTCTTACAGGATTCTTTCGGAAGCAAAGTACCTATGGATCGATTCCCTACGGGCTTTGAGGGCTATGTGTTCCTTGTGGCGAAGGGAGAAACAATCATCAGGTATAGTCTTTCTGACACTACTTCAAGGAATTACGTCGCTTGGTACGGTGACGAGCTATTCGAGCCCATCGATCTGTTTGATTACCAAACAACGGAGCCTCAGCGAATGAATTGGCAAGGGATTTGGATCCTGGCCGGACGGAGCTGTCGTCTCACAACACTCATACAGATGCAATAGATCAAGCATCCCCTAAGCCGGCTCCCACATGTTATCTTCCCTGCTTTCTAAAAAATGACTCATCTATAGGCGAGCCTCTCTTGATCCAGAACATTATGCATAAAGATGAAAGTCTACCACCTGCAATCAAGACTTCGCCCAGGGAATCCATCGATCTGACCATTCTGCTAGAGCATAAAACTCCCGCACCTCAGTCGAAGAGACAGAAGCTCAATCCTTCTGATGAATTCAACGATACTGTTGTCTCCAAGTCGCAGAGGCCAGCAATCCCCAAGACAACTCTTTTTGGATCCAATCAGCTACCGCCAAAAGCAGCTACGGCCGAAGCTACCCCTTTCATGAGGTCCAATGACGATGGTTCTCGTGCTCGAGAACCACACCAGGCTCCTTCGCATACGTCCGTACACAAATCTTCAACCCTTAATAACGAGTACATTATGACTCATGTCGATGTCCAGTTCGTTTCTCCCAACGGCTCGGTTGCTCGAACCAAACCTCTTAAGGCTTGCGACAGCCTCACAAGACTACTTAGTCATGGGAAACTCGCTTTCGGTCGGTTGAGCACATCAGACATGATCCTAATCATTCGTATTCCTGGACTTGAGAATTCTTTTACAATTGTCGACGGTGAGACCGACGAGTTTAATGACTTCATGCAGCTGCTGAGTGATGTGGCATGGTGTAATTTGGCTCCAGAGAATAGAGAGACCTTGAGGATTGAGGTTTCAGAAATGAACAACGAGCCATGACCAAGAACAGGTAAAGAGGTCATGGTCGTTCATGCAAACCTGGAAAGTGCGCAGACCGTACATGATTTGAAGATGTGGGTATTGAACTAAACGGCAAAGTGCGAGATCAGCAGAACTTGCTTCAACACCGATGGATAGCTCGAGAATCTTGGAGAGCAGCTGACCTATGCATTCGGTCATGTACCTTCAAGCAAGCATGAACCTGCTCGACAGAGGAGGAATGAGCTGAGAATATACGCAACGAAAGAGCTTTGTACATTATCGTTATCCGTGTCGGACGAGCGATGATTGCAGGGCGAGCATGAGCTAGGGTTCGGAGAGCTGAGAGCACTGACTTCGTTCATATGAGATTTCTTTTCTTTGCTGAGACTATCCATACAAACTCTCACAGGCGGTTGTGGTCGTCCATAAGATGGCTAACATCAGCCAACTGTTTCCAATGGAGCACTCCCAAATTTATTCAGGTGGATTGTGCGCCCTACTCTGATCCCTCCAACGGTGGCTCAAAGATTACTCCCTCAGCCATGGCCATTTCCAACATCGAGTAAAACGTTAAATCGTTCAAACATGACTGCTTGTTACTCCTGCCACTACGCGGACCAGAGGTCCTTTCCTATCAAGACATACTTGTAGGGCCCAAAGTCTTGGATCAGATCAGATCAGACCAGCGACGAGTCTTGGACTCAGATCATTCTCATTCTGATCATTGAGATGGTTTCGTGTCCGTCTCCTATTCCTGTTCTTGTAACTTGGCCCACCAAGTTTCGATTCGCCTGAACCTCTCGTAACACTTTCTCCCCTCTTCGACATATCGACCCCTACCACTCTCCTGTTCCATCTTCTCCTTCCTCAAAGCGTCAGCTCTTCTCCTCTCAAGCAGCTTCTTCTCCATTAATCCTCCCTTCGGTCTCTCCCCCTTATTCTTCCATCTTCTGCCCACTCTGCCCCAATACCACTTGCGACGAGACACCAAGGATTCAACCAGTGCAAGTCCACGAGATGGCCATACCGATGGTGCTGCTGTATCCTTCACTTTACATCATCTCGGAGCGTCTTGGCCCTCCCCTACCCTTTTAAACTGTCTTCAAAATTGAACATCAACCTCTCTCTACGTCGATCCAGCAATTCGACTTTGAAAACCAAGGCAAGTGGGATGCTCCAACCTCATATTTCAAGCCCAGATTTAAAACAATCTAATACAATTTCGATCTGTGTATGTACCCAACTGGCAGTTAGTTAATACAAAAGGTCAAAAAAAAACGTAAAGCAAAGAATCTATTTAATGTAGCGTTATTAAATAACCAGAAAAAACCACGCGGTAAAGCTTACTATGACCCAACTCTGTCTGCTCTGGCCTCACTCGCCCGGATCTGCCTACATTTCACCCCTCCACTTCGTCCGTCCTGCCCTCCCCCCCCCCTCTTTGCTATCCCATCACACCGCCGATTCAGAATTCAGAATTCAGATCCCTCCCTCATTCAAACCTTGATCTATCCCGCGAGTTCTAAGTAAGTTCATTTCCCCCGACCGATTGGTGAGTACGAGCTACAAGCCGAGCTGGACTGAGCTGGACTGGACTGCAGCTGGTGGTTGACACGCAGAGTACTGTACCGTACCGAGTAATAAGTGAAGCCGAGACGGAGATGAGATGAGACGAGATGACACGAGAGTCAGGTAACATGGGTGGGTGGGATGGACTCGAGCAACTCACCGAGAGACGCGGTATCGCGCAAGCAAGCAAGCAAGCAAGCAGCTTAGGCATTCATTGATTGACGCGGACTCAGATGTGATGGGAGTGGAGCATATCCCTATGTTAGGGAGCTGAGCTGGGCTGGTGGGGTGTACGGCTGTGAGCTTGAGCTTGACAGGATGAGGATTTAGCTAACTTACCAGGATCTGTTGCAGCGGGTTCAACGGTCAGGATACTGTATCAGCAGAGTCAGAGGCTTGGATATGTAGCGATGGGCGGGCTGGTTGGATAAGTAGTAGTTAGAGGTTAGGTAATGAGTTGGGTCTTCGTTTCTTTTCTGTGTTGGGATGGGAGGGTCTCTGTTTGCAGGGAGAGGGTTGAGTCTAGATAGCAGGGTGTTTTTCTTGTCTGACTTTTTGCCGTGTCCACCTCGTCCGACATCGGTGAGCAGCGTGGTAGCAAGGAATCTATCTGTCTATCTATTATCCATCCATGCATCCATGCATCCATTCAAGCTTCGATTGGTGGACTCCATCGCCATTGGTCGCACTTCCCAGCTTGATCGATTGTATGTGCATCCATCGTGCTGAGCACCACTTATCACCTTCCAAGTTTCGACGCTCTTTTCGTATCGCCTCATTAACCATCTTCGCACCCGGCACCCATCCCACATCCTCCTCCCCTCTCCTCTCCTCTCCTCTAACCCGGCAGTTCAGCAATATCCTGCACACTCCTCCCACGCGCCGGATTGTACGGTATGTAGCGCTTGATCCCATCCGCACCGTACCCCGGCTGCGACGTGCCGCTCCCGCGGGCCATCTGCGACCCCGATTGCACGCTCTGCCGTGGTGGTGTTGCCTCCACCTCCGCCACCACCAGCGGATGACTGGGCATCGACGACGACGTCGTCGAGCCGATGGTGGGTGAAGCAGCAACCGCAGGCTCGTCGGCTGGCAGTTCCGATCTATGACCCGACCAGGCTGGGCTTTTGGCGTCGCTGTTTGGGCTTTGAGGGTTCTGCGCTTCGGACATCATGCCGGCGTAGCTGCTGCCGATGGATTTGGGGCGGATCTGGTCTTCGATTGGTGGGGGTGGGGATTTGCGACGTTTCCGAAGGAAGCTGAGGAGGAGATACAGGAGGGAGGCCAGGATGACGGCACCGGCGCCGGCACCGACACCGATGCCTATTTTGGTGCCAGTGGGAAGGCCGGGGTCGGAAGAAGGATCGAGCGGGGCGGAGGTTGAAGGAGACATTGTGGAGTCTGGGGCGGCAGAATGGGATGCTGAGCTGCCATTGGATGGAGATGCTGTATTCGAAGCAGGAGAGTTTGTGTTCGTGTTGCTAGAAGAGCTTGACGAGGACTCACTTGTCCGCGCTGTACTAGTTGTGAAGGTGGTAGAAGAATCCGTATCCGAAGTGGTGCTGGCTGGTGAGTCAGTGGTAGAAGAACCGCCCAATGCCGCGCTTGGTGTGTGCCCAGGGAAATAGGATATGCTGCCCGGTTGCTCGAGATCTAGATATGCGACATCTGGGATTTTTTCGGGGGCGTTGAAACCGATCATTGCGTTCTCTTCAGGACACCAGCATTGTTGCCTATTGTTGTACGGGAAGAACTGTTGATTGCGAGTATTGCCATACTGGTTCTCGCAGCAAGACCAGTTGTTGGAGGTTCCATTGCAGTAGCTATGGCCGACCCAGAAGGCAGCTGAAAAACAGTGAGATTGGACATGGAAGCTTTGCTTGATGAAGATCGAAAGGACTTACAGATTCCACATTTTGACGGGCAGGATGACGAGGCGTAATCACGGTCCGTACAACCAGCCGTGTACACCATTCCAGCTGTCTTCCATCAGCAGGGTAAATTTCTGGAGAAGAGCATGGACTTATGACTGACCGTCAGGAGCATAACAAGCACCGGCTTCTAAGCAGTTGTGACCAACTCGACAGCATGGCTGAACACCATCCTCGATCTCGCCGCAAGGAATGTAGCTGTTCGGCAAGCCGGTGATCTGCGGAAGTGTCTGACCTTTGGCCCAGTAGCACTGGGCAACTTCATAAGCTCGGACTGGGAGGATGGCTAGAAGAAGAGATAAGGGATGAATGAGATGATGCATCATGTCGGTGTGAACGCGGAAGATCACTCATCGCACTGCAATGTATCTGAACAAAGAAGTCTCGAATGGCAGCAGCAAAGGTGAAGGGGAAATGAGGCTGGGTGTATGTTGTTGACGATGATACTATTTGGAGGTTGTCTTCGAATGTCGTGTTTCTTTGTGTTCTGCCGGCAAGGAGCATGAACTGACATGACACTGAGACATTCAATTGCTCCTCTCCTCTCCTCTCCTCTCCTCTTCTCTCCTCTTCTCTCTTCTCTTCGCTCTTGCACAGCACAGCCTCGCCTGATGGTGTATGGTCCGGATGCTGGTATGGGCCACAGATGCTGCACCTGGCCGAGGTTTGCTCTCACCCGTGCACCTGGTTCTTAGCCGGACATGTTACCATGATCTAGTTTTTACAAATCACCGAAGACAGTGTCACCAGTTCTCTTCAACCTTGTTTCAGCGTGAAATGTCTCCTTGCTCATCGTCCCAGATGTCACGAAACTCAAGCAGGTCTCGCTGGCCATAGACCTCCCCCACGATAGTGATCACCATGTCGAGCATCACCCGAACCTGCTTCTCCACTGACATTTCCATACCTACGTCGCCATTCTCTCCATCTACCCTGCCAGTTGCTGCCTGTTCGTTGACTTGAGGTTGATCTCCCAAGCTCAGCTGTTCGTGTAAAGCAGCCTTTGCGAGCTCAAGTTCCTTTGCTTCAGATACTGTGCTTGATGAAGGCCCCTTCTCGTGTGCATCACGGCCCGTATCATTGACTTGGACTTGTGGCTCAATCTGTAGATCAACCGAGTCTCCCTTGTTCGTCTCTTCCCCAAGCGCCGGCATATCCTGATCCTCCTCCTCCTCATCATGACCATAAGCCTTGCCGGATCGATCTCGGATACCCACCAGCAGACCAACTGCCCGCTTCCCCAATTCCCTCAACTCGGAGATCTCCTCGCTACCCAGCTCTCCAGCTTCGTTACACCTTCCCAAGACTCCCCAAATCCAAGCACCAAGCCTTTGTACCTTCTCCTGACTTCGAGTCCGCACTGTGCTAGCCAACAGACCTTTCAGGAGCTTGACCACCTCCAACACGGCCTCCATTTCCATGCAAGCAAGCTGTGCCATTTGCGGTGCTCGATGCTGAAGCAGAAACCTCCATTGCTGTTGGGCCTTTGCAGAGTCGGGCGGGAGAGATATCGGATGGTCACTGGTCAAGCTTTCAATAGCTGAAAGAGGTGGTGTCTGGTGTAGCAAGATGCGGACATCTCGGAAGCGAGAGGCGAGCGAGAAGTAATATGCTTCTTGCGCATCTGGAGGGATACTTTTCGCTGCAGGGAGGTTGGACGTAGGCTGTGGGGCTGCGATGAAGGCTCCATCTTCATAGTATCCACCATCTCCGTTCTCTTCATCGTTGTAGCCATTCGCACCGTCCATTTGCGCGGTCTGGTTTGAACCAACAAGTATGTGTGGTACGCCTTTGGCTTCGGATCTGTCCCATGCACGAATTCAACATCAGTGGCTGCGTGTAAAATCGAGTCATCTGCGGGAGAGAGGACAGATCTTAGCTTGGGAAGCTCGATAGAAGAAAAAGTCGGGTGCAACTTACCGGACCATACGTAGATACTCGATTCCATCGTTTGCAGGGCCGTAGAACAGTTCGTCATCATCGCCATCATCTAATCCCGGAAATGCTCCTTTTTGTCCATACGTCGAATTGACTTTAGGTGTTTCGGTGCTCGTTGGTTCGTAATCGAGGTCAGAGTCGTCAATGGGAAATGGCCGGGCTCGTTTGGATAAGGGCAGATCTTCTGACTCGGAGGACGAGCTGTTTGGGCGTTTACGAGCCATCGTACCTAACATTGGACAAAGCGCAATAATAACCAGGTGATTTGATGATGCGTAAGCATGGGAGGAGTCAAGAAGGATGAGCGCTAATCCATCTTGAAAAGGCGTGCAAACCGGGGCGGCATATTCTGTTGAATCTACTACACCACTACATCCTGTGTTCACAATACATGAGATGGATGCTGCCGAAGACTTATCGTTATACGTTTCAGTGTGGAGGCTACAGGAAATTGACAATATGACAATAGTTCGTTCAACATTGCTGGGTTTTGTTTCGATGCTAATCGAAAGCAGCCAATGGTAATCGTGCTTCTCCATAACTTCCCCCTGGGTCTATCATTGGCCAGCGGTGTAATCTATTCTTCCGTGATGCCTCGCCTCATGGCCGCAATCGCTGAGGATCTCGAGGGAATGGTGTGGCCTGTCGGACATTATCCAAGCCCAAGAAGAACTGCACAATGCGATTCAACCCCAACCCTCCTCCAGCGTGCCTCCTGCAGCCCTGCTTGAAGGCATTGACGTAATCAGCAAACCCTTCCTGTGAAGGCTCCACGCCCTTTGCACGCATCGCATCCTCCAACTCTCTGGCATCATTGATCCGTTGGGCACCAGACATGATCTCCTCTCCTCGCATGAAGAAGTCGTATGAGTTCGAAAGGTCTTTGTTGGTAGGGTGTTGCTTTGTGTAGAATGGTCGCACTGACATTGGGAATTCATCGAGAACGTAGAAGTCGGTGTCGTATTTTTCTCGAACAAGTTGACCAAGCTTCTTCTCCATTGCGGTGGTGAGATCATTCTCAAACCTATCCTGTTCTGATGTGTCGACACCCGCATCTTTCAGCATCTTGACCCCTTCCAGATAGGTGAATCGCTTTGCCTTGCCATCTTTGATTCGAAAGCCTCCGGCTTTGGGATATGTCTTTTGCACTATCGCGATCTGCTTCTTGTACCGTTCTTGTAGCTCTGTTATAATGAACACGATCATATCTTCGGCGAACGTCAGAACTTCGTGATAGTGCTGATTGAAGACCATTTCGAAATCAAGCCCAGTAAACTACTTACGTCAGTGGAGACGAAATTGCTATGCGAATTGCACATACCTCCGTCATATGTCGGTGAGTATTACTGTTCTCCGCCCGGAAGACAGGCGCTATCTCGAAGACTCTTTTGCAGTCACCGGCGATCAACATCTGTTTGTAAAACTGCGGGCTTTGGGCCAGGTATGCCTTTTTTCCAAAATAATTCGAGACTTCGAACACCCCACCGCCACCTTCTGTAGCAGCTCCAAGCAGCTTTGGGCTGTCGACCCATTTGAAGTTCCGCTTGAGCAAGTATTCAGAAAAGAGTGTTTTGACACCACTTGATATGTCGAGTATGGCCTGGTTACAAGCGGTCTGCAAATCGATCACTCGATAATCGAGCCGCGTTTTCAATGTGACAAGAGGCGCACCCTCTGCGTCCACTTGGCCTTCTTCGGTCGATTCCGGAGGTGGTCGCTCAGCATCTTTGACTTGCATCGGTAGAATAGTGGTCTCGGATTCGAGGTAGATCTTTTGCACATGGATTTCGAGAGTGCTGATGCTGGCCGAAGCGACTGGAGGGTCGGGTTTCTGCACCAACCCAGTAACTCTGACAACCGAGTTCATGCTCACGCCGACTGCCCATTTCACCATCTGTTTCGATACCTCTTTCATGCCAGCAGCCAGAACGGCCTGAATGGTCTCGCCGTCTTCTCGCAACATCAGAAATGCCAATTTTGCACTTTGGCTTCTTGAGTTGTGTATTCTAGCAATAACGGTAACCTCTTTTGTGGCATAGTCCTCTGTCAATTGGGGAAGTTCTGTCACTGCAGAAGAGTAACCCGCAGGAAGAACGCCGTAATTGTCCTTTGCAATATCCTCTTCAACTACGACGGTTTGCTTCTCTTCCTGAGCTTTTTTGGCTGCTGCTTTCTTCTCAGCCTTTTCTTTCTCTTTCTGTGCCTTTTTCAAAGCGTTTTTGCTAGGGGCATTAGCGCTCTCTGGTTGGCCTGTGGTATCTGCCATGATCTGAGGATGCTCACGTGGAGCAGGGTCAGAGAAGCAGGTTTAGGAAGAAAATAAACCCAGAAGCTGATAGTTCAAAAACAAATGGAATATTTGAGTCATTCGTCCAGGGTGCAAGTGTCTTTGCTGACTATCCCTGTCTTCTGGGCATGAAAAATCATGTGGTGGCTGCTGGAAAAGAAATAAACATGGTCCGTTATTGATCTACTAGGGATCTATGAATAGTTTGCAATTACAAAAATGAGAATTTATGTCCGAAGCCAACGAGTATAAACCACATGCAATAGTCTGTATGAACAATATGCCGTGCTAGAACCTTAGTCCCTCACTTCCTTGCTCAGGAGACCATCTCGGAGACACCGACGATCTTCCTCCTGTTGACCAGCGACGATTTGATACATGGACCCAGTGTGGCTTTCTTTGAACACTCAGAGCGCCCTTATACCATATATACGTCCAATGCCGAATATCATCCAACAAAAGAACAATTTCCTTGCGAAAGCAACGTTTGCACAAGTGGAACCGGTCCTTTCAAGTGGTAATGTATACTGCGAGCTAGTCAGTAGTAGCAAAAGGCATATTCCACATCACATGGAAATGTGCGAGAGTTGTGCGCCTTTAGTTCACTAGCCAGAGGTGACAAGAGTCAGCGTGCTCCAAATAAAGCGTATTTCGTGCTCCAGCACACCTGGCGGAGAACTCGAAATAAGGAATGCTGCATAGCCCAATTCGTCAAGCAAGGCTACTTGCACACCGTATACCTTAGTCATGTGTCCACCATAACCCTCCTTTAGCTTACGGCTGGCTCACATACGAAGACGAGGCCGATTGGAGGCGCTCTTTAGTGCTGGCTAAACTTGAGTCTCTGCGGCTGACGCGTTCTAGTCCACGGTTGATACGACGACAACGCTTTTGAATATATGGACTCAACAGCCTTAGGGAACGATTATAGCTTGTTCATCATTCGGCAATATGCTGGCTTGGGACAGTGTGGGCGACGTATCATCTTCCGAGCGAGGTCCGTAATCCTTCCATAACGGCCAAGTCTTCCGTTCCACCGCACTATCAAGAAATAGGAACCTCCTGCAGATTCTCTTGAGTTCGAGCCACTCCGTCACTCCAAGCTGCAGTGCAGTCTTCCGGAGTTGTGCCCCTGCACACTCCCTCTCTTGCCGCCGGACGCAACCAGAAGCAGTAATGATCATAACCCACAACAGCACTTCTCCAAGCTGACCGCCGCCCCAGGAGTTCTCGAGATCTGTGAGATAGAGAGACTCCTCGAGCCGGTGTAATGTCTGGATTGAGAGGTTGGACAGGAGTGGAACGTCACGCTGAAATGCAGAAACATAGAAATGAACCGCCAAACGGACACACTCTCGCATGTGATCCTGCGTAGTCATCTGATACCGGCTGGTAGACTCGTTCTCTTTCATATAGACGAGCCTGAGGGACATTTTGTTGCACTGGTCGCCAAATATGCGCTGCTGCGCCTCATTCCAGCTTCTTCGAGAGCTGATGACTGAGTTGAGTGCAACAATAGCCTCACAGATGTCGAGCAGCGTGTCCGACAGGAAGCCAGTATGATTGAGTTCACGAAAAGCCGAACCCCATTCAGGATCATAGGGTTCTACGTCAGGCACGTCGTCCACAGCAGGGTAGGCAAGGAACCCGTAGGGATATTTCAGCTGTGGAGGGACATCTTCCCACCATATTGTCGCGGCACCTGCCACACAGCTGGAGATGATATACTTAAGTTGTCCAACCATGCCAAGACTTTCAAGCCCACCCCTGGCTTCAGCACTCCTCTGAAGGGCGGTCAGATGGGTAATGAATTGTAGTCGATCGCCGAAGATGAGATGACATATCACCATGCGACCAATCGAACCAATTACACCGTCTGAAAATCGCAAGGCGGGATCATCCAGGCATTTCTGAACGTGGTTGATGGTCTTCCAGTGATGGAACAATGCGTCATCGGAAAGTCCGTGAGTAGATGTAAAGGAGTAGTGAGCTGCAGCAATGGCTAGTACCCCATGTAAGAGACCGGGATCATGTATAGCATATCGTAGCCAAGTCTGCTTGGGTAATGTGAACCGCCACGAAAGGGCCTGGAAGTAATGCGTCATGTAGCGGCTTTCTTTGGTCCCTAGCGAGACCGCACAAGTATTGAAAGGGTCCATCAGACACATTCCTATAGCGGAAGGTGGAGAAAGATTCCATGGTGATGGCGAATTTCCGCTCCCAGCATGTGCTTGTTGCGTGACTTGTTCAGCACCAGAGGAGCCGTCTCCTAATGTTTGCAAAGCCCCATCCTTGATATTCATGGATCTTCCACGTCTGCCGTTTTCTTTACAGCTTCCTGCTATGGAACTCTTTGCAGCTTCGGATATATTCGAGGGAGGCAGGGTTTGCTTATTGACCTTCTTTGCGCTCTTGGTAGATTTGCTTGCTGGCTGAATACCGCATGACTGTTGTGACGGACGGGTTTTGGACTTTTTTGCACCCTTCATCTGCTCATTCTCGAAGACAATCTCGAAGTTGCTGTCTCTCTGACTTTGAGCGCGTTGCAGGCGGCGCTGTTCCCAGACTTGCTGCATGGCATGGCTGCGAATAAGACTTCGAGCAGCAGAGCCTCTGGACGTGCCACGCCTCGAATGCGGGATACCGGTTTCGACGAAGGTGAAATTGGAATGCGTTTCCATGTTTCCTGTACCGGTGAATAGAAGGGTGATAATCGTAATTAAGACAAATCAAAGTATACAGATAATGGCTGTATTAACGAATCGAATAGCGTGGGACAGAAACGGTGATAGGGATGCATAGGAGCAACGAGCACTCTGAAGATATGCATGGCACTCCCTCCTTCCAATGCGTCGGTCGCAAGGGTAGCTGGCAGCCAAAGCATCAATAGGAGCTATTGTTCATGGTCTATTGTATAGTCAAAGCGACTCTTGTAAGTAGAAGCATGGAAATGATAGTAGTGTAGTATTCAACGGATATGGATGATTTGTGTTTGGAGTTGTGAATGCGACACCTTCGCTGGGTTTAGTTGACAATAACCGATGTTCGTCAGGGCAGCGCAGTATAATACATTCGGAGGCGGGTTGGAGCAGGCGGGAGTCCGGCTCCTACAATGCTGCAGGTTATTGGTGATGATTGAACGAGATGGAGAGGAGGAGGAGAAGGAGAAGGAGAGGAAGTGAGGTAGCAGCGGGCAGATGTCAAGTCAAAGACGTTATGGCTTGGCATGGATGAGTGGATGAGTGGATGAGTGGATGAGTGGATGAGTGGATGAGTGGATGAGTGGTTCTGGTTCTGGTTCTGGACCTCAGGCTGGCGAGAGAGTTGGGCAACTGACCAACAACTGACTGGCTGACCCACCCACACTGTGCTCATTGTGTAATTGTGGTGGAGCTCATCCTTTGACCACTACATATAAACGCTGATCGGCCACTCTGCGCCACAGTACGCAGTACCTTATTGGGCCAGACGGTTAGGTCAGCAATACCACAATACTGGTGATACCACAATACCATCTAATCAGAGCATCGACTCTCTCACGCTTGAATCACATGGTTCTATCACATGGTTCTGTCGACCAGCTAATGATCCAAGCAACTTCTGCTACCCGACCGTGGGCCTTGGACATGTCACATAGGTAGTAAGTGGTGCTGACCCTCTATTTGCCAGGCCGCCATCATCGAAACGCCGTAGGGACCAGGGCAATGTCCCCTGATTCCAAAATTGGTTGGGACTTAGCAATTCCTCGAGCACTCCCCTGGTCCATGCAAAGAGTGAGACGCTGCACGAGAACGGAAGCTGGATTCATTCCTGTCTTGTCCGCTTTGCGCCGTGCGGGTTCCACGAAGCGTCACCCGGCCCGCCTGCTTGGCCCTGGTTGAAAAAGGCAGGATTGAATTGAGGGTTACCGCCTTGGAATCCTCCGGGCCCTTGCATCCCCATGCCGGCCATCATTGGGTTCATTGCTCCTCCCATACCCATCCCCATCCCCATTCCACCCATCCCGCCCATCATTGGCATCCCACCAGCCATGTTTGCGCCGCGGCCACCGCGCATACCTCCCATGCCTCCTCGATTGTTCATCATGCCGCCTCCACGGTTGTTGAACCCTCCGAAGTTGTTCATCCCACCCATGTTGTTCTGGAATGCTCCGCCCATTGCAGGATTGAAACCACCCATGGGGTTGGAGAAATTTCTGTTATTATTGAAGCCACCACCCATATTGTTGTTCATGCCTCCTCTGTTATAACCTCCGCCACCACGCCCGCCTCGGTAACCGCCCCCCGTGTTGTTATAGTTATTCGTCGGTGGTCCGGGAGAGTTGTAGGAACCACCCGAAGGCGTTCTTTGGGGACGATCATCCTTTCCTCGTGCAGGTCCATCCTTGGGGTAGGTCTTGAAAGGATTCTGGTGGGGATTGGAGTACGTAACAGCATACTTTCTGCTTCCAGCTTGGCTGCCAACCAATGACTCAATTTGATGCTTCATGGCTGAAGCCGCTTGCAAGCTGGTGAACTCGACAAAAGCTTGTCTGGCCATGATGTTAGCCATACCTGACTTTGGCGAGGAGCTGTACAGATCTACATACCCTTTGCTCTTACCATTAACTTTATGCTCGCTGAAAGTCACGTCTTTCAACTCGTCTTCACATTCTACTTGGTTAGCCCAACCTCGAACATCGTCTTCTGTGGTCCACCAATGCAGGTCTGAGATCATGAGAGCAAGAGTAGCACCTGGGTCGATGGGTCGGTCATCCGAGCTCTCTTTCCGTTTGATACCTTGGTGTGGAGTAGGAGTGTTCTGCTGCGAGTAGGTGGACTGTAATGTGGCAGTTGTTGAATCGTTATACTGCACATCCCCGTTCACCGTTGACGTTGCCGTGCTTGGGTCTTCTAGCTTGATACTATCATCATTATGCTGACGTTCGTCATTGGGGCCATCGAGATTAATGTCAGTGTCTTCTTGCTTATAGTCTCCCTCATTGGCTTCCGTTTCCCCTTCCCCATAGATGTCAATGTCAAAGTTGTCTTCTTCTGACGCCATGGTCAATGGCTAGAAAAGTTTTCAATTGTCTGTCTGCTGTCTTTATACACAAGACTGTCTGGGAGGAGATGATGGAAATCACAGAATCTAGGTAGACATAGCCGATTAGCAAGGAGAGACGTGACATGACCCTGGTGCCCTCATCATCCATTTGGCGCGTCGCGTCTATTCCGACGGACTCAACGTGATTCGACCACGATGCTGAACATGAAGCTCCAAGAGAGCAATAGTGTGAAAAGATACGTACAGTGGAATTGAGACAAGGCTGTTGTAAACACGCAATATGCGGCAGCGCTTTTCAAGCTTATGGCCAAATCTGAATGACGTGTGATCTGACTGCCTTCGATGGCAAGTGCAGAGACATAGAAGTCTAGGAGAACCGATACAACGATGCTTCAATATTGTACCAGCAGGTCTTCAGGCCTGATTCAACGCCGCAGCAGATGTCGCCAACAGGTCTCAATATGAAGTAAAACTCAAAGGAAGCAAGCAAGACGGCCGGGTGTTAGCAGAGCAGTCTTCTTCTTGAAGGGTTAGAAACCGTAAGGAGTAGTCACCCTCAGCCTTGTGCTGCTCGACTTCGCAGGTGTAGTTCAGCTTGCGTACGGATGAAGAAGTGATGTGCTAGAAGTGGCTACCAGGGATCTTCTGAAGGAAGAGCATCGAGATGGGAATGCGTTGGAAGTCAAAGTGATGATGGTGAGTAAAGCAGCCCGAGGACGAAAGACGTGAGCCCGCAGCTTTCTTGCACGGCGCAAACTATTGCCAAGAGCTGCAGCTCGCTGCGTCCGAAGCTTCGCTACTAAGTTAGTTAAGTTAGGGAGCCCTGAATTCAAGGCACATTCTAGCTACTGCACCCCAGAATTCCAACAGGACAGGTATCGATTTTCAATTCATTTCCCTCTTATCCCATCTTTTCGCGTAACCCCACCGAGCTTCTCACTCTTCCTCTGCAGTCCTATCACTGAACCGAGAGGAAAGCTGCTGTTTACCAGCTCCTCCACAAGTCTTCCCGCCTGCGATCCCAGTCACAATCCTCGCGCCTCCTCTTTCTTTCCACATTATCAACATGTCAGAGACATTACAAGAGATCGCCGATGTGCCCAAGGACTTCCTAAGAGATGGCACACAATTTCTGAACAGATGTACCAAGCGTACGTTGACCCTGTGAAAGTGAACAAGATACCACTCATGCATCACCTTTCCTCCCTAAGCATTTTCCTCCGATTTCCCATCAGAACACGTTCAAGCTTTCCATCTCCCAGAGTCCCGTGCTAACACACTACATAACTCTCCAGCTGACAAGCGAGAATTCATCAAGATCTCACAAGCAGTCGGATTCGGTTTCTTGATAATGGGCGCAATCGGCTATGTGATTAAATTAAGTGAGCCTTCTCAGCCACTGCAACACACTTCTGTGCATCTTGTCAGAAAGCTGCCTGGGATCTGTGTTCCTGGCGCTGACACTCTGTTCTCTACAGTACATATACCGGTGAATAATATATTGGTGGGGGGGGCATGACGATGGTGGGATGCTGGGCTAGCGAAGAGGCTGGAAGGATATCACTTCTATTGTGGGTGTGAACGCAAACATGGTCTTGTGTGCGATATCTCGTACTTGTCAGCAGGCAATGCAGCTCACCGTCTGGCGTTGAATTCCAATTCAGAACGCCGGAAACACCTCATAAATCTTTGTATCGCTTGGTACATGGGAGATTGGCTATGAAGGCAGTCGTACACACCAAAATGCTGTGGGTTCACGAGTATATTCTCCAGATACAGCTACATCGTCACCATAATATATCCTCCCCCAAGTATCCTCAGCTGTCCTTGCGTTTCCAATGTCATGTATTGATGTATGGGATCCATCAAGCTTCGCTGGTGCAAAAGATATATGCCTTCACATCTCTCATCCATGCATTTACTGCCCAAATATATCCTTATCCTCCCACTGCATGTAATTCCCAACCACGTTCAATAGCTTGGAAGTGAACCAAAGGCTGTCCTTGGCCCAGCCCAACCCGAAGCCTACGTAGTGCCTACCTTTTGACCCAAGAGCCGCACTACCCGCTCCCCATTCCGAATAACTCCCTCAACCTCCTCCTCCCTAATTGTCACCAGCCCGCAGCTGCTCCATCGTCATCCCCGACCCTTCCATTCCCAGCAGCCCCGCCATCCTGGCCATATCTTACGGGCGGGACAACCCTACTCCTAAGCCCGCCCCTCGGGCCCCTTGTCTTGCGCGTGTGCTCATTATAGTCGTCCTTAATTTCAAGGCGGGCATTGTAGTTTGTGCTGAGGGGTGGGTCGCCCTCGTCGTCTTCGTTACCGTCGTTCCAGCTATGGAGGGAGACGGTACCGTTGGCCATGCCCCAGCCGTTCCAGGATGTTGCTAGACAAGAAAAAGGGGTTAGGGGTTGGGTGAATCATTGATTAGTGGAGGGGGTTTCGAAGGGTTAGGAGAGTAGATGATTGGAAAAGAATGGACTCACCAGCTAGCACAGGGGCATAAGGATGCCAGCTGGCATCTCTGACGCAAGTCTTCCATCCGTTCCCATGACGATTGAACTCGTATCCATAGCTTACCACGTCTGGATGGCGAGGTCTAGTGCCCAGAGTCGCCTTGCCGACGTCGACTTTACCTTTCACGGTGCCATCCATGTTCCAGATCCAGACAATGCCGTCTTCGCTCCCACTGTATACGTATCTGGAATTTGTGCTTCCAGCAGGGCTAAAATGACATCGAATGAGTGTCTTGAGGACGCTGTGGCCTCTAAAGGTAACAACTGAACAGTCATGTGGGTTTGGTATGTAGTCCATAGGGTCGTAGGAATTGAATCTGTAGTCGAAGTTTGTTCCGTACCGTCGGAGGTTGACATCCTTGAATTTGTTAGGGCTCATCATCTTTCTCAGGTCCCAGAGCTTCATCATCTGGTCTTTGCCATTGCTCAAGACATATCTGCCATCACCTTTACTGTCGACATATGTAATACCCTCAGTGTGGCCAACGAAGACGCCAGCCTCTCGTCCATCAGCCATTGACCGGCGATCCCATACTCGGAGAGTTTGATCGTCTGAACCGGAATAAAGTATATGAGGGGATGAAGTGTCGCCGAAGCAGACCGCGTTCACATCATCGTCGTGGTTGTCTAGCTTGAGGACGGATTGACGGGTCTCGAGATCATAGACTACGACTGTGTGGTCGGAAGTACCGGCGACGATCTCACGGCCATCACCAGAGAAGCGTAAACTCCAGATGCCAAATCCTGCACGACCCCAATGTGAGGTCGCTCTCCTCGAACTTCCACCAGCAGATGGCGCAAAATTGGTGAAGTCAAGGAGCGTTGGGTCTGAGGGATCGGAAGGGTCAGTCGGGGCGAGACAAACCATGTGTCTGATTGAAGAGTAGGCTAGCCAGCGGTTGTCGGGTGAGAGGGTGGCGTCGGTGATGGTCCATTGGCCAAAGGGGTAATCCACAGTCTTGTAATACTTCCATTCATAAGGGTTGGAAGTGTCGTACATGCGAACCTTGAAGTTCTGCGTGCAAGAAAAGAAGAAATTGCCATCGTCAGAAAACTGGCCACTGTAAGCTCGAGAATCATAATGGATGATCTTGTCAGCAACAGTCGTGGCAGGCACCATTTCCTGCAAACAGAGTCAGCAAGCTCCCTGAAGGGATGATAGTTAGAGATAATCATACCTGGCTAATTAGACGATTGGCCCGCCGGTAACTTCCTCGTGCATCGTCACCGAGCCTCCTCCACATTAATCTCTCGCTTACGTTCTTCTTTCGCTTCCTTCTAACGTCCGCAAAGTGATCTCGTGAGCCATAGATTCCGGACCTCATGAGTTCTCTTCCTTCCTCGCTAGGAATGCTCGGATATTTGCTCTCACAACTCTTGGGCCTACGCCTCCGCCGTGACGTAAAACGCCCATGTCCGGCCTCGCCGTCGTCATCTTCATCGTCATCGACACCAGTATGCGCAGCTCGCCCATTAAACACTCCGCGGGTGAGTAGCTGTCGAAAAGGCGCACTGGTCCGGAGTATCTCTAGCAGCTGTGCCGAGGTCACTGCTACCGGTCAGCATCAATGTAGCCGGGCTGAGATTGTATTCATACCTCGTACTGCATCATTTCTCTGCCGTGGCGTGGTGGTAGTCTGCTCGGTCTCCGTTTCTTCTTCCTCGGCATTGTCTATACTCGCGTTTGATATGGAGAACTGGATCTCCACGCTACTCAAATTATCCTGTGCATCTGCTCCGTGTCAATTGCAAGTAGAACTAGTTTAGGGAGGTTCCCAAGCCGTACCAACGTATTCATTCTCGTCATCTTCCTCGTCCTGGTCTTCTTCCCCTTCCACGTCAGTCATGTAGCTTTGCTCGGGAGAAGGCTCATATTCGATGTCGTCATCTTCATCGTGCAACAAGTCTGCGATCGTCAAATTGCTGGGTGCCGGCGCTTCAGGGGACGGGCTAAGACCATCTCTGTCGTTGGATGGACTTTGGGCAATTGCAGCAGAGGGAGGCATTATGTTTGCTGTACAGGCGAAGAACGAATGGTGACAAAGGATTCGACAGGTCTGGAGATGCACTAAATACGACGTACATGCACAACGAGAATTCGGCGGTAGGTCTTTCTTTAAGTCCGGACCCTTATCGATAACGATAACGTCCTGACCGGTACGGAGTACTAGTTAGTAACTAACTAACTTTAGATCCCCAGCACTGCAATAATGGTGAAGACGACTACGAATTCGGCTCAATGTTTCTAACTCACCATTTACGATAACGTCCCCAGTAGAGCGAAGTTGATGAAACTAATACCATCAGACAGTGAACTACCACAGAGGCCTGGAAGCCGACTACATCTTCGTGACAGTTGCACCCTTTGTGCTTCCGTCGCTCTCTGTACTCTGGCATAGTCATTCCAGCCGGACCTTGCGTATGATACGATGTCAGAAGTCGAAAACCACTTTACAGTCTTCATCAGGCTCCCTTTTAATAGAGGGGGTTTTGTTGACCCTCCACCAGTGCGTATATCACAGCAGCCGAGAAATACTTTTTTGCTGACACTCTGACAGGTAGCCTGGAATGCAGCCAAAGAAAAGGAGCTATGGGAGATCATCTCACGGCAGTCAAAGAGCAACGAGCTCAATTGTATGCCTCGATTACTCGTTCAACAAGTCAATGCTGATGCTCGGTAGGGAAGGAATTGTACGTTTTCATGCAAAAAACTCGTGAAAACATCTGATTTTAGCTGTTCAACAGAGCTGAAAGATTTGATGTTACCCAGCCTTTCCTTCTTCAGAAAGCAGCATGGCTGTACGAACGACAGCTATCTCAAGTGAGGGCCCAGATGCGCAAGGTAGGATCGCGGCAGTCGTCAACCCCTTCGCCTGCCCCAGGTTCCATGTCGGGAAGTGCCTTCGGTGGGCAAGCGATGAAGCGAGATGGGAGTGGAGGTATGGATTCCGCTCACCTAGTTATCAAGGACTGACGACAGGCAGGCTCGCAAGTCCCTTCTAGATTGTCAACGCAGGCCAGAGATAGTCCTTCCCTAAGAGGAGAAGTCAGCGTTCCAGGGACTCCGAATAAAGTCAAAGGTATAATTTCAGCTCGGATCCGTGCTAAGCTGACGACATCTCCAGCGCCACAAACATTGAAAATGGGCTCAGCCGCAACCGCCTCCCATTCTCGGAGTGGCTCTATCACGGAGCAGAGAATGCCACTTCCTATTTCGCGACACGCTTCTAAGGATGCGCCAACCAGGCCAATGGATCTACGCTCGCGGGCAACGACAGTTCAACAGGAGCCTTTGACACGATCTCCGAAAGAATTGCAGCTGTCTTCTCCTTCTTCGTCTGAGCAGTCGGAGAATGAGACAGCCTCTAAGCCCACGGTCAGTAATCGTCTAAGACCGTCTTCAGCTCGAAATAGGCCTCAACCCACACGCACGCATCAATCATCGCCCTCAGATGAGGGAGGCGATGGTGAGGATGAGGATGAGGATGACACATCCCCTTTCCTTCCATTCGCCGCTGCATCAAGCGCCAGTACACATCACCCCACTCAAGACCAGAGCGCAACCCTTCGCGGCGGCTTCGGCACGCCACCACGTGCAGTTATGCCGACTACTACCCGGCGAGGCACTATGGAGCGAATTACTTCCACTAGCGTAAGACCTGCTGTGCTTGTGCCTCAGCAGCAGATGACCTCGTCCGCTAGCTCAAATTCATCTGGACCTGGCAGCTCTGCACCCGCGGTTCGACCATCACAGCTATCTGCGCCTCGGCACACTAATCCACCTTCTCACTCTGCTACTCCGCTGAGTCCTCGGCGTGCTGCTGAGCTTGCTGCTGCTGGACTTTCACCTCTTCGCAGACCTGGGAGTGGCAGGGAAGGGAGCGATGGTAGTCCAAGCATGGGTAGCAGCTTCTCTGATCTTGATGATGCCAGTGTGACGCAAAGTGCGTTGGAAGAGGCGTTACTAAGTAACATGCAGCACGGGGGCAGCGGGGGTGTAGCAAGTCGCATGAGCACGATAAGTCAGGCTTTGCGGTCTCGAGTGTTTGATCAAGGAGGGAGATAATACTGCCCACCCCATACTAATACATCGAAGGCTTTTCTGGAACGTAAGCAGCTAGCCCAGTGGCATGTTTCTCAACAGGCTGTGGTACAAAGAGTCTAATTCGTGGTCAAGTCAATATCAGGTTTTCCTCCCCCATGATGCCTTGCAGGGAAACATCTTAAGTACCATGATTTCTTGTCGAGAAACCCACTCTGGCACTTCAGCTGTTCACAGGTTGCATGAGCATTGAGCCACAGGACATGTCTATCATCCACTCAATTAATTGTCTTAGATACGGAACTCCATTGTCTGAATGGACTTCAAAGCTTTGCAGCCTCGAGGAGGCCTCCATGTGAACATGTTCGTTTCCACGTGGATGAAGACAGGCTTTCACTGTCACTGCAGCTGCTAAACACTTCCATCCATCCACAATCCAAATCTTAAATAAATAGTCAGTCACGCAACTCGAGCAGCGCATCACTACGTGACAAGATTCTCACTCCCTCAAGGCACATAAGCGATCTAACAATTTCACCAAAGGCCAAACAAGATTCTGGGTATCTGTCAACAGTCTACCACCATTCCAAGGTATCTCCATTCACTTCCTTGAAAGACCTCTTTCCACCACGCTTGACCTTGCTGACCTTGGCTGCTTGCTACCTCAGCTATTGTGCACCCAAGGCGTATCCAGTCTTGCACGATGTCAGACTCCTATGATTCAGACCACCCACCTACCTTTCTTTCTCTACCCTCAGAGGTGCGCTGCATGATCTATAAGGAAGTCTTTGCGGGGGCAACGATCGTCCTACCGGCCGCGAATGTGCCGCGCCGTTCACGACGCCTGAATGGCAAGCTCATAGCCCTTCTTCAAGTTTGCCGCGTATGTCATCTGGAGGCAACTCCGATTCTGTACTCGAATGCTGTAATGAAAGTGGCAGGTCCTTTGGCGGCTGGAACTCTAGAACGAGGACTGCGAAACGAGCATTTTCATCGAATTAGGACGATCGTGGCAAGCACTTCAGCTCTGGATGGGAAACAGATGGGGCGGCAACTGAAAGAATTTCGTGCTTTGAGGAAGATGACTTTCCAGCTTGGTTCGTACCCTACACTTTCTGGAAACGCGGACGGTCAGGCAATTCAACTAGTTGTCAGCGCAGAGATGTCTAAGTTAAGAGTCTCACAAATGTACTTGTGGATCGAGTGGCTAGTGCGCAGTGGTATTTCTGTACACGTCGCCTTCAAAATTTGGCACTGGACCAAACCTCGTACTTCGGTAAAGCCCGCTATTCATGCTCAAAGACGACGCTAACCTAAAGTCAGGTCCATTATATTGACTACAACATTAACGACGACGTGACTGTGATCTCTGCCGATGATCCATTCGAGTAGAAAGCTATGTTGAAAGGGAGACGAGATCATGAATAGTATTGTGGCGATTGGCTCATGGGGATAGCTCATGGAGATGCCTTCGATTTGCAGTCTCTTGTATTGCCAGGGAAAAAAGTTGCGAAAGCAATATAATATGTCTATCACCTTAAAACTCCGCACTGTATGATACCGCGCGCCATAATACTAACGCTGAAAGGACGCGAGGTCGCACCACACCGGGTGTTAGACGTATCAGGTACAAGCATTAATGGACCAGCTCGGCGCGAAGATGCAGTTATGGGCAAAGCGGAATCAGACTTCTGGCAGCGAGGCTTTTCCAATAGGTAATGCCACAAGTCACATGACACTGGCTAGATTCCCTTTCTCCGCGAAGGTCTGAATCAAACCGAACTTCGAAAACGTTTAAGCATGCTGTCGCCAGAATTGACTGATAAACTAAAGCGATGTTGGACATGAAAATGTCTCACATATGCAGTGATGAGAGTTCTGGGCGTTCATTTAGTAGTAAAGAGGGGAGGATTTCTCTCGGGCGATAAAGTAGACCTACATACTATGGGCACCCAAGACGAAATAGACTCGTCTATGTTGCACCTTGATCATGTTCGCTGAGTGGCTATCGTCAAATGAGGTTGAGTGGCGGGCTCATGGAAGAACAGACCTCCAGAATAGGAGAATCTGCTGCCGACGTCAGAAGGGCTAACGCAATCCAGACTTATTCTGAGTTGATTTCTACATCACAAGTATCTTTCCCACAAAACCAACGGTGCAGGTTCACACTTAGGATGTGGCTATGGCGGCTTGCATGGGAAGCAAGAACACACCAACGACCTCAGAGTGATGAGTTTGGCAAGCCATTACGGATGCTGCCGAACCGGTACCGAATCGGTACGGAACCGGTACGGAACGAGCCCCCTATCGTCGCGAGATTTAGTCATTCTAAGCTCCAGAATAGCGTCAGAGAATTGCTGCTTATGGACATCTCCAGCGATTTGATTGGCGCGGAGACAAATTCTGGTCTTAACAGTAATCTACTCCGATATCTTGTCCCTTTTCCCCGGTTGGATGCCTCTGTCCATACCCATCCACCCTCCGCCCGGATGTCATACAGGTCGATCCTTAATGAGATATTATTATTCAATCGAACGTCTTGTCCATAATGGCCGTAGTCAACCCTCTTTCAGCTGCTTCTTTATTCTCCCTAAAAGATTGGGTTGTTCTCGGTAAGCAATGATAACGTGCTTCTGACTCTCAGCGATCAATTACTGACAGCCTTACCAGTGACCGGCGGTGGTACAGGAATGGGTTTGAGTATGTATTGTCACCTCGTATACCTTCCTTCTATCGCCTGCCTCGTTTCTCCTCTTTTCCCAGGCTCTCATCCGCAAACATTTTCCACTGCTGTCTAAATAACACATTTGGACAGTGTTAACCCAGACTTTGGCCACCAATGGATGCAAAGTCTACATCACCGGCCGCCGCGTTGAGGTTCTGGAAACAACCGCCCGCATCCATGGGTCCCCTGGCAAGCTCGGACCGCAAGGCGGAAGTATTGTCCCGATTGTCATGGATGTAACGTCCAAGGAGAGCATCAAGGGGGTCGTGGATCACATCACGAAGACTGAGGGCTATCTTAATCTGTATATTTGTTTCCACCAACAACAATTGCCTCTGTACCGACCAAATGGACGATAAGGCAGAGACTGACAGTGCGACTGGTAACCAGGCTCGTAAACAATGCCGGCGTTTGGACCACGAGACCAAGTGTAGATCCGGAGGCTGGACCAGAGGCATTCGGGAAGGCTATGTTTGATGAGAGCATCGACGCTTGGCAGAAGGGTGAGTATTGACATGTTTGGCTCACCTTTTCAATGATCATGTCTCAGGCTAAATGAACAATCGATAGCCTTCCTCACAAATGCCACATCGCTTTACTTCGTGACGGCGGCGTTCCTGCCGCTTCTCGCCAAATCAGTTTCCAGCCCCACCGGCAAGATGGGCAGCGTGATTAACAACACGTCTATTAGCGGTTTCCTTAGGATGTGAGTGTCTTGCGGTTAGCGGTTGAAGAAAATTTTAAGCAGTATCTCGCAGGTCCCAGAATTCTCAGTTAGCGTACAATGTAAGTTGATGTAGGAATTCCACATGGCGCTGGGGATGGAACTGACGACAAACCAGGCGAGTAAGGCTGCTGCTGTGCATATAACCCGGCAGCTGGCCTATGATTTGAGTCATAAGAACATCAAGGTCCGTGTCAACGGTATCGCTCCTGGTATGTACGGGCGTTTCCTCTAACCTCAATGATCGTCCATAAGAACGGTTGGAGCTGAGCATACCTAATCCTGACGTTCCATAGGATGGTTCCCCTCTGAGATGACGACGGGTGGTTCCGATGATAATAACGAGAGCACACCGCAGGAAGACGCACCGTTCCAGCAGTGGATGGAGCACATAGGGGCGAGGGTGCCCCCTGGACGCATGGGCAACGTGAAAGACTTGGCAACCGTGAGTCAGAACACACCTGAATCAGAGACTTGACAAACTATGAAGTCGCAGCATGAACTGTTCCTAACCATGATATAGTCTCTTCTTACTCTTGCCACCAACGAGTACATGTGGGGGACGATATTCATTATCGACGGTGGAATCGCCCAAAGCATGGCAGGTAACATGTAAGAATATGCAGTTGCGGTGAATGGAGGCTTCAGAGAGAGCATGCAAACTGCGTGGCTTAACTTGCGGATCAATCACGGATTTCCCCAGGCTTGTGCCTCTGTAGAAATACATCTACCCGTGCAGCCATGCAGTCATTTACCCGGTCAAATTTCTATCCATGTCATCATATTCGCTATTGCCCTCGCAATATCTGTTCTCTGGTGACTCGTGACAGATGGGAATGACCGTGAAGGACCGCTCATTGGGCTCCTCGAATGTAGAGTTATCCGTGACAGAGAGTTGCTGAGGAAGATGTTCTACATCAACTATTGCCATTAACCTTCGAAGCGGACCATTCTTGGCTTACTCCAGCACTGCAAACTGGATCCAGGCTGTAGGACTCCTAAATCCATGTTAATACACTCTCTTCAGAGATCGCGCAGAAGTCATTATTACTTATCTCCAACGGATTAAGGTCGCATTATCTCAAACAGCAGGTAGCAACATCCTCGTGATGAAGCTACGTGAAAGATGGCCGCTGAAGCCATAAAAACGAATGTCGATTAGTCCGAAGGTTTTCCGACCAGAAGTGAGAAGAAGGGTCTCCCTTGAATTTTCGCTTCAGCTCCCTCCATATTTAAGCTTACTACACTTTATAACTAATTAATCAAGCTTGGCGGTCTTTTTACATTAGATAAATAATAGTTTTTTATCTTGAAATTTTAGTAGTAAGATTATAAGAGAACCTATTTTATTATCTAGACGACTTTAGTCATTTTACTATGATAATTAGGTGATAGATGTTACGAATCCTCCCGCGACCTACGCCAAGGACCATATTCCCTGTGGCACTGACCATGGCTCACAGAGCTCATCTCGGACCCAGCTCCCCGCCGCTATTCTAGCTATCACTGACGACAGGTACCCACAGTTGTCTGTACCTGGCCTCAGCGAGATAAGGGGCACGGACATGTATATAGAGCGTTGTGTTCCCACTTTCGTTTCCTTTTCTTCACGCTTCGTCTTGTATATTAGGCCCAACCATAGCTCTCCTGACAATAAATAGCCATCGTCTGCCCTATAGTAATTTGAGGGTAGCAACCAAGGATTTGCAAGAGTTTCGTAATGCATAGTCAAAAGTGGTCATTAAGTAGATCACAGTGACCAGTAATCATTTAAGAGATATTTTATAATTTGTTTCTCTGTATAATATTGACTTAGGATTTTGTCTTAGCAGCTAATGATCTTCACAAAAACCCTTAACCCCACTTTAAAATAGTGCTGTCCAGAAATAACAATTGATCCCTCTCAAGGCTCACGTTTTTATCCTCTTAAAGGTCTCTTTGTTCGCTATTGTTTAGCTCTCTTAAATGTTTCTAACCTTTTGTAGAACATTAGAAGTCTTGTAAAATGAATTGGGTAGAGACTAAATAATACCTATCCTAACTTGTATTAGTCTTTACAAGGTTAAAAAGGTCGATCGATCAGGAAAGATGACAAGTGCATTGGATCATTCCCCCTTTCCTTCATATTGAACCCGTCCACTTCTCCACCCTACATGTGTCTCTCTAAGGCTCATACTCCCCTCGACCAATGACATGATGAGCACGTAAAATTACTGTACTCGACTATCTCCAGAAGACTAGCTTGCAACACGCCCTACTCAGTTCAGATAATTCGCATCCAGGCAAGGCCCAATAGCCAATTGTGGCATATTCGGCCCAGGATTCAGCTGCCTCTTCCCCTCGTATACGCCCAACGGGCACCGTTCGTTATATCCAAGAAGCTTCGGGATGGGGCTTGGGTTTCCCAAGGCACCGTTGCCGGGTAGGGTGTATAGATCGCACCCGTAGATGAAGAAAGACCGAACCGGGAAATACCTGTAGCTGATGCAATTCTGTGTTGTATAGCACCGATTGCAGCATTCGATCAGACTGAGGCTGAAGAGGGTCTGAACGCTCCAGGTGTTAAGGTCAGCGGGAGCGAGCCAAGAGTAGTCTTTGTTGATGGGGTAGCTTTGATAGTCGAAGCAGGTGCTGACAGTCGGTCGAGGTCCTTCCACAGTGGTGGTCACCGTGACTGTGGTAGTGGATACAGTTTCACTAACAGTTGCGGTGATGGTCTGTGGTTCATCCAGTAATTAGTGGCCAGTTTTGACCAAACAAGTGAAGGGTCACATTAATGAAGAACCGTGAAAGACAAGCATGGTCGATATGGCAGGACTTACCGGGGTTGGGACGACAGTAACGGACGTGGAGGTCGCGGTCCTTGTCGAGGGCGTGATGCCAAAACATGAACAGGCACTCGAGATTTCTTCGGAAGCATATTTACTGACCCATGGGGGAAAACCTCGGTCAGTATCCACAGCTTCTGGTGTGACGGATCGCTTGGCCGGAGAAGGAGGTGTCGGTAGGATTGTCTTCGTGTTGGAAGGAAAAGGCGCATTGTAATAGTACGTGATCGGTGACCCTGGGGTTGTCACTGTGACTGTCTCCGTACTAGAGGCACCATGTCAGCGAATATGAGCTTTCGAGACGAGGTTTTCAAGACAATGACAGAACGGACTGAAAACTTACATCGTGCCCGTCAGCGGTACAGTTGTCGTGATCTGTGTTGGTGGTGTAGGTGTGCTTGTAGAGACCTGGAGTAAAGCCCTCGTATGAGCATTGCCTGGAAGAGCCTGGCCCCGAAGGCATCATCAAGTAGCAGAACTGCTTTCAACTTACAACGACCTCAGTAGTGGTTGTAGCAGGAACGTAGGAGCTGCAGAGAGATGATGCGAGCGACGAATACTTCGAGAAGGCATTAACGACGAGCTTGTCTTTGCAGTCGAAAGACTTTTTTCTTGCTTCAAGACGTTCAGCGGCGTCGGTAGGAGTGGCAGCACAGGAAACAATGGCTACCAATAAGGCATTGATGCTATACAAGATGGGCTTCATTGTTAATTGCGGCGCCAGGCGGTTTAACTCGAAGACAAGATAGCAAGATATGAATGTGATGATATGAGAAAGAATCGACAATAGGAGTAAACCCCAGACTGATATAACTCAGTATGGCCTACCTCTGCCGAGGTCTTCCAAAATAGGCATGTGGCATAGTTTTCAAGCTCTTGCAGGATGGACTCGAACTTCTGGGACGACATGAACGGAGCTCTCAGGGAAGCATGCATCTCTGCAGACAAGACTAGTGACACCTTGCGTGTCTGAGGTCTCCAAAAAGAAACAAGAAGAGTTCCCGAGAACACTACTGGTTCGCTTCTCGACCAGTCTTTCAAATTGATATTTTCAGAGTGTTCTTAGTATGATCGAGAGTCAGGATTGGCCTGTGAAAGTTCAAAGCCAACTCCTGCGACAGCGTTCGCTTAAAGTACGTGAAATAGGACAAGCGAGAGAGTAGGGCGCACCGAATCGGTAAACAAGCTAGAACGTGGCACACTATGGTAGGATTACTGGACCTGGGCACTCCATATAATGGGGTTAGAAAACGGTGACCATGGCGCTGGGACGGGGAGGAAGAGCCAGGGGGTCAGAGAAGAAGGGGAAGCGCCGACGATCGAAGTGAAACATTGGGATGTCAGTAGTCACTAACGTAATGTGAAATGTACGGGTCCGGATCCCCGGTCTGTCATACAAACTAGTGGTACTCGGTGCCGCTGACAAATGAGTTCCAGTCTCAGGCTATAACTACTAAAACAGGTAAGAAAGTATAGTTGAATGATGTTTTGATCCGCTGAGACTGATGTGGCCGTGCTGCGGTACTGTGGCTTGAGTCTTTAATCACATTTTGTATAGTCTGATTGGCAAAAGAGGTAAAACCCGAGCAAAAGTCATTGGTCGGGATCCCTGGTTGCAACTCACTTTTCTGCATCAAGTAGGGTCTTGGATGTGTCTAATGTGCAGCCTAGCCCGTCAGGGTTAGTTCTTCGCTTGGTACCTGCGCTATTTAGCACACCTGCCCTAATCCGAACTGTGGACATTCATTCTGGGAAACAAACCATTCTCTAGTCACAGAGAAATTTCAATAATTGCTCCTTGCGTCAAATAGTTCTGAAGTTTAACATCTCAATGGTCTATAGGCGGCAACAGCTTCAATCCACGTGATCTCGGCTAGGAGAAACAACTGCCATTCTGCCGGCAGGAGGATTCGTGAGGAAGGCTCGAGGTGGTGTATCTCTTGTGCCCATTCCTAGACAACTATCTCAGTGGGAGGTGCGCATGTCCATCAATGAACAGCTCAAACTTGCAACGCAACGGCGATGGCAGGTAAAGAGGTTGAGGGTTCTATCATCATGCGTGAACGAGTAACTCTACTACCCTGTTAGGCTATTATAAGAATAATTACGGGACCCAGCCTTCTAGTCACGAACCTAGGGAAACCCTGTCTGTGCAGTTGTAAATTAAAGGCAATACCATACCTACTATAAGCTACGTATGATTGCTGTTTGGTAAAGACTGGGTCAAAGCGACCTATCAACCAAATAGTCAAGTAGAAAGATTGTGTCAATCCCTGTGAGTGTCAACAAGCCATTTCTGCTGCATTCTGCTACATTGTTGCCGCTTTTTGATGGTCTATTTATGCTATAACTAGGAGTAACTCCTGTGGCGTTTGTACGGCTTGTTTTTGTGTATAAACTGTGCTTTCTACCCTCATAATAGAGAACAACTTGCTTTGCACGAATTCTATGCACTATTCTGAGCAGTTCGACAGATTGTAAGTGGAGACACGATCCATACAGAAAGCAACGAGATCTTGGACGCTGCGGTTGCCTTCCTCCTATCTTGCGACTCTCACACCACGTAATCATGCCGTCTCTCTGCTCTCCACACACCCCTTGCTCGACTTGCGCCTTGTGGAATTTCCAAAATCGAAAGGAAGAAAAAAGGGTTTAAGGATAGAAATGAGCTGGAACTCTCCTCCTGTTTCATGCTTCCGAATCAAATTCTTCGAAGCTTGACCCCAAAAGTGCCGCAATCTTTTGTCTCCTCACGCTTATCATTGAGCTGTCCGCATTCATCTCTCTGGACTTTGCACTTCTTGGTAGCGCTGACAAAGCTCCCCGTGTCCTTGGCCTCCTTCTTGCCCTTGAAGCTTTCGGCGTAGACATCACGGCAAGTCTCCCACTGGACATCGCATGTATCCTCGCACGCCTTGTCTACATGTTTTCTGGGGTAAGATGGGCACTCAGCTATATCGTTGCTGGTGTAGACCATGGAGTGGTGTTCTTGATCTAATCGGCGAAGACCACGTTGCATCCACACCACGGAGGACGAATCCCGCCGACTTGAGGCTCACTCGGTGGAAGAAAGCTACTGGTAGATGTTGGACTCGTGGCAGTATCTTACGGTGGTTATTCCAGTTAAATTCTGGGAAGCGGGCTCGGTGAATGGTGATGCAGACACGGTGGAAGACGATACAACGGCATTGGAAGATGTGACGGCGTTCATCATCCCGGTAGAGCTGGTAGTGGGCATGCCAGTGGTAGATGCAGAAGCGGAGCTGCTGCTCAGAAGGGTGGTACTGCATCCTGTACTTGTGTTGGTGCCAAGAGTCACGGCATGATTGAGTGCGATCAGCCAGCCAACATTGGATGCACTTATAGTGACATTGATGGCGGTACTGGCCAAGCTAACGCACTTGAACATTATACCAGCGCCTAAGGTTGCCAAATTCCCGACCAAAAAGAAAACGCTGCATGCTTGGGCGCTGTGGATCAAGTTGACCGTCGACTCTGATGAGGTGGCAATGGTAGAGCCAACTTGGAAGATGAACTGAGCATTAGGAATGCCTCCAGCGTTCAGGGTATGAGTTCCGCTAAATTGAGCTGATGAAGAAAACTTGTATACACCTGGACCGGGTGTCAAGCCGCCAAGGTCTTGACCAGTCAGATGCTGGGTGGCCAGAAGAGCGGCGGCTGCGTTGTAAGCCGAAAGCGCGTCACTCTGAACAGCTGTTGCAACAGCATTCACACTGTTAGTGTTACCATTGGCGACCCAAGGGGGATAAATTAGTGATAGCGGTGCCTGGACTGCCACCAAGATCGCCGTTGATGACTGTGAGGCCTGTGTCTGTCACTGTTGTTGCTGCTAGGACGCCGAATGATGCGGCGCTCCCAATATCGATAGCCTGTGCCTTGATATTGCAGAGCTAACAAGGCTGCAGGCAAGAAGAAGATGGCCCAACATGATGGCGTTTGAGAGATCTTGTGAAGTGATTGGGGCGTGAAAGTGATCAAGGAAGGTTCTTGAGAATGTTAGATGTGCTCATAAAAACGAAGAGCAGACACGGAAAGTTACCAGTTTATATATCTATCCATCCAGTACCATTCCAGCCAATGTTGATCCTTCCTCAGAATATGTTGAGTTCCATCAGAGCTGAATCCCAGGCGGAGCAGGCACTACAAGCAAATTGAGTGACGTCCGTGCGTCCTTGCAGGAGTCTGGACCGGGCTGCAATGCTAGCACAACTGGGTCAAAGACAAGGCTCTGAGCATTAAAATAGCAGGTGAATTAACGAGTTTGGTAACTACTGAGCGCAAGACAACAAAAAAAATATGTAGAGTATGAGCTGATAGAACCGACGTAGACTATCTCCATTGGTACGACTGAATTGCTCTGAGGGTGGTCGCAAGGTTGTGCTGTCGAACTTTGAACAGGATGTGTTATCCGGCCACGATGACCCAGACTTAACGCCAAGGCTGTAGCAGACTTCCATAATTAATTGATGTTCCTAATGCCAAGGCTGCAGAATAGCCTTAACGCTAAAAACGGGTACTTCTTAACGCTAAGCTCTACAAGGAAGGGAGGCCACAACAGGGGTTAATCGGGGTCACAAGGGATAAGCAATTTCAAGCAATTTCAACATGTTTTTCGTACAATAAAGGCTATTCCTATATCTCACCAAAATTCTGTCCTGCGGCGCCAGCAATTCGAGGGTAACGCCAAGGAATTACAACACTTTCGCAATGCACAGTACCCGACTTTAGCGCAAGGATAAACAGTGATTCGCATGGGGGTCACGTAATTTCAGAAAACTCAGTCTTATTATGAGCTGTGACCCAAACACTTCAACAGGGTTCATTACCAATAATGTCTTACAGTCATCCTCATGGATGTGGCAAAGCAGGGGATTGGACGTCTCAGGAATTAGATCAATACTTTATTGTTTTCAACAAGGACGTTAGCTCGGTTGATTGGGCCACGATACAGTATGCAAGCGATCTCGTGTCTTAGGAGAAAGGACATGATATTAACGAGTAAGGTGCTTAAGATTGGTGGTTAAATCCATTGGCATGAACGGTACTGCTGCAACCCAATCGAATCATCATGTGCCACTGATAGATTGAGGGGTGATGGAGTTTATTTAATGATGCACGTTTCCCATCTAGGCTTGTCGTTATGCGCTACGCTGAGCTCACCAACAATTTCGAGCTGCTAGGGCTTCCTCATTTCCAAAATTCAAGGAAATATGGATGATTCATTTCAATATCTTCCCCTTGATCCAAAGCAACGAGAGATTCGACTTGTTACGTTGGAACCTGGAGCTTGGTCACACTCAATACGCTGCACTATTGAAGCACGTTCTTTTGATGGAAAGCCCATGTATGATGCACTCTCCTATGTATGGGGTGATGCAAAAAACCGGAGACCCATTCAACTCAACGATCAATTATTCGAGGTCACAGAGAATCTATGGGTTGCGTTACGGCGTCTTCGAAATCATGCTATCCGCCGCGTGCTCTGGATCGATGCTATATGTATCAATCAGACGGACAATAACGAGAAGTCTCAGCAGGTCGCGATGATGGGAGAAATATACAGCAACTGCCAAAATACAATAATCTGGCTGGGAGAGGATGAAGATGTTGATGTTTCTGAGACGGAATCGAAATCTACGACTGCATCCCGTGCATGCAAAATGTTGGAGATGCTTGGGGCTGATAAACATTTTTACGAATTGCCTTGCTTCATAACAGCGGAAGGGGGTCGAGCTGAGATAAAAGAAGAGTACTCTGATCATTTTGAGGCCTTTCGAAAGTTTGTCGATGTTCCATGGTGGAGGAGAATTTGGGTTATTCAAGAGATGGTTTTGCCTAAGCATGTTAGATTCCTCTACGCTTCTGAGGAGTTTTCCTACAGTACATTGAGATCTGTTGTACAGGGATTGCAAGTACACGGCACAACATGTTGTAAGCAGCATCGGTATACACTCCGAGCGATAGCCTTCGACCCGATCTTGACGTTTCAAGAACAAGTGGAGCCCATGGTCTATACACGTGAAACATGGACACATCAGACACCGATCACGCTCTTTCGCTTACGGAGGTTATTCTCAGCTTTTCAGGCAACAGAGAAGCGCGATCTCTTCTACGCGCTCCTAGGCCTTGTCACAAGCTGGGGCGCTAACAATCCTCTGTATCCAAATTACGGCGTTTCTCTGAAAGAAGCCATCATGCAAGCCGTCTTCAAATGTATCTCCGAGCAAGGAGGATTAGAGTTCTTGCAGGGCGAAAGATTCTACCGTGGAGAAATAGACATGCCCTCATGGATTCCTGATGCCCATTTCTCCGCTGTTCCGCCACAATGGGCCATCGTTGAGCAACGGAGACTCAAGATATATTCTGGTTTCTCCGCCTCAGCATTCCTCCGCCAGGATACTTCGCAACTTTCTCTTACCGCTAATGGGGCACTGCTTTGCCAAGCACTCTTGGTCGACAAGATTGTCAAGGTTGGATCTATTTGTGATGCATTGGGGCATTTTGAAGAAGCACCTGATGTGCTTCGTCAATGGATGGAGATGATTGGGGTAGAATTTCGAGATTGGCCGGAACAGCCACCTGCAGAAGGCTCCACACAGGATGTCTTCTGGAAGACCATTCTCAATGACTCCACGGAGCTAGATACAACTGAAAGTCCCTTCTATCGGCGACCCAATGACAAGGATTATGTGGACTTACGAGCTCTATGGGAGTTCTTCCTTGGACCATTTGGAAGGATGATTGTGAGCAGCCTTTCATTTTCTGAGGAGTCGCATGACAAACTGTTGTCTAAGGCTCCTGCAACTATATACCACCTTTTCGTTTGCCTCCAGCAGAGACGAATATTCGTAACAGAACGCGGATGGATCGGGCTGGCCTCTCGGCAGGCAAGCCCAAATGATACAGTCCACATTCTGCTGGGTTCTCCTGCCCCTTTCATCCTTCGTCCATCAAACGAAGCCTCAGAGGTAGACAAACAAGCAAAGACGCTGCCTTCTTACACTGTCATTGGTAATGGCTATCTCCACAACGTCATGTTTGGTGAAGCTTTTAAGGGTGACGGGGAGAAAGATGTTAGGACAGTTGCGCTTCATTAAGTCTCACTTGACGTACGAGACGATGACAAGCAACTTCCACATCCACCCCGATTTGCTGTCTTGTTAACCAAAGAAGGCATATATTCAGGCTCAGCAGAGCTTAGTTTTTGTTTGCAGCTTTTCTCTAGTGGAATGAGTCATGATCAAATTTGCGGTTAAGCTTGCAGAATAATTCCTTTCACCCGTTCGATTACTGTAATTCAAGCCTCCAAAACAGCTTCTCTGACCCATCAAAAAGCCCAAATGACCGCACTGAGCGCTTAAAGATTTACTTTTAAGTGATAATTTACCTTTGTCTTGAATTAGCATTAGACGTCGCGAATAGAAATTCTATCAACTTGGTGTGCCCAAGGTATTGAGTAAAACAGTTGATTCTATTCCATTGCTATGGAGAAAAGAGAGCGTATTTGTACTCAACGGCGAGCTATCATTTCGTACGTAAAATGAAGGCAACAGTGCTCGTCCTCTCATTACTTCTGGTGGAGCCCAATTACAATTGGGAGACCTGAAACTTAGAAAACCAAAAATCAATACACTGTCCACACAGACATGTTAGAACGCTATGATCGGAGATGTATTGCATCCAGATTCTATCTTGACCCTAAGAGCTTCGACGCAGCCATTGAGAGTCTCAGACCGCGTCCAGAAAGAACACCAGCCAAAGCTAGGTTTGATGATATCAATATCTATCCTCTGACTATATGGGATCAAGAAAGAGCATCACTTGACACGGACTTAGCCAACAGCAGTGAAAGTGCTACCTATGCTTTAACTAAATGGGACGAGTGGGACAGAGGTACTGCCTCTATTGAGAGAGACCAAAGTGCGATTCGTACCTCGTGGGACGAGTAGGACGGAGGGGTTACCGTTGCGGAAACTTTTCGCTCACCCCCTGGTGCTTGTGCGACACCAGAGCTACGTGGGAGACACTATGCTCATTCAAGACAAGAGCGTGCAATCAATATTACTTCCGCCCAAAGGCGTCAAATTACGCTTCACGATCCTGAGCGGACTCCCACACGAAGTCATCCAATAAATATTTATTTTGTAAAAAAATCAAAAGCCCAAGGAAGCGACGTACCAAAAGCTTAAAGGCTATTCTTCACGTGGGATTTCGGCTATAGCGTTTTCGCCAGACCAGTCACAGATCGCATCCGCAAACTTTCACGACAAAGCAATTCAGCTTCAGGATTCGGCGACTGGAGCGTTGTACCTCACGCTTAGAGCCCATTCGGAAACGGTTACGGCAATAGCGTTTCCGACAGATGGAAAAAAGATGGCGTCGGCATCGTACGATATGACAGTCCGGCTCTGGAACTCGGTTACAGGAGCGGCGGACAAAATATTTGAAGGCCATTCACGCGTAGTATCCGCTATAGCGTTTTCGCCAGATGCAAAGCAGATCGCATCTGCATCGTACGATGAGACAGTTCGGCGGGATGTCTTCGGAGCGGTACATTCGCTGAGGTCCATTCGGCAAAGGTCCATTCGGCGTTTGGTTCTTGGCAGGCTATTGGGCCTTGGCAGGACTCCACAGTAGAAATTTAAACTTGAATTCCTGGGATAAGCAGCAAAACCGGCCAACCCAGCTGGGTGCCAAGGCGCGGTCAAGATTCGGTGCAGGATACCATTTGACGAACTGTGCTGACTAATCAATGGATAGTGTGTAAATAGCAAGTTGTTCTATCTAATTCAGTGCGAAAGCAGCGCGTACTTATACATACAAAGTTGCTATATCAAGCGAGATAGCGCGAAACGCAGATACCAAAAATACACGTGTGGCTGACGCAAAACGCGTATCAAATCTGTAACAAAACGCTGGTGACACACGTAGCAAAATAAGCGCAAACTGTATTTTTGGGTTCTACACCATTTCATCCTGTGCTAAGGCACCCAGGCATTCCATCCATATTTTCTCAATGCTAGATACAGATTCCATAAGTAACATTATCATTGAATAAGCTAGGTAGACAAACAATGACATATATTTCAGTGAGTCTGGCCACCGGTGTTTATGCAGCTCGAGGACACTATGTAAAAAATAGCGCCAATATGTAAAAGGTGAAGAAGGATGCGGGTTGCCAAGAGAAGGTCATGTAACTTATAGAGCAGTGTCCGAAAGTGTAGCGCAATCAATGCTTGCCATTGCTCATTAGTTAATTTATTGGTTGTTGCTGCTTGCTGCTGGTCGATCTCTAGAAATTTCTTTTTTATCATGAGGAATTCAGGACGAAGCCCTGACAAAAAAGTCAATTAGTATTTAATCAGGGAAAACCTAAAAAGAGTCTTATCGAGGCATAGTACTTTTGAGTCCATCTACTAATCGTTCCTCTGTGATGGGGCGGGTTTCGAGCTGCAGAAATATTGCTTTACGTCGTTCATCATCATATGTATCGACGGCAGATGATGGGAGGCATGGGAAATGGCTGGCTCTTGCGCTTTGTGGAGTTGGATGTTTCGTGTCCTGAAAATCTTGTCCAGGGTATTCTGTGCAGTCAGACAAGATGTGCGCCATTTGCAATCCAAAAATATAATTGTGCAATGGCGATTAAGGAGGCCAAAAGTTCATGGAAAGATACAAAAGCTGCAGCAAAGTTCTGTAAACAGGACTGCACGCTTTTTAGAGAAGATGATCCATGCCAGATCCAAAGACAACCCCACTCTGATCAGGTAGATCACGTGATTAAAATGGCTGAGTGTCGACTCCCACTCCCTGACTCCATCCCATAATGCTGTCCGTGGAAAGACCCTCATCTGTAGCCTCGTCCCGAGTTAGAACGTTAAGCTCTACCTACACCACAAAGGAAGCCAGGAAGTCGCCTCGAACCGCTTCATAATGGAACAAGCACCAATCGCTCTCCAGCTTGCCCTGACATGATCTTTCTAACATGAGCTCACTATGGTTGCCGCAGTGGATGATCTAGGTTATCATGACAGAGAAGCAATGGCGTCGACACATCTGATATCTCCTGGACATATTAGAGGCCATGGCCCAGCCATGTACATATGGCATTCATCTTGGAGGACACTCGCCTTGGGTAAACTTCGTGTGATGCACCTCAACGCTCAACCATGAGTGATCATCTAGCGCTGTATCCTGTGTGGTTTGCTTCATTGAGTCTTTGTGCAAACTAGGGCACAGATATACATCCGAACACCTAACATAGAAGATGCTCCGTGCCATCAGGTCCCTGCCTTTGATTGTGCATATGTACGGCGTCAGAGTGCAAGAGTCAAATGAAGACAATTCTGGACTTCGCTTCTGCTTTATTACACTCCAGAACGTACAATTTTGAGACAGTGTCTTCAGTTGTGTGAATAGTGTTTTTGGAGCAAGGCTTCGCAGCCAAACAGCCGTTAGCAAGACATGGAACACTTCACATCGTGGACTCTACTAATTCATGACGGGTATCGTCGGCAACATTTATTGGCGAATGCAATCACAGACCGCTCTTCCCTTCAAGACACCAGGGACAGCCATGTCTGCCACAGAAGGAGCTCCCCGAATTTGTTGCACACAAAAACTTCTGAGCTCCAAGGCTCCCTGTCCTCAACCTCATCCTCATCACAACAGATAGACTATCACCATCTTTTGCTCTCTTTGTTGAGCATTTATAGACGGGGTTGCATCTTAGTATCCATCCACTCGTTATCATCTGAGCACAGAGTTCTCTGGAAGAGCTGCATACTCCAAATAAGGCAAAACAATCGCTACAATGTGCCAACAATTCCTCTGCGCTCATTGCCACTACACAGCATTCGATCGATGCACCTTTGCCCGGAGACTAAACAATCGTCAAATGCACCCTGCGACATGTCCGAGTTTTGAACAAGAGTTACATGAGAGAAGGTTATGTTCTACTTGCAAGGCTGTGGACGAAGCTACTTTCAGACTCTACACTTGGATCGAAACCCAGGGTGGAGATCGCTTGCCCACTGAAGGTGGAGAAGCAGAGGAGGGGAGCTCGCCGCTGCGGCCTGGGGGTCAGCATACTGAGCAAGAGCAACAGCAACAGCGACAGTCCTCAACTACACAATTGCCAGCAACCGCCTCGAGTCAGTCTGGCACCCAAAGCGCCATGAAAGACAATCCAGCTGAAATCGAGCCAGAAGCCACCAACCTCGACTATCTTGATCTGAATAAGGTGCGCCCTCTTAGTGATTCTACCATTGCAAGCAGCAGCACGCTCCCAACAACGATCGGTAGTTCAGCCGTACCAAGCAAGAGACATTCCTGCGGCAGACCACAAGACCAACCTCCATCACTGGTGAAACCTGATATCAATGCTCCCTTCCAGCCAGTCAAGGCAAGACGCATGAGTAATCCGAGCGGAGCCTACAACACCGTACCGCCTGGTTTCATCCCTGCCCCTCTTTCTAACGAAAATGCACCCATACTTCAAGCAAACACAACCCTGGTAGAAGGTCAACCCGCGCAAAGAAACCTCAACTTCCGGCCCCCCATCATCTCCAGCACCACTGACGGACCTACCGAAGCCGATGACTCTAACCAAGCTTCCCTTAACATCGGCGCCCTGAAACGCACAATCTCAACCCTCACCTTCGATGACCTTACTCCCCGAACCCGAACCGCATTCCCAGCTTCAGAAGCCACCGAAGTACCTCCCGCTTATGCCCGACCAAGGTCCGAGGTTGGACTGCCGCCGCTGTTGCCGGGCCAAACCGGAGACAGTAGCGAGATGGAGGAGGATGCTGTGGGACATGAAGGAGCGGAAGGGCAGGCGGATAGCAGCAGGGAGGCATCTGACAGAGGAAGCAACAGATCAGGGGAAAGACCGCTGTCGTCTCAAGAGTATCTCAGTAGAGCGAGGTTGGAGTTGATGGGTGACAGGCCTTGAACTTGAATTGTTCCTTTGGCTGTTGGTGTTATATCGAGATGGAAAGGTTGATAGTGTGTCGTAGCCGTAGGCTTAACAGAGGAGCCGGTCCGCTCTTGGTAGGTCTTTGAGGTTTCAATCATTCGTTCATTAAACGAGCATTATCCAGCGCCAGATTCGTCTTGGCTATCACAGATACCGTTGGCGCATGCTTGTTACTTTCAAGCAGACAGGCAGCGTCGACCGTAACGTGTTCAGCACCAGCTCTATCGAGTAGATAACGCAATACCATCTGTCCAATTCTTTCATCAGATTGCCTTGCCCTTTCCTTGCTGAAGTGACCTAAAGCCCCAAGCATCCCCGATGAGATACGGGACTGGACTCGATTCTCGTTCTGTGCTTATGCACGTGGGCTCATGAGGTGGCGTCCTAGTTGGAGGAGATGGAGTGATTTCAGGGGAAGGGGGGGAATGAGGAAGGGGGGGAATGAGGAATGTGAAATGAGGACGGAGGATAGAGGGTAGAGGATACAGCATACAGCATAGGGTTTAGGGTGATGCCTACAGTCGCGGGACAATTTGAGATCGGGAGGCCGAGGGGGAGATAGAGAGGGGTTTGTGATGAGTTGTTCGACTCATGATCGGGTGAGAATCGGGTGAGAATCGGGTGTTGGGAGGAAATTTGGAGGGAGCAGGCAGGGCGGCAGAAGGACAGGTGATTAGTAGATTCCGAGGGAGCTTGAAGACGATGATGACTGCTCTGCGGAATGGTGGGATGATGGGAGGGCTCGGTGGATGGATGAATGGGATGTTTTTGGAATGGGCGGGGAGGGGTTTATGGTGGTATTGGAATTCGAGGAAAGTGCTGTAAGCCAACTCTCTCAATGGAGGAGTGCTGAAGAGGATGGGATTTGATTGCGGTCTGCCTTGTTCAAGGGGCTTTGCAAGTTTTCAGTCGGTGGTGTCATGGCGCTGGTTTCATGTGTTTTTGGATTTTGGAAATGCAAGATTCGACCAGCCACATCCCTGGGTCAGCAAAATGTTGACAATGCGGTGTGAAAGATCCACACTTCTGATTGATCTTGAAGCATACAAGCGTGCCTTGACCTTATCATTCGGCAGCAGAGTGGATTGTAGTTGATACACTATAGATGCACCCAGTCCCACGGATACTCGAACAATCTATCAACGGCATGAGTGGCACTTTTGTCCTCTCTGAAACTTTCCATGTCAGCATTGGTTACGTTGTACTGTACTGCGAGGATGCATGCGCAGAGGACACTCACCACTTCAGCGACAACTCAAACCTCGACTTGTCCCTCCTTGACATTGTTCAAGCCGCCAGCACCTGCGCTCTCATTCGAGTATGCACGCACACCAGAAACTCAGTGGCGTAGCAACAACTTAAATCCCCACTTCTTCCACCTCTAGGTCCATCATATCATCATAGCTCGCGTCCGTGTCTGGTATCTTTTTCTGGCCTGTTACGCTGTGCACAATGACCGCCTCTCTGATCTTCTCGAGGAGTGATCCGTCTCCTTCCAAACTTATTGGCTGCATAGATGGGCGGCGTCCGTCTTGTATAGGACGGTAAACGTGCTCCTCAAGAAGATCGCAAATGGGTTGGAAGCAGGCGGCGTGCTCTTTGAGGCACTTACACACCACATCCATGCGTTGGCACCCCCATATTGCCAGTCTGCTTGGGTCAGCCGCAACTTGATCCAATGAGGGAGGGGGATCCCTTACTTGCGTGTGGCCAGAGGAGGAAGAGCTGCAACTATGCCGGGCCCAAACTGCTTGACGAGAGTAGCAATGGCTCGAGCAACCCGAAGAGTGTTGTCAAGGCTGATCTTGGTGATTTCAAGGGCCTTTGTAAGGTACTCGATGACGAGCGATTGGTAGCATATACCTCGGCTGGCGCGGAACCCTCTGTTCTTAAGAAAGCTGCGCATTTCTCCGTGATCTGGATGTTCTTCCTCCAAGATCTGGCAAAGTTCTTTACAATCCTTCAACAGCTGAAGACTTCGCATAGTCTCTCGCATCTTAACAACGATGCTAGTTTTCTTTTTTCCAATAAATGGCGCAACGGAGAACGAGCGATACAGCTTGCGAAACCTGGCAGGGACTGTCTTATCCTCTGATAAATTCGCTGCCAGGGTCGACGGGCCTTCATCCACGTAATCCGGATCAAAATGGTGAGGGTCTCCAAGAAGGGCGTTGAGATGAGTTAGCAATGGAGCTCCCATAACGTTGATGAAGAACAAGTTGGTGATCTCGACAGCTTTAGTACGTGTGAAAGATACAATCTTTAGCTTATTTTGATTTCGGGTCGATATCTTTAGCCGCAACATGCATAGAAAGAAGGCTTCGCGTTTGATTCCTAATTCGTCAACACCAACGTCTGGTGATATGGCCATGGTGAGTGGCTCTGATGCAGAACCTGGTCCGTCGCTATTCTCATTCTGGTCTGTTTCATTGCTATTGACTTCATTTCCCTCAAGGCTGATGTGTGACCGGTCGCGATTGTCGGCTACAATCTGTCCTGGCTCCAGCCTACCGTTGTCCTGATCAGTGGCCCGGGCAACACCACGGTAAGCGGATTGGATGATTAGATCTCTGTTCGACGGATCCTGCTTTATCTGGTGTAAAACGTTATTCGCGAATTGCTATACACATATCGTTAGCTGTAGTAAAGGCCGGGAAGAGCCAGGGCTACCTTTTCGAGCAGATCCCCATAAGCAGTGTTGGTGGATGGTGGCGAAGTTTGAGCTACAGGCATCGCCATCATGAAGATAGGAGGATTGCGAGTTGCTGGACAAGACAAGACGAAAAACGCACTGGACTACCAGCGCAACGGCAGGTAAATATGGAGAGGCCAAGAATATGTATGGAATTCAGGAGATCTGTGAAATTAGGCTTGAATGTTTGGATTGACAGGAAAGGCAGCACTGGATTTGTTTGGGGTGTGTCAACAACAATCCCAATTGGGAAGAAGCTTGTGACTCTCGAATGAAAAGTGAACACCGCAACTTTACATCAAGACGAAACCCAGGGTAATCGATTCTAGCTGCAGTCATACTAACACAGCCAGAACCGGGTCGACAGAAGCACAGAAACCCGCCTCATACCCCAAGGATATTAATTCTAGTCAGCTCAGCGCGTATCACCCCCATCCCGAAGTCTGCAGCCAACATGGCCACCACGATCAAGATTCCTCACTACAACCCGTTCTTCATCCCCGCCACTGGCGAGCTTCTCGTCGGCAAGGTGCTGCAGACCCTGACTAGCGCGTGGTGTAAAGTATTCTTCGAAGACGATTAGGATCTCGACGATCTCATCGACGAGATAGACCTGAAGCATGACGTCCGCATTCGCCCCGCGGCGGTTATGGCGTGTTGTGACTCGGCTCGGTGGTACCGTTAGAGAATGAAAGACGCATAATAGTAGCGAGCTTGGCGGGTCTTGCTTCGGTTGAGTGATGGAGAGCGTGATGGTGGAGCCGGTAACGATGTGGGAGGGGATTTTTGGACAGCTTGCGATTTCGCCATGCACCTGCCAATCCAGAGGGGACTTGAACCCCCCCCCTCCCCAGTTTGCTGTCGTGGTTGGTTTGGGTCGTAGCTGCTTGACCCCGTCGTCAACACTGGATTTAGTGCACATGCCGCCACGTGCCGCCACATGCCTATTGGAATGATCCTCCCAACATCCTATGTCGCAAGAAGATAGGTGTGTGCCTGCGTAATTCTTAACATATTTACTCCTTTTCTCCAGATTCTTCTCCGCCTTGAACCCATACCGTCGTCAGCAGAAAGACTGGTTACCAGTGTTGAATTTGCAGAGTTAATCGAGTCAGGTTTGATGGTGGTCAGTAGCGATGAGTCGGAGAATGTCAAGATAGCATGTCGCCAAGACCACCATTCAGGGGCATCCCCAAGTCGAGATCCTCCAAACCGTAGTATTGCAGACTGTGAGCACCCCGTATGAGTGTGAACTGCCGCGGTCCTCATGTGAGATTGGTTCCATAGCAGAAGAAATCAGGCAAATAGTGTTGAGACCTCGGTTTGATTCTCTAGAGGACCTATCCACAGCTGTCCCTCGAACCCGTTCTAACGGGTCTTCTCGGGTTGTAGATACCCACTTGACGACGGGTTTCATAGCCAGCATCTTCAAGATTCCCATCTGAATCTTCAATAGTGGATTGCAATGGTTGGGTAGCGTGGTCTATGCGTATAGAGAGTTTCCCGAGGCTGTGGTTCATCCTACCAGCGTCTGGCTTGGCAGTGAAAGGGTCTCCAGCTCGTCTTTTCGGCAGGATATCGTGGGTACATAAGAGTCATAGTAGCATGAGGACCTGATGTGCAAAGACATATAAGAAGCGGTGTTCTCATTCATCTTCTCGTACTCTCTTAGCCACAACAAACCAACAATTATCATTCTACCACCACACCACAAAGAAAGTATCATCCATTGCTTCTTTCGTCATATTCTTGAAGATAAACACATACATTCCTGATATCCTTGAGATTGCCACCACTTCATCATAGCCTACACAACCACCAAAAGACCAGAAGCAGCAACAAGGATACCTGAACAATCTCCAAGTCATAGCATCAACTACTTGTTCAGGAAGATGACAGAAGTGTACGTCGCTATGGTTGGTGGCCAGTGGATCAGGATCAACAAGGAAGACATGCCCTATTACTTTCACGCCAGGTGCCTCAAGAACCCTGATCAAGTCAACGGCCCAGAGTCTGGCCCGGTCAGGTTTCGTAAACGTCTTGAAAGAGCACGGCAACGGAAGGGAAGTCCGCTAAAGCACGAGTACAAACCAGAAGCGAACATGTTCTGGAGATTTGTGGAGGTCGATGGTCAAATGAAGTGGATCGAGAAGGACTGGAGCCTGGAACCTCCCCTCAGGATCGGGGGCTTTAGCGACAGCGGTGATAGTGACGACGATTACCTGGAAATCAAACAGACAGCCAAGGGTTCCGCAAGCCGCACTGAGCACCGTGCTGTCAAGACCTTGGCACCAGAGGAAGCCTCAGCCCAATCGAGAGACGCCGCAAGGCAAGAAATCCCTCAACAAGTAGATGTTCCGTGGAAGCAAGTTCCCCTGGGAGGAGAAACGTTATCTTTTGACGACCAGGCGGAGAGAAAGGTATCCTTTGGATCAACCACTATTACCGAAATTCCGGAGGATTTCGTAACGATAGTCGATAAGGAGAAGGCACAGGAGATTTTCGCAGCAGCCATCGACGATGGGGAGGAAAGCGAGGACGAGATATATATATTTGATAAACCTGAGAGACAGGACCATGACCCGGAGTGGAACGAACAGCCAGTGGACGGCAGAGGGCTTGCCACGACCGCCGAAGTACCCAAAGCCACCAAGCCCCGGCGGCAAACCACCATCAAGTTTGCACCAGTGACCATTGTCAAAGAGTCCCCAGCAAACCACCTACCAACATTGGAATATTTTCCAGACTTTTGCACAGCCTCCAAACCAATCTTTCGGCCTGATCGCCAAAGACAGACAGATCATGCGGTAACTCTGGCAACATTCTCGGAATCCGTCAAAGCCTTCAAGCCATTCACGGATGCAGACTCGGAAGGATTGAATGAAGGAGCCAGCATGTACGCAATCCGGAGACGCAGCCCCCTTCAAGAGGAGGTCTGCTACGGTGAGGATTGTGAGGAGTCGGGGGTCGATGAGGTTGAGCAGGCCCCATCTTGTCCTATGCGGTGTGGAAGCGATGGCATGGAGCGACCATCAAGACGGAGGATGCTGCGAAGTTGTGAATATTAAAACAGGTCATGGGATAGTGGCCTAATGTGAGACATGAAAGGAAGGAATGATTGACTGAGCGATTGATTATTCAGCGGTGTGAATTGGCAGGCGGCCTGGCGCGCGTGTGAATTGTACCTATTGATGAGTCTTGTGGTTATTCACCGTGAATGGATCAATGACTCCCCCAACTCCCATTGTTCTTGTGCGGTTTCTTGCTTGAGCTCTATCAATTGCTCATGTTTTTGCTCTGCTGGATCATCATCATCGAATTTATAATCATTGCAGAACGCCTCTTCATAGAGCTTGTTGCATCTTTCATCTCCACCAGAATCAATCGTCATTATATCAAGAATTCAGCGCCAGCTCACCCTCACCATGAAAACTGCAAAAGCCAAAAGAATGACAACTGGAAAGAAGTCAGAACTCAATTGCAACTTCACAAGTGAAAGCAGTCAGGCCTATGACTTTGATGGTCCGGTGATGTATTGGATGAAGAAGCTCGATGACTACCGACAGAAAAGTTTGTCATTGATTCCAGCCTCCAAATGATACTCTGGCTAATATCAATGCACAGACAAAACCATGATCTTCGGCATCTCCTGGGAGTACCTCGATTTCATGGTCAGAATGTTTCTCGCCACCCATCTCGCATCCTCAAAGGTCATTGGAGATTGCCGAAATGGCCTACCGGGTGACCAACTGAAGCTCATCCCCACATCTCCCAACCACCCATCACGCAAATTCCGGGTCATTCAGTTGTGGGACAAGGGCACCCGGAGTACCGCCGCCAGAGCAACAACAAGCGACAAGACCGTCCTGACGCCGTTCATCACACGAGACCTGCGGACCAGCAATCGGAGGAGATGGCCATCTCGTCGGGCTAGTCCTTTGAAAGTGGACCTCGTGGAAGAGGCACGCAATGTGTATGAATTGTATTTGAAGACACTAGAGGAGGTACGACAATATCGAGCGCAACGTCCAGTGTGGGAGTGTGGGGAGGACGATGGTCTGGACCCATTACCAGGCGAAACAATGGAGGAGTATTGCGCAAGAGTAAGACCAAGACTTCACCAGAAATGGTGAGATGAAGAACCTCATCAACGACAAGGATAGCATAAGGCTGAGGTATGAAGCCAATGTGCAGAAGTGGTACTGCTATAGCATATGGCGGGAGGAAGACACGTTTAGAGCGAGAAAGAGATCATCATTTGGTGGAAGGCTGGATCCTCCACAGAAGAACAGCCATGTTATTTGTATACATGTTGGCTTGTCACAAAGGCGTTAGTCCTGGGTTGCCAAAATTCACACCGAGTCAAGGTAGTTGAGCTGCTAAAGAGGGCGTGTGTCACTGCAGAAGCGCTCATCCCGCTACAGAAACATGGGTATGTTTCTTCTCTATACTTTCAACGCTTCAACGCTTCAAGCATTGCTGAACAGATCTGCTCTTGGAAGCATTGACATCGGGCCGCACCTCTCTTCCCACGGTTCGGTAGATGGCCATAAGTAACCGAGAATTGGCATGCTTAGTTCGAAAATCCATTGAGTCAAGTGTTCTCGTCCGATCGGCCTTCGGCTTCGCAAATTGCCTTTCAGACTTTGTATGCAGTGCCCTGATTTTGCGTCCGCCGTCCGCTGTTGCAGGCCCCTATTTCTCCCTTACTAACCCTAGGGTCCTTGCGATTCCAGTGGCCCAGCCAGGTATCCAATCTGCCTTTTCCGTCATCGGTGGATACATTTTGCCGTCGCGCTCAACCTTTGGTGTGCATGTACAACGTTCGTTCTCTAGGATGCCATCCATGACTTGTGGGATGTGCTTGCCGCAGCCCCACCAGGAGGAGCGGGAGCACTTGGGACAGGTACCTCGAATACACATTTGGGCAATATGGGGAGCGAGGTAAGACTCTAGCAAGCGATTTCTTGCCTCGCTTCAACAAATATGGCAACAGATGTATGTTGCAGAAGGATGAGGAGATGGAAGTGTGTTGAACTTGAAGTTCAAGAGCGGTGTCGGCATTTCTTGGCACCAGTGATCAACCAGTGACAACGTTCACTCACCTCAGTCTTATTCAGCCTACAAGGCGTACACGTTGCAGCTAAGCGACAAGGCTGAGAACAGCCACAATGATGTCTACTGGAAGGTCGTCGTTTGTCAATCTCAATCATCCAGGCGTGCTCAACTCGGTGGCTCTTCACGATACTTTCACATTCAAGGACGTCCATCATGTCCTTCGGCTTTGCGATTGGAGATTTCGTAGCATTGGGAAGGCTAGCATGGGGGCTCTACAAGCAATGCAAAGGAGCCTCGGCAGAGTTCGCTGAAGTTTGCCACGAGGTCTTGTCAATCCACACGGCCCTTCGCGAGCTTGAAGACGAAGCTCAAAATGAAGACTCCATACTCAACCGTGCTGGAAAGGGAAGGCAGAAGGAGCTCAACAATATTCTTCAGAACTGCACAGAAGTTCTTGGACAACTTGAGATGTTAGTAACCCGATACCGCAGCCTAGGTACAAGCCAGAGAAAAGTGTGGGACCGCATCAAATTCGGTGACGAGGGCATTCAAGTCATTCGGAACAAACTGGTGCTTCACACCTCAACATTGACACTGTTTCTGACCAGTCTTGGCACTGGATCTCTCGGCCGAATAGAGAAGAAGCTAGACGATATTGCAGCAGAGATACGAGCAGGCCATCATGAACTTTCGGTCATTACTGCTGTCAACGACGAACTTGGGCCCTCGCAAAGCGAGGCATGGACTTTCCTTTTCAGGGAGCTGGCGGAAGACTTCTCAGTGCAAGAAGTTGAAGCTTTCAAGGGGGAGATCCAGGCCTACATCAAACAGTTGGTGGATCGAGGAGCGCTTGAAGAACATGGCTCCTCTCCTTTTTCAACCAAAAATGCCGAGGACTTGTTAACGCCTCGGTTATCTCCTTCCCCCTCTCCAGTAGTGGAGTCGTCTGGTGCTTCTCCTGCACCTATTGATTGGCGAAACAGGTGGTGGCCACCGAAGCCGACAGCTACTAGCGATTCTGATAGTGAAGGAACGGATAGGGTTGTTCGTCCACCGCCGAATAGGTTACAGCCTGACAAAAGAGCCACTTCAACCCAAACCCGTCGGTCATCCACATGGAAGAGAACTGAAGACCGTGAATTGGAGATAGCTAAGAGCACGCTCAACTCCAGCACAGTCCCGTCTGGTCTTACTGACAACATCTTGCTCCGCCCAATCGAGGACAGAGGCGATGAATCAAGAAGATGGGGCGAGAGTTGCAAAATTGGCATTGAAATTGGTAATGATTGCTGCCGTGTGGCTGCGTATGACTTCGTTCGTGAAGAAGCCGTCTCTCTTTCCGATGACTTTGGCTGTACAGAGATACCCACCTGTATTGCATTCACCCGGGATAAGATTCTGGTGGGCCATGCTGCCAGAAACCAGGCAACAAGCAATCTTGAAAATACATTCTTGGGCTTTACCTGCCTCTTGGAAGAATTAAACACTGACTGGAGCAGCAAAACTCGACTTGATTACCAGAAGTTTCAGTGTTCCTCGCTTCGCCAGAGAGGCCAAGACTTGGTTGTTTACGTTCCCTGCCGTCGGAGGCACTATACTCTGGTCGAATTGACCGCAAATCTTCTTAGCTATTGCCGACAACTAGCGGAAGCCCGCTGCTCGTCAGCTGCGCTACATGTCTGCATCACGACGTCTTCAACTTGGGGTATTTCTACCTTCAGAACGCTGGCTGAAGCTGCTGAAGTTTCTGGGATTGTTTCCCCGGCGATTGTGTCATACGGGATCGCTTTTGGGCTCAATTACGCAACTCGAAAACAAATTTGGACCCGCCAGGACGAGCTGAGCAGCATGATCGTTAATATGGATTCTCGGGGGTGTTCCATGTTTCAGATCGTGGTCGTTTCCGATGCAGAGGGCCGACCACAAATTTCTCTAATGGGGTGTCGTATGTTACAATACGGCTTCTCTATTGATGAAGTAACAGCGTCCTCGCTAATTCCAGAAGCTCTCCCATCCAAGCATTACATAAAGAAAATCGGAATGCAAATGCAAGATGCGAGAGGAAACTTCTTGCGAGGCGGAGAACGATTCTTCGATTTTCCGAGGCTAGGGGACGTTGAAGACTTCGTGCCCGTGCCACCACGTGTTGACATGTGCTCGATCGACGAGAACTATCTGAAAAATTTATTGGACCATCTTCAATATTGTTGGTATGCAGCAAGGCCAGTGGATTCGTGTATACTGACGGGTGAACTGGCACTCCTTGAAAGCGTGCAATCAACGTTCAATCAGCATTTATTTTCAAACTTGGACCCTGCTTGCATACTTGGGGTTCCGAGCCCCGACGATCCATTCAATGCCTCCAAGGGAGCGGCGGAGCTAGATCTGCATACAGTTGACGTGGACGAGTTTCTGCCATATTGTCTTGAACTCCAAACCCTTAGCCAGGACCATCAAACTCATTTCCTTGTTCTGGCGGATTACATCAAACGTGGGCAGCACCGTGCTTCATGGTCAAATCTTATGCATTTGGTTCCACAATCGACGAAGCAGGGCGGACTGTATTTGAAAGTCGTCGAAACAGACCGTAAGAGCAAAGCTTTGACACGTGGGGTCCTGTTCGAGGCTGCAATCAAAATCGCTATGGTTAGTAGCCGGTACAGCCTGGCGGTTTCTGTTGACGTAGACTTCAATATCGGATTCAAGCTGCAGTGCGAGGACGGTGTACAGGATGATGGCGTCCTGGCAGAAGTCCATTGCTCCAATTCCAGAATCGTGGACCTTCGACGTGGAAATTTCGTGGTTGTCACGGAGCGGATAAGGAAAGAATGGCTAATGAAGCCGCTTGGAGAAGAAATTGCGCCATCACCGACTTTCAAGGCGGATGGGAAGAACATCAAACCTCCTGGGAGAGACCGAGGCCACAAGAGGGATGTGAAGTCAAAGCGTGACAGTAGGACAGAGACCAATAAATCGAGGCAGCCTAAGCCGACAGCTATGTGGAAGATAATGGGATTGGTCTAGACGGTGCTGGGCTCTTAACCCTAACCAATCACTGAAATTCATGCATAGGAAGGAAGGGGTAACACAGTTATAGTACTTGAGTCTGAATTTAACTCCCAACGTTTGCGGATAGACAGCATCCATTTGTGTGATCTGCATGACAATACCCTCCGTGTTTATGCGAACATGATGGCCGCATTTCAAAGACTCAAACACCGGTAACCTCTTGCCTTGATATGTTATTGGTCACAAGTTGCTCCACCTATTTCAACTTGTTCGCACTGGTGTTGAAGGACGTCTGCTGGGACGACGCAACGCAGGATACTGGGACGTGATATGAAAACGACCCTCTGACTCATTATCCACCAAACCGTTGTAAAATGCAGTAATTAACAGAGCTGCTTATTGGATGATACTGTGGGACGCCAAGACAACCTTAATTGAGCAGGGACCAATTATATCACCAGATAGAAACCTTATTTATCAAGAACTAACCATGTTCGGAAGTACAACAAACAACAGCAACACTCCTTCGTATTTACTATGAGAGGGGTAAATGCCTATCCCAACAACGCGAATTGTAGCAGATAGGGATATTGCATTTACCGCAAGACCATATTGAACGTCGAATGCCTTTTTGGCTTTTTCTTGCTTTGTGAGGGGCATTGACAGGCCTCTCACAAAGGGCAATTGACGGCCTGCCTGGTTTCGTAGTACTTGGATCACAGACCTGGCAACGGCAATAACTATCCAATTTGACCCATGAGTGTCCTTTATAGCTATCTTTTCGCACTGATTTAGCCTGTGGATCGCAGCTCTTGTGGGGCGGTCTTGGTCGTCGTTGCCGTAGAATAGCTCCTGGTCCGCGGAGTAGATTTTTCGCAATTTCTTCTTGAAATTCTGCATGCGAGAGTATTTTGATCCTCCTGCCATTTCTATCCTCTCTATCTTTAATAGTTAGCTTATATAGAATATAAGCATTAGTAATAGCTGCATCAATAACAAAGAAGAACAGAGGGAGCCAGTTGCGCCTGTGATAATGTCGGCCTGTTGTGTAGAAGCTATTCTGCTTTGCATAGTTATCTAAGTCGCCTATCTCTTTATTATAACGATCAAGAGGGGATATAACTTCCTCAGAAACGGCTTCGTAGAGGGCGCAGAGGGCGCAGAGGGCGCAGAGGGCGCAGAGGGCGCAGAGGGCGCAGAGGGCGCAGAGGGCGCAGAGGGCGCAGAGGGCGCAGAGGGCGCAGAGGGCGCAGGCAGCGCAGGTAGTGCAGGCAGCACAGGCAGCGTAATTCGCTGGCAGGGCAGAGGGCATAGAGCTTTTAGAACTAGTAGAATTCGCAGAATTCGCAGAAAACGCAGAAAACGCAGCATTTGCAGAATTCGCAGAGGGCGTAGAGAGCGCAGGACTTGCAGAACTTACTAAATTCGCGAAATCAAGAGATTCTGTGAATTTGGCGTATTTTAGAGAAGCACTAAAGCGTTTAAGAGCATCAAAATAGACATATTTGTCAACAAGAAGATTATATACTGTAGTTATCATTGCTTTTGAAGCCGAATCGCAAAAGGCGATACAGTTAACGCTATCAACGACCTAATTAAACCACTCTCTATGATTATTTTGCTTGGTTATTGCATCTCTAAGATATGCTAGCTCTTTCGGTATCCCTGACCCTGCTTTTGCTGTGCTATTAGCGCTAATACCAAGCTTATATAGCTCTTGATAGAGCTTACAAGTAATAAAGAAGTTATTAAGATGTAGGATATAAAAGGGCCTTAGTTGTAGAAAGCGCTCTAGGAGCAAATACGCGAAATCAAGTATTACTGCCTCACTTTAAGAAAATCTAGAATGCTTTCCTAATTCGGCTACTTTTTTAATAGCATTACTGAATTTGAAATCAATTATATAACCGTTTGAGCAACAGAGGTTATAGATCTTATATCCCTTACTAGTGGCCTTTATATTCATCTAAATTATATGCTTTAAATAGCCTTTAAATCAAATTAATTGCTCGTCAACTAAGAGGTCTTATAGTAATTAATATATTTTTTTTGTTATTACTTTTTGAAATTCCATAGTAAGAGGCTCAAGTTTCTGATACCATTAATTATTAACAACAGGCCCTGGCCTATTAATCTTGAGATATCTTATAATCTGCTAAAATCAGCTCTAAGAGATATACTTAGCAACTAGTCAAGCTAGCTAATTACTATTCTGATTCCAGTAATATTTAACGTTTCTGCCACCTGATTAAACGCTTATTAGAAGTATTATACCGATATAGCCTCTAATATCCGCAGCTATTATATCTCTCTAAGGTCTTTGATTCTGTTCGAATTCTCTTAATTGCTTATTAAATGCGTATTCGTTAGTATGCTCTATAATCTGCGTAAATAGCTCTTCCGGAATAAATCAATAAAATAGGTTAATTAGCATACATTTATAAGGAGGTAATAAAACTCAGCCTGGCGCAGACGGTTTCGGAACGTTCAGCGGCACTCCTTGAAAGCGTGCAATCAACGTTCAATCAGCATTTATTTTCAAACTTGGACCACATACTCAGGAGGTAATACTTATAACTGACTTGTGGCAGCAAGCAAACTCCTGCTGTAGGGCGCTTATTAAAGCGTATAAGTTATCCGGACGGATTACGAATAGAGAGGTTCGCCTTACCTAATTAGGGAAGGGCCTAATATCTTTAGCTAATGGAGCAGCTTCTATAGTATCTAGAGGCCCTGATATCTCTTCTTGGTGATGCTTTTGCGTCATTGAGTTCTTGATATCTACTCTATTCCTACTGCGTCACAACAGCTATGGTGTTGTACCGCAGAAATTAAGGTTTAAGGTTACGGGCGCTAAAAAAGGCCCCTGCCCATTTTGGACCAATTAGAAAATTACTGCATTTTACGACGGTTTGGTGGATAAGCAAGACTTACCTACTTGGAGCAACTTTCTGCAGTTTACACATGACTATCGCCAGTGGACATTACCAATTGCAGGGGAGGAAGTTGAGCCAGCTTAGTGTCCTCCCAGATATTCGAGCAAGGATGGGTTCGCAAACGATGCAAACAATGCGTGGAATGCTCTCCCAGCGACGCCAGCTGTTCTCGAAGGCTGGGGTGAGTCTTCTAGCTGTTCCGCGGAAGGAAGCAGCACTTCGACGAGGGTGGATCGCATTCGTCCAACATGCCTTCGCGACAACATCCTACAGACTTGGAGACAAAGGACCCTCCTACCATGCGATGAACAGACTCGAAGCCGATTAATGCCACATGGGCCCGCCGCCTGGGCTCTCTTGCCGCCATCGCACTTCTCAAACACATCCGGCCCCCCAAAGGCACCATCTTTGTGATGTCCCGCCCCGGCTCTGTGTTGAGGATGGAGATCGGCTGGACCTTTCATAGATATGTAAAGACATTTCTTGTGTGTTCCTCGCCGTTGAACTTAAAAGAAAAAATACTCCTTTCCATTATCACCTGTGTCACTGAATGGGTGTCACTACCGTATAAGAAATAGCGTTCCCGCGATTTAAGCTTAGATTAGGGTAATAGTCTCCCTGAGGAGACATAAGTATTGTTGGCTCCAAGCTAGGAATTTGGAAAGTGACACAGGATTAACGAGGATACGTCTTTACTAAAAGAGTATTAGTCTCTTTGGCTCCTAGGCCAATGCAAATCATTATCATCACTGAGGGTTCAAAGATTTATTGGTGCCTTGGGGGATGCCCGGCCGTACTAATCTAGGCCAACAATACTTATGCCTCCTACGGAGTACCGTAGTAGACTTACCCCTTTGTTTTGACGTCTGTCATTGTGCGATCACACGTAGTAAATATGCAGCTTCTCTCTTTTTCCAATAAAGCCTCGCCAAATCAAACCACCGTCCTTGCTTTCTTCGAATCCTTGCTATCTATCGCAGCGTCCATCTCAGATCCTCGCTTTCGTGCATTCGCCATTCCCGCATTCTCCTGAGAGCCTTTGCTAGAAGCGAATTAGCACATAAAAAACGTAGAGATATCAACTAGTCATACCTTTCTTCCAACTTATCTGTTTCCTTGACCTTTGAGTTTAGATCCTGAGAATTGGCTTCTACCCAGGTGCCGTCGCTGTTAGAGCCAAGCTGCTCCTCGGTTCCCTTTGCGCCTTCCCTCTTCTCCAGCTCGCTCCTTCAGCGCCGCAATTTCTAGCTTCTGGGCCTGGCTTTCTTCCTTTGATGCCTTGTTTTCCTTCTTCAGTGTCTCGTTTTCCCTCTCCAATGTGTCATTTTGCTTGGCAAGTTGATCGTATTCGCGTTTCTATAGGGACGCATGCACACTAGGTCAGTGGTTCTATACACCAACGTTGCACAGCTCCATGAGAAGGTGGGTTGGGACCTTAATATTAAGCTTTGTTTCAAGAAAGTCAAAGTGCTCGACCAGCGATTCCCCAATATCAAGTAGCATTTCATCCCGTTCCATATCCACTTCACCGTCCTCCCACTTTGCTCGGTATCGGGCAAGATCTTGCCTATATTCATCCACATTTCGAATTGGCGGATAGACGGTTTTGAGGTATAGAGAGTGCGGCATGGTTATCTGCTCTGGTATGAAATTCACGTAGAAAGGCTTGCTAAAGGGCCGTGTGCAGGAGTCGGGGTGGTAGAAAAAAAAAGAAACAACAGTAGAGATCACGTTGGGTGGATCTGTCAGTAATTCAGGGTTGATTCGTTAGGAACAATGCGATGTGAATGGCTAAATACTGTAAATCCAGCCTTGAGCTTGTTGAACACCGCTTAGTGTTGTAAAATTAGAAGTATAAAAGGTAATAATTTCTAATGACGAGTAAGTATCCCTTGTGTCCCTGAAGGAACAACATGTCTTCTTGAGGACAGTATGGAGTACTCCCACGATTTATTGTGGATAATTCTTGGCCGAAGGAACACTAAACTTTAGTTTCTTGGACTAGGTAGATTTGGCAAAAGAGCTGCAGTCTTGGCAAGGCTACAGCAAGATTATGGCGCTAACTGCGGGAATGCTATTCTCAATAAGGAGGTGGGCGCATTAGTGACGATACTACTCGAGTACTAGTAGTACTACTAGTAATGACAGGCGTATGCCAAGTAAGTAGTCTTTGCTTAATAGTTTAAACACATGAAGCGGAACAATCAACAAGAAAATGTCCGACCAAATACATCAACCTTGAAGTGGCTGCAATCCATAGCAGTGATGGGCAGTGAACCGTGGTTTCTTGCATGTGAAAAGCCACATTAGTTATTTCGGATGAGGCAACATATACCTCGATGCCCTCGAACAGAGCACCAGATCCATCTATCAAAAACGTCACACTCCCCAATCAGCGTCTGCTCTCTCGCCTCTTACCTGAAATCCTTTCACAGTCCCGCACCACCACTACCGCTGCCCGACAACCCGATAACCGTTGTTTGCATATCTGACAGACACAACACGCAGCCGCCCATACCACCCGGCGATCTGCTCCTCCATGCTGGCGACCTTAGCGTCTGGGGCACATTCTCCGAGATTCAAGCTCAACTCACATGGCTTTCTCAGCAACAGCACCGATACAAAGTTGTTGTAGCAGGGAACCACGATCTACTGCTCGACCCCGAGTTTATTGAACGGCACCCAGAGAGATGGGAACAAATTCAGCAGACGACGTGTAGCACCGGGGAGGCTGATGACTCAAAGACGGCCAAGGACCTGGACTGGGGTGGTTTGATATACCTGCGGAATTCTCATGTTCCTCTCAAATTTCCAGACAACCGCGATATCACCATCTACGGCTCTCCGCTCACACCCCAGTACGGCATCTCGGCCTTCCAATATCGTCCGTCAGAAGACTTCTGGAGCGGAAGAATCCCAACAAACACTGACATCGTCCTTACGCATGGCCCACCCTGGGGACACCTTGACGGGTTGAAGAAGTCTGGGTGCGCGTTCCTGGTGCGCGAGGTGGCGCGGGTGCGACCCCAGCTGGTGGTATACGGGCACATACATATCGGGTATGGGATGGAGGAGAGCGTTTATGATAGGGTGGGGAAAGCGTATGAAGCTGTCATGGGGCAGTTGGGTGGGCGTGGGACTTTGGTTGGAATGGCGTGGGGCATCGTTTGGGAATGGTTCCTCGGGAAGATCTTCCATAGGGCAGGAAAGAAGACAATTTTTGTGAATGCAGCAGTGGTGGAAGGCTGGGAGGAGCATGTGGTAAAAAATGCCGCGGTTGTGGTGCAGATTTTAGTGAACTTGATAACTCGATGCTCCGCGGGATATTTTGGTGAAGGTATTGATCATTGAAATACTAACAGATGTACTCCGTATCATGTGTGATTTTACTATCCCACCCGTGCGGTGACACTAGATCTGGTTAGCAGAATGGACAGAGCCATAATGAGCTATTAGATTCTATTTCTGCTGTAAAATCAGTTGTAACCAGATGTCCTTCTATGCAGGGATGCCTCAGACCACTTAAATTCCCTCTGAATGCAGACATATTACTCCGTAGGCATCAGAAAATGTAATGGGTTCTGACTTATTGTGGCATCGTAATGCGCTTGAATGCTTCTATTACTAACTAGTACCAACAACATCCTATGAACGCATCAAGAACCTATAGAAAGTGCAAAAGTTTTAATAATATGCATAATAACTCTGTGCATATCATCACATCATATCAACAATACCAAAAAAGGGGGGTTTGAAGATTGGTAGATGGGAATATCACAAGATACGACAATTTTGTAGTAAGCTTTGCATGAGCTGAAACCCTCAGATTGTCGCGCACTAGCAAAGAATAAATCCCCATTCGTGGCCTTACTTAGGATACAGTCAGGGATTTCAGTCTAGACTTCTATCTGGACCATTCATTTCAGATGGCAAGGCGTTGTTGGACACTGTTAAGACCACATGAGACTTATTATAGTACCAGGCATGATCAATGTCACCCGCGCGCTTAGTGACAGAGCACCAAAATGCCTTCTTTACAGCCCCCTAATGCCTACCACCACTCTGTCATAAAATTTGCCCATTTCCTAATTGGTCACTATGACGCAGCCACTGGTGTACCGTAAACTGATCTGAACGAATGGCAGACGCCAGATGAAACCTTAAGTCAGTTAAAGTATATGCTAAGTCGTATTAGGAATTAAATATTGTGACCAGGCTGTTCTTGAAAGTGTTGGTGAGACATTTGATTCGTCCAATTAAGTTAGCCGCTCGTCAATGGTCCAATGATAACCTTTAAACCCGATCGTTGTTTGTGGTTGTTAGAGGATGTAGCAAATAGCGTACGGAGATTCCAATTGAATTGATTGAGTTACTCCTATCAAGAGGAGCATTTGCTCACACTAATAGCTATAGAAGCGCATTACTGCAACAGCTCAGAAACAGCATTTGGCGTTCAATTCGTATAGCAATGCTCACTGCCATAAATAACAGGGCGTAAAAGTTACAAGAGCGTTTCGTGCGTTTCGCATGCGGGGACCCCTGTATCATCCTGCTAATACGTAACAGATACGTATCGTATGCGCAGGGATTCTGACAGTAGTAACCAATTAGAAAATACGCAAATTTTACGACAGAGTACGATGAGCTAGGAGAGGCTATAATAGGTGTCTAGAATGCTGTACCAACAGCCTATCTCCTAGAGCTGCTTGAGTCAATGCCAGCAAGGTGCCCGGCAGTCATTGATGCTAATGGAAAGGACACTCGATACTACTGCATAGAATAGACTAGTCCTAATGAGTGATTGTGTGGCGTGCTATCTTGGTGTTACAAGGTGTTACTAGCGTATAAGTGACATTAATTCTGCCTCCTACGGCAGTAGTGACATTTTTGAGGCTGTAATCAAACGAACCCGTGAGGCAGAGATGGCTGGATACTCACATAGGTTGATGTTTGGGGCACATCATTTGGAGCACACATTGATTCTGAGATATCGACAAGGTATTTGTAAGGAATTCTGGGTGGAATCAGGCATGAAATTGCTGACAAAGAAGATCAAGCACTGCCGGATCGATTCGAATACTCCGTGCTTGGTCCATTTGGTTCCTAAGCGACAGTTGACTTAAAGAGGATGGGGGGGTGTTGCTCTACAGACCAGGATGATGAGCCAGCCCCAGCGCCCACCATCTCCCGGCCTCAAGATCTCATACTACAGGTCCCTAGACCACGACTTGATGCTGCCGGACGGCCAACTCGGATTGAGGACTACGAGCTTGACAGAGCGACGTTAGAGGCTGCTCTAGCACGGATGGCGAACTACATTGATGGTCAACATCAAAGCATGACTATCATCACAGTCGGGGGTGCTGTGAATACCATGCTGTTGCAGAACAGACAATCAACACACGATGTCGACTTTTTCGGCACCAACCTCAATAACGACCAGCGAGCCCTTCTCGATGAGGCCGCCAGATTCGCCGAAGAAAACAGTCCGACACCGTTGGGAGGCGAGTGGTTTAATAGTCAGACGATGCTCTGGCTACCGCTCAACGTCCATCAAAGAGTCACGTAAGAAGCCCTTGAGCAGGATGAAGTGGTGTTTGAGAGAGAGGGTTGAAGGTCATCGCTGCGCCATGGAATTTCGTTATGTGTGGTGAAATGAATCGATTAGTTCGAGGAGCCGAGGCTAGACCGTACGATCTCTCCGACGCAGCTTCGTACCTTCGATATTATATCGAACGACATGGCGGACCGGTCCGTGTGGATCGCATCAAAGATTGGTGTCGAGACTATGCCAAACAAACGAGCGATGACGTAATACGTGCTGTTGGCGAGGAGTATCGACGCCTATATGGGGAAGCTGGGATCACCAAATGAAGTTTGGGAACTTGTAGAGCTGAGGGATAAAGCATTGTACGCGTCGAGTCGAGTTCAGTTTTGCCGCTGTAGACTTGCTCTCGTCACATGGTAGGCTACATCTCGAGCTGTTCATATTATGACTTTTATTCATGACCGGCGACCTCTTTGAAGTTGCAACTAATTGCTAGTGTGTTTAATGGCCAACTCATGAAAGTGCAAGCCGTTCATGTGAAGTGAAGATGCGGCCCCCATATAAGTATGTTCATGCCTTTGAACTCTCTGGCAGCCCTTGGGTCATCCAGTCCTTCCAATACGATATCATCATGCGACGGTACGACTAGAGTCTTCGGTAGCGGTTGCACATGCTTAGTCCATTCAGGCACCGTCTCATACACCTTCGACGATTCGGGCCGAGTTCTAAACTCCTCCGCCTGCTCAGGCGAGATGATAGCAGGTGCATTCCGTGGCAGTCCTTGCCTGATATTTTCGTTGAAAGACCTGATAAGAAGAGCCGGTATACAGGCCAGGAATGCATAGCGCGTTGGGTTGTCATCTTTGGGATCACAGATCTCGCTCACTGCCCAATCAGACTGTTTGCAGAAATATTCGAGCTGGTTTCGATACCCGGTGACATGATCCACGATTAGGAACTCGTAGAGGCGATACAGGGCGAAGAGTGGTGTGTCTGCTGGTGCAGCCTTGGTATCCGGTATTTGCGCAGGCGGAGTTTTGTGATATAATCGGAGCGATGGGCGATGATTTCTTCGGGAGGTGGAGGAGGGAACACAGGGGATTCATTTCGACTGGTATGCGCAGGGAGAAGCTGCTCTGGAAGCTTTTCCTCGTTGATTCTATTCCTAATGAACCGCCTGTAAACTGTAATGAAGTATTTGGCCATGCTCATTGGATAATACAGCTGTGCTGGCTGTGGCTAACGATGTGTGGCGATCATGCGGCTGTGGCATGACAGCTTTGGTTCAAAGATCACGCTTAGCAGGAGAAGACTCTCCAAAAGTTATGACCAAACTCTTATCAAGGTGTGCTTACGTAGTACTGCTAGTTTTACACGTGGGATTTTCCTTTATGCGGAATAGCTTTGCCGCGATTCAACGTCATAATCTTGCTGCAGTACTCTGTACTCTGCGTCAGGGTGCCGGGGGTGCTCCGACCGCATCGGGTCAGGCGCTGCTCGTGACCGCTTGCCGCTTTTACAGTACCTTGGCAAAAGTTTGGATACAAAACGCGCCAACGCGCATTTACGCGATTTGACCCCCCTTATTCGTTCAATTACCATGGCTCAACGAATGCCTCTAGAGGCTATTGATGGTAACAGGGGATACAAAAAAGAGCTATCTGTATGGGATCGAGCTCAGATCTCTGCATTTAAGGCTGTGGGGCTCTCAAATGGCCAAATTGGCAAGCGAGTCTTTTGCGAGCGAGCAACTATCTAATCAACCCTGCGATTAAATGCCCTGCGAAACGAAGGCGAAATGCGCGCACGCTCTGGCCGCCCTTCTGCATTATTAAGAATTGATAGATAAAATATTCTATGTATTGTACAAAGTAATCTGAAGATTACTTAGGCAGCTCTTAAGCTTGAAGCTAGAGTTAAGATTTACAAGGTGTTACAGCACGTGAACACGCCAAGCACCGACAGGCACTACGGAGCTGCCTGGCACTCTGCGAAGGAACTATGACAGACTTGGACAGGACTGGACCCTGAACTGCACAAAAGGTCAGGCCTGGACAACGTAATGATCAGAGGTGATCAGGGTGAACACTCATGAGCAATGATCAGAGGTGATCAGGATGAGCACTCATGAGCAATGATCAGAAGTGATCAGGATGATCAACTCTGAGCACGAATCTTCTAGTCTATATAAGCACGCTCATTTCCTAGATAGTTTCATAGTCTTTGTAGTCAACTTATATTATTAGCTTATACCTAAGTTAAAGACATCTTAGTATTGATTTACTACACTTCCTGTTCTACCTAACTAACTCACTTAGACCTAGCTTTTAGTTAAGACTTGTCTTAACTAGTTAAGCTGTAATACTTTAATTACTATTCTTCAAAATACTAAGTATAATTAAACAAATATTATATATATATTACTTAAGATATATACTATATTAGTTACCTTAGGACCTACTGCTACTATTAGGCTAAGAAAGAAACGTATAATTTAAAGTTATATTATTAAATCTCTTTTATAAAGATTAAAAGAAACTTTAAGAGTTCTTAAATTAATTAAGAATTAACTTCTTGTTTTATATATAGGCAGTAGATATAGATAAAAAGAAAGTATTATATATAGCTATCTTTCTTTAAAGGGCTATATATAACTAGTTTAAACCCTATCTTAAAGATAAGCTTAAGGAAGTATTAGAGAATTAAGAATTAGATACGTAATAAATCTTTTATAGTTTTACTAATTTTGTAATTAAGATTAAATAAATATATAAGAATGTGGATATAGTTAAGAAAGCTAAAT